CTTATGTTAATACAAAGTTCTCTGGGCTGTACTATAGTTTCTATTTTCTTCATTGTTCACACAATTTCAACTCTGCCAAGGCAATTCATGTCTCAGCTCTAAACTTCATGGAAAGAATGGTTCTGGGAGACACATGTTGTGTTCTTTTGCAATTTTTAGACGCCTCGTTGACACAAAGTTCATCGGGTACCGCAGTAAAAAAAAAAGATAAACGGTAAATGCGATTATCTTAATTTTTTTACACAAGTTTATTATACCAACAAATGTCATTGTTGGAAAAGTTTAAAAAGTGTAAAACTTTAACTTCTTTGGGGGGTGGCAAAAAATTGCTCCTTTGCATTATTGTATTGTTTTGACTCACCCTTTGGAATCCGACTTAAGTCATGACTTACATTAGAACAATGAAATTAAAGACATCAGAACTACATGAAATGCGGTAATATATGAAGACAACATGCACAACAACGCGGCTACATTCTGCCTTTATAGATTGAAGGCATACATGTAAAGCTGGGACACCTCTCCTTAATAAACGCTCTATGCTTTGGCAGTAAAATCAATCACAACGAGCATAATTTACAGTATTAACAGCAAAAGCAAGGTACATGTATACATGTCGGCATAGGGCAACTAGCCTCCAGCACAATATCGAATCACCATATAAGGCCCACAAAAATAAGTCTCCGGTTTCTGGTATGGAGCTTGCCCAAACAGTGGTGCGGCGACGCGGCTTTTTTTTTTTTTACCTGATTTTTTGCCTCAAATGTCGGCTGATGACTGCAAATGGTGCCCGACTAGACTTAGTGCAAATACATGGGAGTCCAGAGAAGCCACATAAAGCTTATTCTCGATCATAACCCCATCTAAAAACACGTTAAAATTGTGCAGCAGCAGGATTCCAGTCAAACCAGTGAATTTGGCGGTTTTGAGACATCATCTTTCATTGAAAAAAAAACTTTTTCATTTTGCCGACGCACATGGCTACGCCGACGCGCGCGCATACCAGAAACCGGAGACTTTTTTGACCTAAGGTTGCAATTGGCAAAACAAATGAATAAAATAACTGGGCAACATGCCCAGAAGCTGGGCCCACCTGTTGTTTCCGTGTTGCCACGAAGGCATGTACGCCTGGGTGTACGGCGAAGCCTTGCGAGTCGATCATTGGCGGGGTGCCCTGGTCGTGCACCAGAACTTTTAGTCCGGTTTCCATGTTCCCCATAAGCCGCTCCGTGTACTCTTCCCGCAGTTTAGATAAACAACGTGAAAAACAAAGGAAAAAGTTTGACTAAGTCCTGTTTTTTGTTCGACTTTAAACAGACTGTTTACATTGTATTAGGGATTTTGGTAAAACAATAGCGTGGAGGCCAAGCATCGCTATAGACTATATTATGTTCACCCGTGGCAGTGTGAGTTGCGATTGAACGTAGTATTGCGCACTCTCGTGGTCCTCGTAGTTTTTTCGCTAAAGTTACACAATTGTTCAGTCACCAAGTTTTAGTCCATTTTAGTGCCCGTTTTTCCATCTTTTTGAGACCACTCTGTTCCAATAGCCTTACACCAGAAGACCACTGGTAAGTTTAAGATTCCATGATTTTCTGTATCGCATCGATAATTTTCTTGTGCCTTGCCGTAATTAGAATTTTCCCTCAATATCGAGGCCGGTTTCTCAGATGACATGATTGGAATGTTCAGTATTGTTTTCTGGTCAAGAAAATGGATATTTGGTCGTTTTATGTTTTTATATTGACGATTTTTGAATGTTATAATACTTGGTGACTGAACAATTGTGTAACTGCAACTAAGGAGCTTAGTTTTTGTGTGCACACGAAGCCTGGCTAAGCACATGCTCTCGCCATTTTTTTCCAAGATGTTATGAATATTCATGAGCTGGATTCCATATTAAGGATTAGCGTATCCTTATTTGGAAATTGCAGTAGTGCTGCAAGGTTACATTTTTCTTTGTTTTAGGTTGCTGATTTCAGTATTCCAGACCCATAGGCAGTTTGAGGACACTTCATCTTTTGGAGAGCACAGTTCTGTAGGTTAATTTTCAAAGCTTGTCTAATGTGAATTTACAATCCCTTGGAGTTTTTTGAGATGATGTTATGCACTTACCTTTGCGATGTTTCTTATACACATGTATCAGTTTGACATTACTTTTTGATCTTTCAATATTTCATTTATATTTTTATGTCTTTGGTTTTGTAATGTTAAATCTCTTGCCAACCTGTGCAAATTCGCGCACATTGTTAATTGTACTTATGTATTTTCCTGGTATTTCTTGTTTTTCAGTTTTACCTCATGTGGTCCACCCACGACACAGGAATGAGAATAAAGCAGTTAAAGTTCACAAATCCTGTATTAGTCAGAGGTTAACTTGTCGGAGAGAGGGCACCCTCGGCGCTCCATGTTCGTCATAACTATTATTTTCAAAAAATTATAAATAACATGTCAAATGTCAGATTCAATTTTGCTCGGGACATAATGATGTCTTACATCAAGACTCACTCTCCAAATCATATTTTAATCTGAGTTAGGGGAAAAAAACTGCTATGCTGAATGCGTTAAAATGAAACTGACGGATATTTATTAAGTTTCGCCAAAGTCAAATAATCTTCGATGTTCATTTGTTTGAGAAAAAAAGACGCGCTTTATGGGGTCCCCTTTAGCGGACTTTCGGCAACGGTGCACTTTTTGGGATGGTTGGGGTATCGCCTGAGATGAAAACTCCACTAACCTAAAAAGAGCAGTTTAATCATGTTTATGGACGCGCGGACACCTCGAGAATTTTGAGAATATCCCTGATGTGGTTGTTTACGATTACGTCACAAGCTGAGCGCGTGAGTAACTGGTGGTCATTGGTGGAAAGTTCTTCCGCGTTCATGTAGATATCACGCAATAGTTCGCGTCGCGTCATTCTCGACTCCACCTCTGACCGGAGAAAAGGCATTCCCCCCCCCCCATGAAACTTAACCCACCACCACCCCATCAGCCACCTTTGCTCTCTCTCCCCCCCCCCGTTTTTCTTTGTTCTTTGGGTTCAGAAGCTCCGCTTTCTTGTACTTGTTTTGTGTGTTTTCCCCACACAAACACTGGTTCTATCTGTCTATTACCACAATTATCTCAGCTTATTCCTCAAAAGTCATATGATTCTATCAAACAATTTTATATTGTGTTCTGAATTGTTCTGAATTGAAACCTATTTAGTTTTTATCAGAACGTTGTCATATTTTTAATTTTTGTTTGTGTGTAAATCTCAAAACGATTCAAAAATTTGAATTTATCCGATTTACTGCTCGTATTGGTCATACATCATGATAATCCATTTCATGTATTTCCCGATTTTCGGGAAAAAAACTTCTTGGTTTTTCTCTTACGCATCTACTAGTATGCTCTTTAGGAGCGTTTGTACAAATCTCTTTATTAGGGTCGAGTTTGCCTCCAAGTTTAAAAATTGGAAATGTTTATGAGCAGGTAAAGATAAAAAAGGACTTAACCTTGGTAATTTTGAGCAGTACTTTTATTGCTGTTTTAGCGTGTAACTGTTTATACATATATATAAAGGTATTTTTTATCCTTGTGTATTTTTATATCCTAGTGTATTATTAATGTTTGTATGTTTAATGCTTGTTTTAATGAATGGGTTCGTTTTTATTGTCTTTGGAGCATGTTCGGGGCCCTTAAGCGGGCCCCGAACCCCACGCCGTATTTTTTTTGGACACACTTTTCGGGGACCAAATCCCCCCCCCCCCCATTGTGTTCTGGATCCGCCCTTGCTGAATCCCTGTGGGCAATAGTGGTTAGGTTCACTTTCTAAGTTCCAGTCAGCATGTTTTGTATTGTGTTTTTCTGTTGCGATGACAAATAAATAAAAATAATAATAATAATAAGGTTATATTTATATACGTAATAGTAATATTGTGATATAGTTGGTACTCAAAACTTATTTATTGTTGTGACCCCCCCCCCCCAAAAAAGTGCGCCACTACCCCCTGGTGGAGAACACAGGCTGCTATGTACCCTCAGCGTGGTTATGAGATCTGACCACTTTTTGATTTAACGGAGGTCAAGTGTCCTGAGATAAAAAAAAAAAAAACCCTGTCTACGTTTCGGCACTGATTTGAAGATAAAAAAAAATCTGACGGGCCTGACACCCCCCTTGCAAAAATTCCTAGATCCGCCCCTGACTATGTTCAAATTAAGTGAAAGCAAAAAACCCGAGGGGCGGTTTGCTGACTCTTGGTAGCGCCCTTCAATCAGATCCCAATCTAGATCATGCATGATCAGTAAGCCAGCGGCTTAAACTCTGGGATCCGATTTGAAAGGGGCCGGGGATGGGGGTTCCTTTACTGGAGGGGAAACTGTATTCAATTTAACGATAAGAACTCATTTTTTTTTTCAATTCCCAAATTCTGAGTGGGTAAACGGGGGGGGGGGGGGGGCACAATTATTATTGGGGGGGGGGTTCCCAGTAACCCCCCCCCCCCCCCCCCCCCCAGATTAGCACGGGGTTGTCCGAGGCTCAATGATTTGTAAGAAAAAAACGTCTCACCTTTTAAAAACAAAAAAAAATCAGTTTATCTCCGCAGTCATGCCAGGTACGTCCGCTGGGGTTTGGCCTCAATAAACTATTTCTTTAGTTCCCGAGTTGTGGTAAAAATTAAGTTCCTCCCATGAACACTGATATATAAAGGAAGTGCTAGCTAAGATATTCACGAATCTTAACAAGCTGGCCAAAAGTCTTGCGTATGTGACTCAATTCCGAGTCAACAACAAGTATGAGTAACAAAGATGTGACTGAAAAAAAAACAAATTGAGTTTTTGTTGTCATGCGCTTTGCAGTCAGATGATGATGATGAATAATTACACGACGTCATAGTCGACTGGTGTACGAGCTCTGTTTCCTACAACATGTACAATACAATGCGTCTCGGGTCTAGATGCAGACTCGCGCATAGCGCTGTGTAAAAGTATGCATGATTTAATACGTGACGTACAAAAATAAACACACCACAGTCAATCGGCCATCTTCCTGATTCAGTCTCGTCAACGAAAACACGAAACACAATAACACTGAGATTTTCAGTTCCCATTTGAAAATAATTACGAAGAATTATCTACAGGAAAAGAAGGAAAATCAAGAGTTCTGTTGGTTCGGATTCTGTGACCCACTTCTCGGGATTTGGTGGTGAAAATGTGTATTCCGTGCGGAGTTGCTGGGGTGAGTTTTTTTTATTTTACATCTTTCACCCATGTAGCTTTATTCAGGACAGTCAGTAGTTCAATCAATGAAGGACGTAGCCCCATAAATGTGGCCTATTTACTGGACTGCCTCCGTAAACATAGGCCACACGTCCACATGTACAAAAATCGTGTCGACTTTGCCAAATTTTGATTTTCACATTTAGGCTTAGTTTGTAGGGTTTTTTTCGTTTAGAAGCATACTCACCCTCTTTATAGGCTAGTCAGAAAGTGCTGTCTTTTTCAGATGTATATTTTTCGTGAAATTTCCAGATTCATTTGTACACGTTTGCGTAGCCCGACTGCGTCTGGCCGTACAGTACTATCGCAAGCTCTGTAGTACGGCCAGACGCTGAATGCTTCCAAAAAGACTGAATTTTTTTGGCCGCTGATGTAGCGATTTTGCTACATCTTTCGATCGCGATTATCTTTTCATCCAGGACACAAATTTCCAAAGTTAAGGTTCGTAGTCGTAGAGCAACTCATACCTTTTCGAAAAAACGTTCTTTGGTCTCAATATTTTCATCCATCTGGCCACAAGACGAATTTCAGTCATCAGATTCCACAAATATCGTCCCCCATGCGATCCCCCATGCGATTTCAAAATGGCGGCCGCGCTGTAATGTATGCATTATGCAGGCGCCCGCGCAAACTCATGAATATGCATAAACAGTCTGTGACGTATGACCTCGTGTTTTTGGACGTGCGTGCGGCGGGGCTGTACGTCCAAAAACACGAGGTCATACGTCACAGACTTTTTGCATATTCATGAGTTTGCGCGGGCGCGCCTGCGTATTGCATATATTACAGCGCGGCCGCCATTTTGAAATCGCATGGGGGATCGCATGGGGGACGATATTTGTGGAATCTGATGACTGAAATTCGTCTTGTGGCCAGATGGATGAAAATATTGAGACCAAAGAACGTTTTTTCGAAAAGGTATGAGTTGCTCTACGACTGAGAACCTTAACTTTGGAAATTTGTGTCCTGGATGAAAAGATAATCGCGATCGAAAGATGTAGCAAAATCGCTACATCAGCGGCCAAAAAAATTCAGTCTTTTTGGAAGCATTCAGCGTCTGGCCGTACTACAGAGCTTGCGATAGTACTGTACGGCCAGACGCAGTCGGGCTAACGTTTGCGTATCAAAATTTCAACATGAAATTTCACAAAAATTAGACATCTGAAAAAGGCAGCACTTTCTGACTAGCATATAAAGAGGGTGAGTATGCTTCTAAAGCAAAAAAAACCTACAAACTAAGCCTAAATGTGAAAATCAAAATTTGGCAAAGTCGACACGATTTTTGTACATGTGGACGTGTGGCCTATGTTTACGGAGGCAGTCCAGTAAATAGGCCACATTTATGGGGCTATGAAGGACGCAGGCCTACAAAAACAACAAAAATTCCCATAACACATGATTTGTATGTTTACAGTTTTTGGTTTTGGGTATAAGCTGGTCTGCTTTTGACACTTTATTCATATTTAATGACTTCAGCCAAAGCCAGACATGCTGGAGGATTCAAGGAAATGAAGGGGTTAGATTTAGACAAATGTCAGAATAAATGTGGATTACATCTGTAAAGGCCACCACTTCCACCATGAAACAAACTAACATGGTGGAAGTGTGGCCTTATTTACGGAGGTAATCCAGTAAATTGGCTACAATTATGGGGCTATCTATCACTCCTCTTATGTTTCAACTTGCATTTCTAAAAAAATTGCTGTAGAAATACACTAGTAAGGCCAAACAAAAAAAATGGTGTGTTTACGGTAACCCGACCGACCTGGAATTTTTTCGGCCAAATTGCCGACCTCAAACTTTTTATTGCCATTTTGAAGGTTGATAATTGACAAATTTCAAACATTTCAAGTACTTTTAATTATTTGCCATGAACAAAAACCATTTTCCACACTTGAATCTGACCATGATTTGACACAAACATACCTGTGTTGACGTGCGAAAATCGCGACGATCTCAAAACTTGAATTCTCAAACTACGAAGTACGATTACTTTTGCACAAACGCATCGGGTTTTTTTTTTCTTTAATTACAAAAATATTAGTGACCTACTAGATCTCCTCTGAATTTCAAGGACAAATCTTAAGATAAAGACCCCCAGATTTGCTCTAAAATGCACCGGAGAGCTTCTAAAGTTCAAACATTTTCAGGTTGTTGAATCACAGCAAATCTTCCCCCACATGTTTGAAAAAATCCTGGGGAGAACCCTGGCCGACGATACAAATTAATTTGGATTGAAATGTATCGATTGAATATCTTCAATGCTTGAATAGTGGTTTTATACAATTTTTTTTGCGAAAGAACACGCATGGGCATGCAGAACTGAAATGAAAAAAAAAAATACAAAATAAAATGAGTTCCCTACCTACCTACCTGGATTTTTTTCAGGCCGTTACCGTAAACACACCATTTTTTTTGTTTGGCCTAAGAGGATTTTTGAGGATTGAGAATTGTTATGGTTCTATTGATAAACATGTAAATGACGTTGTAAGGCGTAATGTAGATTTCTTGGAAGCCCAGCCCCAGACATTAACCCTAACCGCCCTGAATCCTCCAAAATCCTTTTTGCAAATTGGAGGAATTTGCAGGATTGAGGTTACATGGCAAAAGTGCGTTGCTGATTTCGGAGTACGCACTGTGTCAAGGTCTTGGGCCGGACCTTGTGTTGTTTATGCTCAGCCGTGCATAAATTTAGTCCTTGATTATACTTGACATCCTCCCCACTGCTCCAGGATGTCACTGCCTCTGCCTCAGCCTATTGACAGACATAGCCGGAGGATTTTGCAGGATTCAGGCAGTGGTCATCCCTCCATGAACCATATTCAAGAAATAGCGGAGGAATTTGCAGGATTGAGGCTATATGCTATTTTTCCATGAGGCCAACTGGAGGATTTTGCAGGATTGAGGCTACATCCTAGCAAAAATGCCTAGGGAGTTAGGGTTAAAAATATGAAGGTCTGCAAATAATAAAACGGAAGTCAACATTTGGTGACCTCTTGATGAATGTGTTAGTTTGAATGATTTTTATTCTCTCCCTCCCCCCCCCCCCCACCAGTTGGCCTGCTGCTGTACGTCAGCAGCCTGCTCATGCTGCTGTAGCTTCTGCCCTGGATGCAAGAACTCAACAGCCTCGCGTCTGGTCTACGGCCTCATCCTGCTGTTTGGAACGTTCATGTCCTGCCTGGCATTAATTCCTGGTATCCAGACTGCGATACAAAGTGTAAGATTGTCAAAATCAGGGCCGCATGTATTTTTTACCAATTGAAAAGAAAAAAACAAAGGGAAAATGTCCATACTGGGTCACCACTTAACCTGCCACAAAACACATCAATTTTCACCTCACCTTGTCATTTCACCCAAGAGGAATCTAGGAAGCTCTGTAAATGCAAAAAAAAATGAGGCAAAATGTGTTTTTAGAGCACATTTTGGATGCACGCGTCGTGCAGAACTGAGTTGAAGCAGCCGGTCAAAACTGATTGAAGTGTCTGGAAAACAGCGGTACGTTATACGCACGACATCGACAACCATGACAATGCATCAGCCGGCCAATGAGAGTGCAATACGTCATTATGAATATTTTTTTTCTCATGAATATTTAGTTTATTTCAATGGATACTTTAAATACGTCCAGACTAGATTGACCATTGCAACAGCGATCGTGCGCAACCTAGCGGTTAGAAGTCTCTTGTTTCAAGCAAGAGTCTGAGGTTCGAATCTCGATGAAGTAAGTGACTGATTAATAAATAGAAATTAAGGAAAGGAGAGGGTGAGAGTAGAGGAGGGAAAGTGGAGGGAATAACCATAAAGGAGTAACTTTTGGCGCTTGAAAATTAATTGAAAAAAGTGGTGATCCAGTACAGAAATTTTTCCAAAAAAAAAACTTGGAACCCCAAAATTCAAATTTCGGAAGTTGCTGTTCAGATTATATTTGTTCATTAACCCTAACTCCCTAGGGTGATTTATTAGGAACCTTCCTCATCCTTGCAAATCCCAACACCATGGTAAACTGTACATAAACAGTTGGACTCTGTTTGCCTAATCCCACATAAAGCACAGTCAGTTTACTAGTGCAGTACTCATCCTAACAGATTCCAACAAACCCTGGTTTTGGCTGGTTGGGGATCACTAGGGTTAAAGGTTCGCACGATAATACTATCACATTGGTGTGTCAATACAGCAAGATATTGTGTGTATAGTGAACTTTTTAGCTTTATGGTGTAATTGCAGCTTTCGCGGGCGTCATAAATGTGAAATAGGTTAATTGTTTTCCCATGTAGCCTGGTTTTCATTTTGAAAATCACACCGGAATGATATTCAAAACCTTTCTCTTTTTCATTGGTTGCGAAGTGACTAAGTAATTTGTTCAGTTGGTTACGAGTACCCGATCCCATAATCCGATAATCTGGAACCCATTCCTGACATCATTGGTAAGGTGCTCAGGTACCCGGTTCTGATGAACAGACCCTCGATCAGAAAAGCTACATGTAAGAATCATCCGACATGTCCAGACAGGGCTCTGGAGTGCTCTGAAACATGCAAAACTAAATCAGGCCCACTTTACTCACACTTTAGCCAGCAAATGTTTCCAGAAATTCCATTGGGCAAAAAAAAGGTCCTCAGTATTTCACCAACAGAGTTTGCTGACTCAATTCAATTTTTAAAGGAGACTTTTCTTCAATATTTTGCACATGAGAGGGAAGTCAAGTGATTTCAAAATGGGGCTAAATACTAGACTGGTACATGTCCAACCATGGTCCAACTATTTGAAAAGACTGACCTCTTCACTCAGTGTCAATAGTCTGGTGGCTTGACTATGGAGAAATGTGTAGTAAATTGAGACTAGTTCCCGATTCATGCCACATGTTTCTTATATTCTGTTGGCATGGTTGGTTGATTGATGCAGTACTGAAACTGTGTTGGACTGGTTGTTTCAGTTGCCAGTCTATTTTCTTGTTTTGCATGTTTTCAGTACCTTAAGTTTTGGGACTCTCATACACAGTATTGAGAGTGACTACGACATGTCCCAACAGCAGTCACTACCATCACCGTTCTCTCCTTGACAAATTCGACCCATAGGGTGAGAATTGCCGAAACTGATTTTTTTTTTATTCCCGCCTGGTTTTGCAGATTCCGTACATCTGCGACAGTGATAGGCTGGAGATATGCCAGCGTTTTGGCGGCTACATCGGGGTGTACCGGCTCTGCTTCACCATGGCCTGCTTCTTCTTCCTCTTCGCGGTCATCATGATCAAAGTCAAGACTAGCAAGGATCCTCGGGCCGGAGTTCACAATGGGTTAGTGTTTGTTTTTTTTTTCTGTAGTAAAGCCTACAGGTACATGAAGGCTTGAGTGGTATTGGATGTCTAGTTGTTGTTGTCGATCACATCATAACTGACGCTTCGTGATTCGCACGATGGATACCAATGGGATCTCTTTAGAGCAATGCTGCTTGCTTCGCTGATTGACATGCCGGTTAAAGTCTTCACCTGATCGGACCATCTGAGCCTGGGTCGTCCTGGCTTTCGACTTCCCTCAACTCTTCCCTGCAATATCATTTTGTCTAGACTGTTACCTTCTCTCCGTGTTATATGCCCAAAGTACTGTAACAAACGAGCATCTGCACTGTTGATTAACCTGTGTTGCATCCCGACTTCAGTAATCACACTCTCATTTGTCCTTCTCATTGTCCACGGAATTCTTAACATTCTGCACCAACACCATAGCTCAAAAGCAGTGATACGTTTCCTTTTCGCCTTGCTCATTGTCCAAGTTTCACAAGGATAGGTTGCAATGGGGAACACAAGTGACTGAACTAGTTGAATTTTGGTTTTGTTGGTGATACCCCTATCAGTCCAGATCTTTCTTGGATGTCGAGAGTCCACAAAATTATGGTGGTATCCGGTATTATGGGTTACGTGCATAAGTACCCCCTCAACGGTAAGAACGGAAGAGTTTTGGGGAGGCCACTGGGAGAGACGATCGAAGGGATTGCCGATAACATCTGATGCTCACGCAAAGACTCTGTGGCTGTGTGTACATTCGGAATAAAATCAGTCGGGCGAACTTGGCGCTTTACACACGCTTACCAGTACACACACACTGCGTGCCCTGTCCACTGGGCTTTCAAAAGTGATTAAAAGCGCCCTCTCCCGTTCGCACACAGACCCAATATATGAACCAATCAGAGAATGCGTCTGTGAAAATAACATTTACTGAAAGACAACTGGCGCCGATCAAATGTCCACTGCTAAAGAGGAATGGACCACAGCAATGCCAAGTACTCTGCTGGGTTGTTAGAGTTTGAAGTTCCAAATATGCTTGTTCAGATTTCTCAAGAAGTGAAGTGTGTCAGGTTTTTCATATTTGTAATTAAGATTTGGTTTTTGTTTTTTTGTTTTTGTTAATGATTGTTAAGCGCCTTGAACGTCATTTTGAAGGATTGGCGCTATATAAGAATATCATTATTATTATTATTATGTGTGGGGACAGTGCTAAACTGTTTATTTAACTTGTGATTGTGTTCTCTCTGTTTTTCTTCATTCAGATTCTGGTTCTTCAAGATGCTGATGCTTCTCGGTGTCGCTGTGGGTGCTTTCTTCATCCCTTCAGGCACCTTTGAGGAGGGTAAGTGAAAATGACATATGGGTGGCTAGTGCTTAAGGTGCTTTTTTCGGCTTTTCGGTTCCCGGCTGCAGGCCATAGACTTGTGCGTTGATTTTCTCCAGGCCCTCTGCTAAATGCAACCAAATGCAACGGTTGCATTGTCTTGGCACTATGAGCACTTACCATGCAAAAAACAACAAGATTCAATAAAGCACAGGGAGTACAACAACTTTTTATCGTTGTTGCTTTCTGTTGCAATTAGGGAGATATACAATGTTGTAAAGACTAATACAATGAAATGTACATGTTGGTGCTGACGGGTGTCTCAAATCTTGTGTTTTGACAGGGCGGCAGTACTTTGGCATGGTGGGTGCCTTCCTGTCCATCTTGATTCAGTTGGTTCTCATTATGTGCAGTGTAGTACAAAGTAACACAATGTAAAACAATGAAATACAAAGTAATACAATGTAATACAATGTCATTTTGTTTGACAGTGTGGCAGTACTTTGGCATGGTGTGCGCCTTCCTGTTCATCTTGATTCAGTTGGTTCTCATTATGTGCAGTGTAATACAAAGTAATACAATGTAATACAATGAAATACAAAGTAATACAATGTAATACAATGTCATTTTGTTTGACAGTGTGGCAGTACTTTGGCATGGTGGGCGCCTTCCTGTTCATCTTGATTCAGTTGGTTCTCATTATGTGCAGTGTAATACAAAGTAATACAATGTAATACAATGAAATACAAAGTAATACAATGTAATACAGTGTCATTTTGTTTGACAGTGTGGCAGTACTTTGGCATGGTGGGCGCCTTCTTGTTCATCTTGATTCAGTTGGTTCTCATTATGTGCAGTGTAATACAAAGTAACACAATGTAATACAAAGTAATACAATGTAATACAAAGTAATACAATGTAATACAAAGTCATTTTGTTTGACAGTGTGGCAGTACTTTGGAATGGTGGGCGCCTTCCTCTTCATCTTGATTCAGCTGGTTCTCATCATTGACTTTGCCCACTCCTGGAACGAGAAGTGGGTGGAGAAGATGGAGGAAGGGGAGAGCAAAGGGTGGTACTACGGTGAGTTTTTCTTCATATAATATCATCGTGTCAGTGCAACAAGGTTGTAACTCGATTCTGTAAGAAAGTCGTATCACGAAAATACGCTCCGTGCAACTAGGTCTTATCTCGCGTATCATGGCGCCCATGGACTTCATGCTTATTTTAAGCGAGATACGATTTTTTGACATAGAAAACTCGCGTTTTCACGTACATGACGTCACATTCCATTCTAGGAGATACGACCTTGTTGCATGGACACAACGATATGTGCTGTGCAGGCAAATTTAATATTCAGTTATTGGAACTTTGATTTGATCGAATATGCGAACATTGACATTAAAGGGAAAATACAACATTTGCAAACATCGAAAAATTAAACTACCAAGTTGTAACCAAATACCTTACTAGGATTTTGGTAAATGACATGCTTAAGCATCCTGTAAAATTATGTCATTTCATCTTTAGTGGAGTCAGGGAACCAGACTACTTGAATATTTTTGTTTTTCTTGGTTTTTCCAGCATTTTCGAACACAAAACTTCAAACATGTCAGTGTAACAAAATTTGATCTATTATACTAACCCCCAAATAGTTCATTTCTGAAAATTACAGCAAAAGCCAATGATGTACATACCCTTTAAGGTTAAAGCTTTTTGAATATCATATTTGTATTGATGTATTCTCTTAGATTGCCAACTACATGTAACTGATGATTGTCCGATTTTAAAGATGAAGTTGTGGCTAATACTCCGCACAGAAACACTCAAATCATGCTTGTTAAGTGGCTGTCAAAAAATAAAACCACTCGACCGAACAAACAAAATTACATCAGGACGTTTTTTTTTTTCGCCACCTTCTCAAGATGGCTCACATTTTATTTTGAATATTCCATTTGGTAAAATGCAATTTTAAAATTCAATGCATAATCGAATATTGGTATATTTGGTATATTTATCACAGGCCTCTTGTTTAACCCTATAGGGTGGGAGGGGGTGAGAAAAGTCCTTTGGGTATTTGTTTACGATACCAATGCAGTGTGATTGTTTTTGTGCCAACACATTTATTTATTTGCAGACTAAAATCTTGTGAGCATTTTGGAGAGCGATTTTATGAAAACGGGCAAAGAGTTCGCCGGCGATTGCCGACAAAATATTCCATCAACTATGCAATTGGCACAATCACTCTTGCATGCATGGATCCGTGGAATATCGGTTGCAGTTTATATTAAAATAACTCTGTTTATAACCCTAACTCCTTTGGCCTTTTTGCTAGGATGTAGCCTCAATCCTGCAAAATCCTCCAATTGGCCTCATGGAAAAATAGCATATAGCCTCAATCCTGCAAATTCCTCCGTTATTTCTTGAATATAGTCCATGGAGGGGTGACCACTGCCTGAATCCTGCAAAATCCTGCGGCAGTGACTGTCAATATGTTGAGGCTTGGCCAGTGACATTCTTGAGCAGTACGGAGGATTTCAAGCATAATCCAGGCCTATATTTATGCATGGCTGAGCAAAAACAACACAAGGTCCGGTCCAAGACCTTGACAAAGTGCATCCTACGAAATCAGTAACGCACTTTTGCCATGTAACCTCAATCCTCCAAATTCCTCCACTTTGGAAAGAGGATTTTGAAGGATTCAGGGCAGTTAGGGTTAAACTAACTCTGTTTAATGGGTTGGTTTGTTTTTTTTCTTCCTGTTCTCAGCTCTTCTGATAGCCACAGTCGTCAACTATCTCATCACTGTCACTGGCTTCATTCTACTGTACGTCTTCTACATCGGCCGTGGGGTAGGTTACCAACCAAATAGCCATAGCCGCAGTGCTCCAAATCCTTTGTTACTGGCAAATTCCATGGCACTTCTAGGCAAACATTACTGCTTAGCCACATCTTGTAAACTTGCCAACACGCCCTTGGCGCAGACATTTTGAATCAATGCGCATGATTATAGAACTTACTGAAAATAGTTGGAATGGACTTTCAGCAAGGAGCTCTAAATGCAATGCGGCTGTAAAAGCTCTGTTCTTTAACCCTAACAACCCTGAGCCCATCAAGCTCCAACAGCGGGTTTTGCTTGATTTTGGCAGGGTTGGTACCGAACACTGGCCAGCTGGTGTTGGACTTTGATTGACTGGGTACCAAAGGCCCAGGGAGACCCTGTTGAATTTTGTGAGGTTCGGGGCAGAAGGGCATGAGATTTGTGAACACGTTGGAGTTTGAGGGAGTTCACAGGCATTTCTTCATGGGTATGCTCACCCACGGTCCTCAGCACAGTTTGTGGTCAAATGTGCATGTACATGGGAGTTCACAGGCATTTCTTCATGGGTACGCTCACCCACGGTCCCCAGTACAGTTCCTGGTCAAATATATTGCTTTATTTTGTTAGGTTTGGTACCATCCCTATCCAATCACTCGACAATGCATAGGCCCATCCATACCAAGTCAATCAAACTCCAACAGTTGGAGTTTGGCAGGTTTAGTACTGTTCCCCGTACAAGGCCTGTTGGAGTTTGGCAGTTTTGGTACCAGTGCTTACAGACCTGTATGCAGCTGTTGAAATTTGTTAGGTTTGGTATCCTTTCTAGTGCAAGAGCCTAGGGGGTTAGGGTTAATTATGAAAAAAGCATCACCACAAGAGAATACATGCATGTGTATGTTTGTGAAGTTAGAAACCAATTGCTAATTTTACTTCGTTGTGTTTCAAATTTGAGCATATGGCTTTAGAAGTTCAGATATGTAAATAGAATTACAAAAGCCGCACAAAGATTCAAGTTTTTAATAGCTTTGTACATATGGATGCGCATTAGCCCAGGCTGGACTCCGTTGTGTACACGCAACGGAGTCCAGGGTATGAATCTCTCCTGCCATAGCGAAAAAAGTTATACATGTAACACATTTTTTGCATATTTTTACGTGACGGAGGAAGCTGAAATTTCGGTTACATATTCCTTGTGTCCAGAATTGTACCTGCGCTGGGTTAAGGAACAGCAAATATGTCCGCGGGCGCCATGTTTACCGAAAATAAACCACAATCCCACGCTTTCGTTGAAAACATTTTCAGTACGAAATCCCCGTGTGAAGATTACGCGTGCGCCTGCATGCACACCTAGCACGCTGCCGCCACGGCAGCAAGCGGCACGCGCGTGTACGTCTTCACACAGGGAGTTCGTACTGAAAATGTTTTCAACGAAAGCGTAGAACTTGCGGTTTATTTTCGGTAAACACGCCGACATATTTGCCTTTTTTAAACCCAGCGCAGGTACAATTCTGGACACAAAGAATATGTAAGCGAAATTTCAGCTTCCTCCGTCGGGTAAAAATATGAAAAAAATGTGTTATAATTTTTTTCGCTATGGTGGTACAATTTATACCCTGGACGTCAGTCGCAATGCAATAAAGACGTCGTCCAACCTGGGCTAGATGCGCATATGGTTTACATTGTGTACAGGGAGGAAGCGTGCTAGTAGTCAGGCATGTAGTTGAGTCCGTCACAGGTCCCTGCAAGTCAATCACAAGTCATCCCGTCCCAGTTCAAATCACAAGCTATTCCAATGAGTTTGGACATTCCCTTTGGCTTGTTATCGGTCATTTTATTTACTTTTTTGCATGACTTATTTGTGAAAGGACTCGTCATTTTCTTGTGACTGAACTTTCTGGACTTGTGACTGGACTTGTGACTGGACGACTGGACTTGTGACTGGATGACTGGACTTGTGACTGGATGACTGGACTTGTGACTGGATGACTGGACTTGTGACTGGACTTGTGACTGGACTTGTGACTGGACTTGTGACTGGACTTGTGACTGGACTTGTGACTGGACTTGTGACTGGACTTGTGACTGGACTTGTGACTGGACTTGTGACTGGACTTGTGACTGGACTTGTGACTGGACTTGTGACTGGACTTGTGACTGGACTTGTGACTGGACTTGTGACTGGACTTGTGATGAACTTGTGACTGGACTTGTGACTGGACTTGTGATGAACTTGTGACTGGACTTGTGACTGGACTTGTGACTGGACTTGTGACTGGACTTGTGACTGGACGACTAGACTTGTGACTGGACCTGTGACTAACTTGTGACTGGACTTGTGACTGGACTTGTGACTGGACGTGTGACTGGACTTGTGACTGGACTTGTGACTGGACTCGTGGCTGGACTTGTGACTGGACTTGTGACTAGACTTGTGACTGGACGACAGGCATGACAGGACTTGTGACTGTACGACTGGACTTGTGACTAAGTTGTGACTGGACTTGTGATGAACTTGTGACTGGACGACAGGACTTGTGACTGGACGACTGGACTTGTGACTTGACTTGTAAGTGGACTTATGACTGGACTTGTGACTGGACTTGTGACTGGACAACAGGACTTGTGACTGGACGACTGGACTTGTGACTGGACTTGTGACTGGACTTGTGACTGGACAACAGGACTTGTGACTGGACGACTGGACTTGTGACTGGACTTGTGACTTGACTTGTGACTGGACTTGCGACTGGACTTGTGACTGGACTTGTGACTGGACTTGCGACTGGACTTGTGACTGGATGACAGGACTTGTGACTGGACTTGTGACTCGACGACCGGACTTGTGACTAACTTATGATTAGATTTGTGATGGACCTGTGATGTACTCGACTACATCCCTGCTTGTAAGTTAATACAGCATCATGTCTTCCTCTATCCCAGACTGATGACAGCTGTGCACTTCACAAGTTCTTCATCTCCTTCAACATGATCGCCTGCTTGGCCTTCTCCGTCGTCAGCGTCTTGCCCAAAGTCCAAGAAGGTATGATTGAGAAATTGCTTATAACTATTATGGGCTCCGTGCACAAGTACCCCCTCAACGGTAAGAAAGGGAGAGTTTGGGGGGACCACTTGGAGAGACATTCGAGCGCATTGCTGACGACGTCTGATGATGCTCACGCGAAGACGCTATGATTTTGGACACATTTAGAATGAAATTATTTCGTTAGGAAACGGTCGCATAATTCTAACCGATCATGAACCTCGTTCTTTCCAGCCCTTCCCCAGTCAGGTCTGCTGCAATCCTCAGTCATCTCAGCCTACACCATGTACCTGACCTGGTCCTCTCTCAGCAGCAATCCGAATGAGAGTAAGTTGCCATTAATCATTTAAATAAATGTACATGTATAGTCATGGTTTCCTGACGTTAAAGGGAAAATACAACATTTGCAAACATCAAAAAATAAAACTACCAAATCATTTTGAAATACCTTGCTGGACTGTTAGTGAATGACAGTGTAAAGCATCCTGTAAAATCATGGCACCTGGTATACTGTCATTTTCAAGAAAAGTGTTATTTTTGTATCAATTTCCAACGATGGTTGGCCGACCAGCATTTGAAAAAACTGGCTTTTTTCAAATACTGGCCCCAATTGACCATCGCACTTGTTTGCAATCGATTACACACCTATGAACAGGTACAATCCAGCTAGACTGGTTCCCTGACCTTACAATTCCCCAATGTATGTAAACTGCTCTGTTTCTTCTTATATGGAGTCAGGGAACCAGACTACAGGAAAATGATTGTTTTTCTTGGTTTTTATAGCATTTTCGAACCCAAAACCTCAAAAAAGTCAGTGTAACTATTATTTGCTATATATTTCCAACCCCCAATTCCATCCATTTCTGAACATTACAGCAAAAGCAAATGATGTATATTCCCTTTAACATACATGTTTTCTTTCGGTCAGTGTCGCTGTATGCTAACTTTAGAAGTCAATCGGAAAAGCCACAAGAACATTTTATTGAGTCTCACATTCCATTGCAATTTTCTTCTTTCTGAATGTTTACATCCCAAAATTTCCAAAGAATGTATCATGGGTACCAAATCGTCACCGACACCATGTAGTAACTCCCAAGTCCGCTCCAGTGTTACTTCGTAAAAACCACTACAACAAATTTTGGTTTCACGAAGTAAGACCCAAGCGTGCGCACGCACATCGGACACTGGCACGAACTATTTTTTCATTTTCACAAAGTTACAACACCGTTACGGAAATACGATTTGGATAAAAAGTTTTAAAACGTTTGACAGGAATATAATTAATCCGTATTCTTGTGGGATTACAGAAAAATTAAATAAAAGTCGTTTTAAAGTGGTGAAATAAAGAAGTGTTTCTTCGTGAAAACGAAATTGTACCGAGTGAGCGCACATTGTATTTGGGTGTTACTTCGTGAAAACGAAAATCACTCAGTTCTGTAAAATACGTGTGTGTAGCGCGCACTCAAGTTTACTCTGGTGTTACTTCGTGGTGTCGTTGACGTGGTGCGTTAAAAACATGATTCTTGCATGTAACTTATATTGCTCCTAGCTTGTACAATTTCTGTCCTGATTTTTCATTTTGTTGAAGGCGTTTTTCCTTGGCACCAATTTGTTGCAAGATAACTTGTTCATTTTTAACAAAATAAGAGTGATATCACTATTTGCCGAGAAACCTTGAGTGCAATGTGAATGTGTATGCCCGGCGAGATAGATTATTTGATTTTATTATTTGTTTCCCCTCAGAGTGCAACCCAGGTATCACTGAGATCACTGGCGGGGGTGCCGGTTCAGCTACCCAAGCCCCTGGAACTCACCCAGGACTAGGAGCTGAAGACTGGGTCACTCTAGTGGTCTTCTTGGTCTGCATCATCTACGCCTGGTAAGTTCTGTCTGGAGGTTGATTCATAAAGGGACGAACCTGTGTTCACAGGAACGGAGTGCCCATCTCTCTTTCGTTTAGCGATTGGGCCAGACTCATATGCTGCTGTGGGGGGATCGCCACACCTCCTCCACAGCGAGTCTGTTACCTTCCCAGCATTGAATAATGCCGGTACCCAATTAACACCTGGGTTGAGAGGAGAGATTGAGGTAAAGCGCCTTACTCAAGGGCACAACACGCATGGCCATGGTGGGGCTCGAACCCACAACCTCACGATCATGAATCCTGTGCTCCACCGCTACACCACATGTGCCCTTTTCATACTTCACAAGAAAGCAGAAAGGCAATTCCACTGTTACTCATGTTACATGTACATTTTTGATGTACTTTTGAGTTTCCTTGGGCTGTAATTACCTTACTGAAAAGGGTTAATAACTGTTATCCCCATGGTAGATAGAGTAGACCTAGACCTACCTAAACACCAAAGATGACATCCAGAAAAATGTGTTATGTATGATAAACAAGACGCACAAAATCGGTTGCGTTACAAAACTGGTGCTTAGGTAGGTGTAGGTCTACTCTATCTACCATGGCGATAACAGTTATTAAACCTTTTCAGTAAGGTAATTACAGCCCAAGGAAACTCAAAAGTACATCATAAATGTAACGTGAGTAACCGTGGAATTGCCCAGAACAAATTTCAGTAGGTCACTAATTGAAATTTGTGATGTTCTCTGTTACACTCATGAATTCGCATTGTACTGACATTTTTTGTTTCTCTTGATAGAAGGTTATCGTTCTTTTTATGTTAAATGTGAAATCCATTTATTACGTTGTTAATAATTATAGCTTCTAACATATTATTAATCATAGCTTCTAACATGTGGCAGTGGGCATTTTGGACTACTTTAGTCAAACAATGAATGCTCAGCCTTCTGGAAAAGGATCGACTTATATTGGTACCATATTGAAGATTATGACATAGCGCATCTTCCAATGTTAAATTTATATGACAATGATATTACATTTTTCAACAATCCGAGTTTTCGTAGCTGTTGCATTTTTCGAGGGACACCGTGTAGTAATTCTAGTCTAGTTTGGTCCTTCATGAATTTCCTCTGTTTTTTTAATGTTTACATGGAATGTCTTTTTCTCACAGCATCCGTTCTGCTAGCAACAACAACGTGAGCAAGCTGACCGGCGGCGATGTAAGATATCTTTTTGTTTTTTTCAAAGTTACTCTCACATAAACAGCGTTCACACAAAGTCATCAATACAGATTTGAAACGATCAAAACTTCACACAGCATGGACATTATTATGTTAAAGAGGTTGTGGAATGCTCGAAGACATTTCCGTCATTTTTCGGGTATATGTAGCCTAAGGTGTGATGAAATAAAAACGACTAAATTGTGTCTGTCAAGAAATGAATACAAAAGGTACTTTTGAGAGCTGTTTTTCAGGTCCTGTTTTGACCCGAACGTGCAATTTGTGTAAAAGTCGTCGTGACGCAATAAACAGGACTCCCTATGCAGCGTAGTATAAACGAGTCCTGTTTATTACGTCACAATGTACTATGTTTTGTTTTCTGCCCCCAACGACGACTTTTACACAAATAGCACATTCGGGTCGAAACAGGACCTGAAAAACAGCTCTCAAAAGTACCTTTTGTACTCATTTCATGACGGACACAATAGTCGTTTTTATTTCATCACACCTTAGGCTACATATACCCCAAAAATGACGGAAATGTCTTCGAGCATTCCACAACCTCTTTAATACAAAATTGTCTACTTCATAGTTTTCTGAAATTAGACCATAGCGTAGCCAAGGTTCAAGTCTAGTCCCACAAACAAGCTACAGCGCTCCTGCTACTGGCTTCAATCCCGGACAGACACAGTTTCTCAAATTCTCCGAAATGCAGTATCTAGGCACAAATTTGATAACCAAGTCGAGTATTTCAACTGCGCATGCGCACAATGATGTAGGTCATGGGTCATTCGGGATAATGAACGCGCATCAACGGCGCATGAATCTCGCATGGAGACGGTTCACAAAGCTTGCGTGTTATTACGCGCAGAATGGGCGTTCGCGTAACATCATGTAACATCAAGTGATTGATTTTGTCTTGAATGACCTTTGACCTGGACTATTTCATCGGGATACCGAACTGGCTTATTAAAAAAAAAAAGAACGGAACAAATGTAAGGAGATTAGGCTTTGAATGATGTTAGCCTTCTGACAAGGCTGTCATGCTTGGGCTAATTTAGCACATACTGCACACACTGAGTATTAAACAAATTCACGAGGCTGCCTTTTGAACTGATCAGGATTTCTTATGTTATTCTTTGCACAGGGTGTTATAAAAAAAAGGAAACCGAGCTTATTTTGTTGATTTCTCGAGTATGACTAATTATTTAGGAAAATGGTAACCACCATCTGTTACATGACCACGTCGTCTTTTTCTTGACACCACGAACTCCATTTTACCGTCACGGATGACTGAGCACCAAGTGATGTAACTGACATGCTAAAAATGGCCTTGTACCACATGCACCATAAGACCAATGGACAGTTATCAGAGAGAGAGAGAGACGTTATCAGCAATGCGTTCACAGCAATGAGAACCAGGGCAGAGATTTGCGTTGAAAGGAATGGGGGCATGTTGAAGGACAGTGGGGTTAACGGGGACAGTGATAAACCTTGATATGTTTAGCAATTGTTATTATCAACATGCTGAAAACTGTCAATTGGTCTTATGGTGCATGTGGTACAAGGCCATTTCTGGCATGTCAGTTTCATCACTTGGTGCTCAGTCATCCGTGACGGTAAAATGGAGTTTGTGGTGTCAAGTAAAAGAAGACATGGTTATGTAACAGATGGCGGTTACCATTTTCCTAAATAATTAGTCATACTCGAGAAATCAACAAAATAAGCTCGGTTTCCTTTTTTTTGAAACACCCTGTATATCTCTACCCTTTGGAGGTTATTTCAGCCTATGACCTATCAGCCATGACAGTATGAATAGAAAGGACATGAGACCCTGAATCTGGCATGAATATTCATGAGTTGTAGTCAACTTCCCTATCCACGTGCTCATTTCAGAAAATGGCACAGTATGGCACAGACGGAAATATACAATACAGAGATATGGACAGAGAGGTAAAACAAAATGAATAATCACGAATACCAAACATTTCACTGTCATCGGTTTGGCCCAGGGCTCCTGTCATGTCTGTGCAAAAGACATCAAGCAAAGGGGTTTGAAATCTCAGCTTTAGGCCAAAAAAAAAAGTCTCCGGTTTCTGGTATGGAGCTTGCCCCAAAAGTGGTGCGGCGACGCGGCTTTTTTTTTTTTTTTACCTGTTTTTTTTTTTTTTTTGGCTTCAAATGTCGGCTGATGACTGCAAATGGTGCCCGACTAAACTTAGTGCAAATATATGGGAGTCCAGAGAGGCCACATAAATCTTATTCTCGATCATAACCCCATCTAAAAACACGTTAAAATTGTGCAGCAGCAGAATTCCAGTCAAACCAGTGAGTTTGGCGGTTTTGAAACATCATCTTGTATTGAAAAAAAAACTTTTTCATTTTGCCGACGCGCATGGCTACGGCGACGCGCGCGCATACCAGAAACCGGAGACTTTTTTTTTTGGCCTTAAATCCAAAACACAAAAAAAGCTGAAATCAGCTCTAAGAGCTGATTTCAGCTTTTTTTGTGTTTTGGATTTCAGCTTTTTTTTCCTCACTTGCTGTGTACAAAGACTAGGAGATTTCCAAAGTTCAGCTTTTTTACACCTTTTTCAGCTGTGTTCAGCTATTTTTATCCGTGGTCACTCGCACCCCTGCAAAAAAAAATAATGCTCAGGTCATAAAACTGAGAAATCGTGTCATTCTCGTGGAACGAGCGACATCTCGACACAAAATAATCGCAACCATGCTCATGTCAATCACAACATGACGACGATTCCATGGCATAGACAGTCATGTGACTTCTTTAAAGGGAATATACATCATTTGCTTTTGCTGTAATTTTCAGAAATGGATGGAATTGGGGGGTTGGAAATATATAGCAAATATAGTTACACTGACTTTTTTGAGATTTTGGGTTCAAAAATGCTATAAAAACCAAGAAAAACAATCATTTTCCTGTAGTCTGGTTCCCTGACTCCATTTAAGAAGAAACGGAGCAGTTTACATACATTGGGGAATTGTAAGGTCAGGGAACCAGTCTAGCTGGCTTGTACCCGTTCATAGGTGTGTAATCGATTGCAAACAAGTGCGATGGTCAATTGGGGCCAGTATTTGAAAAAAAGCCAGTTTTTTTCCAATGCTGGTCGGCCGATCAGCGTTGGAAATTGATACAAAAATACCACTTTTCTTGAAAATGACAGTATACCAGGTGCCATGATTTTACAGGATGCTTTACACTGTCATTCACTAACAGTCCAGCAAGGTATTTCAAAATGAATAGGTAGTTTTATTTTTTGATGTTTGCAAATGTTGTATTTTCCCTTTAACATTAGCGGTAAAAGCGTGTTGATAACAATCCAACAACCGTCCACAGCCACATCTGTTCATTCAGCCGTTTTTGCCGCGCACTGATTGGCCACACAATAAAATAAGATGATCTTGATGCGCACAAAATGTCGTAACTCACACAGCTCGACTGCGATTGATTCACACCTGTCGGGAACACGTTGCAGAAGTTGAATTTTTCTACTCTTGCGACTGTTGATTGTTTTTAACCTGCCGACTGATGCCGATCGTTTTAATATCGTCGCAGTTACGCTTAAGTCGCCAAAAATCGGCAACTGATATTTTCCCGACGGTCGTACATGTAGCTCAGACGCAGCTTGATTCTGAAAAGTCAGTCGCCCACCATTCTGGCTGTGTCGCCTTTTGAGGGTGGCTTTAGAGGACAGTTAAAGGCCCTTCAGGTCCTTCAAAGGGTGGTCCATTAGACTCGAAAAGATTTACGTACACAAGTTTGTACAAGTACACTGCATGCCATTGCCTGGTTCTTGTTAGGCAATACATGTACATACATGTGGGCCGCTGTGGTCCAATTGTTACGGTGTTCAACTCATGTTCTGTCATACCTGGGTTCAAACCCAGACGGGAAACATGGTGCTTGTGTTCTTAGGCAAGACGCTTTACTACACTTGCCTATCCACCCAGGAGTATAAATGGGTACCTGTGAAGGTAGAGACCAAATTGCACTGATCTCGAGCTGCTGCAGAAAATGATCTCATTCCTGATGAACAGGGATAATTTTAAAGCCAGAGTCCATGATTTGCAGCTATCCAAAAAGTAACTGGTGTAATTATTGGTGAAAAACATACTTGGTTGAAAGATAGTAAGGGGACTAAACTTCCTGTGAAATTATTCTTTCTGGCAAGCTGTCATTCTGAAGAAATCAACAAAAGAAAGCCTTTCCAACAGTGCTTCTTAAGAAGCACCTTAGGAAATTCAAATTAGTAGGTCGTTTTGTTATTCGGTGAAGCACGGTTGCTATAATTCGTCAGATCAGTGCGCGGCATTACGTAGCTGCAATCGGCTCAGTGAGAACATGTCTCTGACGCTGAATTCAGGCCAATTCAAAACATGATTCAGCAACTTGTGATTTGGAATCGAGATCCTAGAATGTTGTTTTTCTCGAAATGTACAGCTAAAGCTGAGCTGAAACTTCATCGGGTTAGTTGTTTCAGCACCCTTCTTTAATTCTTGAGCACCTTTGTTCAAGATAGACTTCTTTGGGTTAGTTTGCGACACTGATCATGCTGATCAATAAATACGTGTACAGTTTCTGTATTGCAGGAGCCCTGTAGCTGGTTGTGGTATAAGCCCATGCACATGACATACACCACCAAACCACTCAATCCTAACAATGGTGTCCTTTTAAACATTTGCATGTAATTTCATAAAAATGAATGGAAATATCGCAAACTGCTTATTGACTGGATTGACTTGAAATAATCAAATAACAAATATGACAAACATTTTTATCCTAGTAGAAACTTTGATGCTAGGATTGAAACGTTAGGATGTCTAATTCTGTGAAGTTTACTTCATATGCATAAAACATTCATCGTGAGATCTTGACATGTTTGGCTCGAAGACAAATGACACTGTGGAGACATTTTTTTCAATTTATCATCACGGCAGAAAGCTTCTCAGCATTTTTTTTTTTCATATTTGGCTCATACGTGTTCATTTGGAGCCATACAATATGGCAATTTGGCTGAAAAAAAAACAACATTAAAAGCAATTCCGAACAAACACATTATAACAATGATACCAGTTTTCTTATATTTACCCTGCTTGAAAACACTTCCTATTTGGACAAATAGCAACAAAAACCAAAGAAAAACAACTTTGAAATCAACATTGCGCACTGCACCTCGTAAGTTTCATATCTTATCACCATACAGCACGATCAGCACAATTCAACACATTAAAGTAGTAAAATATTCCACACTCCACATTGTCCATTCTTCCCAGTGCTTTTCACCAAGTCACATCATACATATCATTTTCAGACAGTTCATAAAGTATAAAGTAAAGCACATTTTACATATGCACCACACTTTAAACATGTAGCTTAAATTCCTGTAAAGCACAATTGAGCACATTCAAATAATAAAATACATATTTTCTACATTCCTCATGCATTATTCCAAAGTCTCCTCATAGTTTCATATATTTTTTTCCAGAAAATTCATAAAAGCATAAGGCACCATATTATAAGCAAAAGAAATTTGTTAACTACATGTACATGTACGAAGTATAACTTGATGTCGTAGGGCGAAAAAGCCAGTAAAATACAGGTTATATTTTACCGTCTTGTTCTCTTAGTTGACATTATTGACATTTGGTATAGATTTATACAAATTTAATAGGTGCTTACTTTTTTCTCTTTTTTGTTTTGCTACTTTTGGGGGGGGGGGGTTCATGTGGATCCTTGTTCTGGTTATTCGAAGACGATAGATCAATTTGCCCCTTTCTGTTTTATTGGCATTGGGTATGCCTTTTTACCAAAGCAGTTTGCCGATTTGGAAAGGTTCTCTAGATGTAACCATGGACCTATTATTTGTCTTCATATGATGCCTGGCTCAAAAGTTATGTCAAGAACTGATATTTGTCGAAATCCAAGATGGCCGCCAAGATGGCCGCCAAATGAACCCCATGGGACAATATTTGATCTTGGGAACATCAAAATTTGTTCACTAGACACCCTAAGGATTGCAAAAAAAAGTAGGTTAAAAAAATATATCCAGGGGTGCATGGGAACCCTATCTTCCGACTAGACTATTATGGACTTCGTTTATTTAATTTTTTTTTTTTTTAAATAGTATGGTATTCTTTTTGTAGTATCGGGTGTGGCTCCCCTGTGCTTTAATATTGGGAAGTGGATACATGTCTTGCCCTTTGTCTTTTATCGTAGGGTGTGGCTTACTATGGGGTTACTGAGGTAAGCATGCGTGACACAAGATTCTTTGGGGACTTGTATGTACTTGTCTTTAAAATATTGGGAAGTCCTTCTTAAATTAAATATGGGCGTCGTTATTTTGGGGCATGCTAGGTTTTGTTTTTGTATTTGTTTTCAATAAAGAAATCATTTTCTGAAAATCATGTCATTACATAATGCCTCTAAAAATCATAAAACGTGTGCTTTCACCCGCTTGCACAGCGCTTTTGTCACAAACTTTTTTCCACAATGTTACCATAATCAGACTTTTGTAGTTAAATCCACCATAATGGATCTTAATTCTGAATATGTGATGCGATCAAACTAAATGAGTCGTTTGTCAACCCCCGTCAAAAAAAAAAAAAAAAATTATTACAGATTTGAAAAGAGCACAATCTCAGCATTACTGCTGTGAAAACCGCATGCTGATACCATCTTTTGTTCAAAAATTATGGAAGTCAAAACACCAAGAGATGTGATGAAGTGATGTGATGAAGTGGCCCTATTTTGGCCTCTATCTCCAAATGAAAACTTCTGACAATCTTCAGGAGAGTGCCTAAACTCTAAGAAAGTGAATACTTAAGTAGCAAAAGGTGAAATCAATGGATTTAGTATCTTCACCATGCAAAGCCTCAAATCTTACTTATCTTCGCTCTACGGGGAGCTGGTTACCAACCAGGTTAGGTTGTATGAACGGACGTCAATTCGGCGTTCTAAACTCATCAACAACTTAACCTTCCTCAAGCGATGCCGCGACTCTAAGATAACTCCTGCCGGTCTGCGTATCCGCGATCCCATACGCAATAACCGATCGGATGACATCCTCCGGAGAGCCAGCTCCGCACTCATCCGAGAACGCATCTCCTTCACCAGACTACAACTCGCCATCCTCGACCAGCAGATCACCGACACGGAAGAGGATCTCCGCTCCACCTTGGAACCAGTCCACTTCGACAGGATTTGTTCTCTCACTACTTCTTCCAGCCAGTTTGTGTTTTCCACCACTCGTCAGAAACAACTTAGGAAATTCTACCGCCTGGAACGCAAGGAACGGAATACTCCGACTCCTTTCCACCGTAACCGTAGCCCGCCAACTGGATCTCCTATATCCTGGCGTCATCCATCTCGCTTACATAGCCCGCCAACTGGATCTCCTATATCCTGGCGTCAGTCTTCTCGCCCGCGTAACCTGCCATCTGGATCCCCTATATCCTTGCATCGAGCAGATGCATTATCCACCCCCCTCTACAGACGACTCAGACCCTCCAGTTCGATCTGTCCCAGGTTCTTTGGTCAACCAAAGATTCACAAACCTGAGATCCCTCTGCGCCCCATAGTTGCCTCTCGAGGTTCCCCCACTTACCACACAGCCCAACACTTAGCCAAAATCCTCAGACCCTTGGTGGGTCAGACACCACACCATGTTTCCAACTCTTCCCAGTTTGTCAGCATCACCAGAAACCTCACTGTCCAACCCACTGACTTGCTTGTCAGTTTTGACGTCGTCTCACTCTTCACCAATGTTCCCACAGGCGAGGCCTGCAAACTAGCTAAGGAAAGACTTGAACATGATACCACTCTCGCTGAACGCACAGACCTGTCCCCCGACCAAATTCATGATCTGTTACTAACATGTATTTCTTCCAGTTGTTTTCAGTGGCAAGGCAAGTTCTACGAGCAAACGGCTGGGACCTCCATGGGATCTCCTTTATCCCCGGTCCTAGCCGACATCTTCATGGAGGAGTTCGAGTCTTCCTCCCTACTCACAGCGGATCTTCGGCCAACCCTGTGGCTACGCTACGTTGATGACACCTTCGTAGTGTGGCCCCATGGCCCGGACACACTCCAAGACTTCCTCCAGTACCTCAACAAGCAACACACCAGCATCAGCTTCACCATGGAACAAGAACAGCATGGCACCATTCCTTTCCTGGACGTCAAGATCTCCAGGAATCCGGATGGCACCCTGGGACACAGCGTCTACAGGAAACCCACCCACACCGACCGCTATCTCCACCAGCGGTCGTTCCATCACCCCAGCATCAAGTCATCGGTCAACCGCACCCTAGTACAGAGAGCCTTCGAGGTCTGCGACCAAGACAACCTCAAGCGTGAACTCAAGCACATCCAGACGTCACTACAACGGAACGGCTACAAACCCAACCGCATCAAGATCAGCAAACCTGACCAACGGGTCCCCTATACCCAAGGTCCCCCCACTGTATCTCCCTCAGTCACTCTTCCTTACATAGGTCCAGCTTCTCATCATCTGCAACGCATCCTCCGACAGGCCGGCGTCAAGGTGTACCACTCATCTGGCAACAAGCTCCAAGGCAGCCTCCATACTCACAAGGACAAGCAGGACTCCTCTTCCAAGCCGGGAGTCTACCGCATTCCATGCGAATGCGGCAAAGTCTACATCGGCGAAACCGGTCGGAACCTTCCCACTAGGCTCAAGGAACACAGAGCACATGGACGGCGAGGGGATTTTGACAAATCGGCCATTGTCAAACATTCCCACATCAACGACCACAAAGTTGATTGGGATGCGGCCGAACTCATCGCACCGATCCAGTTCTGGCATCCAAGACGCATACGGGAAGCCATCGAGATCCGCAAGCACAACACAGTTCCGCAAGACATCGGGTTTCATCTCAACGACATCTGGCTCCCACTTCTCCAGACTGATGGGTCTCCTATACCCTAGGTCCTCAGCTACTACCTTAGACTGATGGGTCTCCTATACCCTAGGTCCTCCCTCCACTGACACTGCAACCCTACTGTTCCACTTCAGTGGGCACTAAGCTTGCTCAGGGATCCTGTCTACTTGGCATCCTCACAGGATGCAACTTCACACTCCATTGATTTCACCTTTTGCTACTTAAGTATTCACTTTCTTAGAGTTTAGGCACTCTCCTGAAGACGGTCAGAGCATACTGACCGGAACGTCGAGTTTATACCTCTGGTTCTTCTCAGAACCATTCTCTTAGTTGAGAAATTATTCGCACATGGTGTTTCCGCAAACCTTTCATTATTTAGTATCTTCACCATGCAAAGCCTCAAATCTTACTTAACTTCTGACAAACGACTCACGTAGCTTGATCGCATCACATATGTTTTTTCATAATCTGAATCTTATAGCATTCCACGAAATGAATCAAACTAACTGTTTTATTTTTCTTTGTGTTTCCCAGTGAACCTTAGTGAACCTTGAATTCGTAGAAGCAGAAAAATCCCCCAAATGTACTGATGTTTGTTTTGGAATAAGTGTTAACATAATGGCAAACATTTATTGTTTTACACGTCAAAGAAAAGATAGTGTAACATTTCATTCAATTTTTCTTTTTCCCCCCAACAGAAAGTGCTTATCAGTGATTGTAAGTATTTCTTTGTACATTTTATTCTTCAAGTTATTTATTAGTGCATGTGCTTATATATCGTCACCGACACCACGAAGTAACACTCTACCGTGTTAAACCATATTATTTTTTTTGATTTTCAGTTTTTTGGATTTTTAAACATTATTTATCAAGGCCTACCATTGTACGAAGTGTCAAAGCTTCAAGAGCTTTACTTTAATAACTACGCTAAGTATCCATGGCAACTTTTGCGCAAAAGTGACCATTTTCGTTTTCATGAAGTAACACTCAAGTTCCATTTACCATTGCAATGCATGGCGAACACTCTGCTCATATTTGAGCAAAATCGTTTTCAAGAAGTAACACTCTTCTCGTAATAAGTTGTATGAGCGCGCGCGCGCTGACCTGAAGTTGCACTTTCCTCATGCTGTATACATTGAAGAGAGTTACTTCGTGAAAACGAAAATTTACAGTTTCGCAGCTTTTTCGGTTTCACGAACTAACACTCATTTTTTTTTTCTTATTTCTTGTTTATTTAATACACAAACGGGTGAAAAACAGCAGATTTAATAAATTCAATTCATCAAGTGTCCACAACGAGAAACTCAACTGAAAATACTCTGTCGTTTTGACGCAAAGTGTTGTTTAAGAAGGCATTCAACTTTAGATGCCGTTTTTTCCGATTGCTAGTTTTTACCGGTATATACATGAGTGTTACTTCGTGGTGTCGGTGACGATATGAAACTCGATCATTTGTGTAATTATTTTCTTTCTGAGACCTTGCTGCGTTGATACATGTACATTCATAGGCTTGGGATCATTTGCATTTATCCCAAAAGTAATCTACCATGTCTACCGAAACATCAAAAAGCTCACTTGGATTAAAGATCCTACTTGTACTAAACGCTCCGTTAAATTATTCCATCTGGCTTGCTGTCATTTAGAAGAAATCAAGAAATGTAGGTAATTTCCAACGATCAGTCAACTGACTGATTTTTGGAAGTAAGAAGTGCTATTAACGAAATTGTGTTTTGTGATCGAAAGGTTGTGCATTGTTTTTCACTGTTGTCTCCTAAAGTGAAATGTCCACCTAAACTGAAAACTCCAAAAGGATTCAGGTTTTGGACATTCTTCTTATTATTGGAAACAAACTAAATGCATGAAAAGCAAAGGTCCCTACAAACTGCTAATTCTGAGACAATGAGACACAGTCTTATCCATCAATGCCGCAGTTGTATCCAATCTTGATTCTTTCTCGTATCAGCTCCGACCTCCTCAGAGAACAACGCCGGGGATGCGGAGAAAGGCCGCAACGTCTGGGATAATGAGGAGGAGGGCGTGACTTACAGCTACAGCTTCTTCCACTTTATGCTGTTCTTGGCGTCGCTGTACATCATGATGACACTGACCAACTGGCTCCAGTGAGTGTTAAGGCTTTGTCACAATGAAAATAATCCGACACCACATATTTTTGTTTTAAAGATACAACATTTGCAAACATCACAAAACGTAATGATCAAATAATCACGAAATACCTCACTAGATTGTTAGGGAATGACAGTCTAAAGCATCCTGTAAAATTGTGGCTCCTGGTGTACTGTCATTTTCAAGAAAAATGGTATTTTTCCAACGCTGGTCGGCCGACCAGCGTTGGAGAAAACTGGTTTTTTTTCAAAAACTGGTCTGAATTTTTCATAATTAGTTATTCCGTGTTTTCTTTGCAATTGTTTACACGCCTGTGAAGGGGTACAAGCCTGCTAGACTGATTCTCTGACCTTACAATTTCCCAAAGTCATGATTGCTCTGTTTCGTCTAAAGTGGGGTCAGGGAACCAGACTACAAGAACACGATTGGTTTTCATGGTTTTTCCAGCATCTACCAGCCCAAAACGTGAAATAAGTCAGTTTAACAATATTTGCTATAACATAATAATCCTCCAAATCAATTTATTTCCAGAAATTGCAGCAAAAGCAAATGTTGTACATTCCCTTTAAAATTAATGAAGTTTATCACTAACCTTACCAACTCCGTCAAAGTGCACCCCCGCTTGGTACTTGGTAGAAATTCCTCCTGATTTCTCCGTCGGGGAGATTTACAAAGTGGCCTTCAGGAAAGTGGAAACCAATGTGATTTTGATTTTGAGTGGTTATCTCATTGTGCATGTACAGTAAACTCCGGCTAAACCGACATTGTACAACTCGTCAAATCGCTCAAGTCGGCCGTCTGACTAAAGTCCCGATTGTCCATAATGCATTTCCATTGAATTTTTTATTTCTAAGTCAGCTTTTATAAGTCGCCATTTCGCTCAAGTCGTCGTGTTACTCTCGGTCCCCTTTCCATAAAAAGCATTACAAAATCCTTTGTGTAAGTCGGCATTCAACAAATCACGCATTGGCATCAACTTCCTGTGCTGCGGTTGGCAAAGTGTGGAGTGAATAGTGGTTGCGCACGGCCCGTGATCACTGCATGCATCGGTGTCGAAAAAGGGTGTCATACTGCATACATCGCGTATGCATCGTGGGCATATCAATACCAGTACCCCCTCTAGGCTGTACGCATGCGCTCTGTCCATTTTGGGGGTCGTCTTATTGAATGACTACTGCTGCAGTCAATGCATGCCTGGTATATACCGGACCACGCACGCATTTAATTCGTTACTGTGCACTTACATATGTTTCGTGGTCTCCACTATCAATACCCCAAACGTGATGATAAAAATTACAATTCAAGGATTAATTTGCTGGATTCAACTCAAGTATTAAGGAGATAATCCAGGGTAAATCGAAGCCAATTAGTGCAATGAATCATGTGTGCAATAGACCATTATGTAAGTCGGCAAAATGAGGACTTACAGCAGATATCGGCATTCGCGTAAGCCGTCACAAATTTCCGGGTCCCGAGAGTGCCGACTTAGCCAGAGTTGACTGTAGTTGCCTCTGGGCAATTCCACACCAAAGTGGACATAACACCAAAAAATTCAAATACATGTGACTTAAACAAATTTGGCATCAAATGAAAGCTAAAAGTCTATATTTTCAAGATTTGAAGTCAGAATTTTATTTTTGATACATTTTGGTACCAAAAAATAGGATTACGTAATAATCCTGTTTTAATCCTAAAAATGTGATTAAAAGTGATATGAAAGTATTCTACCAATACACACACAAAAATAGGTACTAATGCCATTAGTTTCTGTCATGAGAAAGTATTGGCCTTGAAAAACTGACTGAAACTTGTTTTTAATGTTTTGCGTAATTTGTTTCGCTTCAGTAACTTCTAATATTTCAGCCTTCGAAAATGTCCTTCCGTTACCCAAAAAATACATATTTTTAATTTATTTTTAAAACTTGCAGTATGAATGCATTGAAAGTTATTGTGCAAAGCAAGTTTAGGTAGGCCTCCAATATGACATTATAACTGACACTGCTGTACTTCTCGTTTTTTAATTACAATTAATTAAATCACGTCCTTCCGTTACCAAATTGGTAACGGAAGGACGGTAACGGAAGGACAAATCGTATTTTTATCAAATGTTATGACATTTGTGCTCATGTTTGAAAAATGAAAATCACTGCAAATACATGCATGTATAATGAGCATTGAAAGGACATTCATGTGACCCACCTTCACAAAAGCGGGATAAGCAGGGCAAGGTGTTTATTACAAAGGATGGCACAGGCATGTACAACGTACAATGTACATATATGTACATATATGCCGATGTACCAGTACTTGTACATGTATGGAGTTGTTGCAGAAAATCAAATCATAAAGTTGCTGCCATCAGCAATCATGGACAATAGAGAAAGATACAATTTCTGTGAAGCCATTCCAGAAGCAAATTAAGTCAAAAATGAGATGGAAGAAAGTACCGGTACTTTGGGGCACTTTCATTCAATTTACATGTGTAAGACATGTGAGGTGCAATCTTTGACAAATTATGCCCAAGTTAACAACTTCAGTTTGGATGTTTATAAGTTAATTGTTACTACTGTAAATCATTGTAATTTGATTTCAAACATTGAATTTAGAGTTCAATTAAAAGCAACACCTAAAAGCATAATGATTCTGAAGCCATCAGTTCTACCGGTAGATGTTTTTACCTTGTACATGTAGGCTGGTCGCCCCCCCCCCCCCCCCACTCTTTAGGTAAACCACTGAACCTACCGGTATTATTATTAAAAGTTGTTGGTGAACATGTAACCAATATACTCAAGTGTTCAAATACTGTGTATTTAAACTTTTAAGGATTGAGGTGATGGGTTTGAAGTTCATTTCTGTAGTTGTCTTGTGTTCGTGAATGATGTCTTTTTGGTTGTTTTCATTTTTCTTTTGTTATCATTAATTAACAGGCTTCTATCTTTATCTCAATAGTTTTTTGGGTATAATTATTTATGCCAGGTCTGCATATTGTTGATTTCACATTCAGTTACACATTTCAGCAATTTGTTTCACTTGTATAATTAGTGTAAATTCACATTTTGTTCATGCTATAATTGAGTAAACCTTTTGTCCTTCCGTTACCGTCCTTCCGTTACCAAATTATAATCCACTTAAAACGTTGTAATTATATTACCGAAACACTTAAAATCAAATGAAAGGTGGTATAGTATAGATAAAGCTTCAGGGATTCCATTTCCTACCTTTAAAATATAATTGCCCCATAAAATTCACAGAGTTTACGCAAAACGCGAGTAAGTTGGAAAACCCTTGTCCGTTTTACCGTCCTTCCGTTACCGACCTCATTAATATTCATAATTCAAAAACGGGAGGCATTCATGCCCCCCAAAAGTGTGGAAATTGAAGATAGCATTATAGCAATACAATTGTGACATTTGTTTGCTGTCAACTATTAACAGTGTCTGTGATACACACATTTGAAATTTTGTTTAATGAGTGAAAACGTCCTTCCGTTACCGTGGAATTGCCCCTATGTAGATGCTACTAACAATTGCTGGTGAGGACGAGTCCATAACAGTCTGAAGGAGATTGTTCTATACGTTGATGGTTCTCGGAAAGAACAAGTGCTCAAGTGTTCATGTTGAGATATGGGTTCTCTCAAATTGTTAGTTGGTGCCTTTCCTTGACCCTCTAGTTTTTGGCTTTAGGATGTGACTAGAATCTAGTGTGATAATGTAACAGTTGATTTTGAACAGGATTGTAATCTGGTGGTTAGCTCACCTGTTTTTTTTATTTGGGGGGGGGTGGGATATTTTAGTAGATAAGCTATGTGTACCAAGTCTATCAAAATCCACCAGCGCCAGTGGTGGATTTCAATGGTTATTGGTCCTGAAGCATTATGTGAAGCAGAGTGAGTCATGGATTTTGACGGACATGGTCTTCTAGTTAGTAAAACTAAGTAGGGAGTTGGGTTTAATGTTAATGCATTAAATGTGTTCGGAGTGGTATTCTCAAAATGTTTGATGGTTCTTATGTCTCGTGCTGTTCCTGACAATCATGGGTGCTGTTGCTGTCTTCCAGCACGCTCTACAGTTTACCAGTTCTCTTTACTTATTATCAACTAAACATGTGAATCGTTGAACAAAATTTAATTAATTGTCATATACTGAATCAAGGATAACACACCAAGAAAACATAAGGTTGATGGCAGCCACAGCCTACAAAATTGTGGCTAATTTTGATATTGAAACAGCCGTTACACTGACTTCTGCCCAACAAAACAGCTGTAGCTTTGCGTGAGAGTAAAAAGAAACTTTTGAAATTCATTATCTTATTTTTGTTCTACTCCAAAACTCCCAAATTCCAGCCCTACCACAACACTCGGTGACAGCCTGACGGCCAGCACGGGAGCTATGTGGGTCAAGATCTCCTCCAGCTGGGTCTGTATACTCCTGTATGTCTGGACCCTGGTCGCGCCCATCGTTCTCTCCAACCGCGAGTTCAACTAGAGAGAGTCTTCAAAATACCTGCGCAAGCCCAAGGCCGATTTACACAGAAGCACGGTAACCGAATTCCGCGCGTGTTCCCAAATTATAATGCACTGGAACAGTGGAACAGTATACGCTGTATACAACATGCAAGAGGTAAAGTGATATAACGCTGTGCCTATAAGCGGGTGCAATTTCTTCTTCTTTTTTTCTTCAAAATACTGTGCGTTCTGACAAATCAGCGAATGGAGTTAGTGACGTTGCGTCGGTCTGGAAACCTTTCGTTATTTTGCATAAATTTACATAATTGCGTGAGGTCATCCACCTATGTATAAATGGTGATGTGTTGCTTTTTGATTCTGCGCTTCTATGTAAATCGGCCATTTGTTGATGGGGGGTCCAAAGCATTGGCTTTAATTTTAAGCTCCATATCATGCTCCATATTGGTCCATATATACTCTGCTTGCTTTGATATGAGTCCAAAGTTATAAGTGACAAATATGGCTGTGCCCCTGAATCGTGAGCTGGTCCGTAGTTCGCCAAGTTGAGGTGCCAGGGTTTTTTTATGACGGATCTTCTGAAAGCCCATTACAAAAAAAAACTGGACCCGAAAATATTGATCGACATTTTTACAAAATTTCAAAAAGCATACATGGGTCGTTAATCCCTCCCTACGAGTGTACGTTTCTGCGCTTTTGAAAAATGTTGATAATTATGCATGACCAATAAGCTTCTAAATGATTCTAAAGCCAGCGATGAAGCTAAGATTTAGGCAAAGACAATGTTTTGAAGACCCCCCAAATCATTCATAATTATCCATGAAGGCTTGTATTAAAGTTAAATGTGAACCAGTAGGATATATGGACTGCTATCCTGAAAGTACGCATACAGAATAAACGTGATAATATAATATTTTTCTTGTAGCAACATTTAGCAACTATAATGTATCGATGTTGAGAAAAACTCAAGCATGTTTAACGTAAATAAACCATTCACTACTGTAAAGAGAATTAAATACAGTAAATTTTCCTTTTGCTATGAAACTGCTTAATTTGCTGTTGATGATGAGTTAAGGCCAAAAAAAAAAAAGTCTCCGGTTTCTGGTATGCGCGCGCATCGCCGTAGCCATGCACGTCGGCAAAATGAAAAAGTGTTTTTTTTCTATGAAAGATGATGTCTCAAAACCGCCAAACTCACTGGTTTGACTGGAATCCTGCTGCTGCACAATTTTAACGTGCTTTTCGATGGGGTTATGATCGAGAATAAGCTTTATGTGGCCTCTCTGGACTCCCATATATTTGCACTAAGTTTAGTCAGGTACCATTTGCAGTCAACAGCCGACATTTGAAGCCAAAAAATCAGTTAAAAAAAAAGGAGTACAGCTTAAAAGGAGTACTGCATATTCCTGTAGTTCATGTTATGTCAGATACTTCAATGTGATTGAGATATACATGTACATTTATTAATTTGTACGTGTCGTTGTGAAGCATTTTGTTTTGTTCGTATGTAAGAGGTTTTTGGAATGATCCACAGTTCATTATTGAACATTCAACACACAAGCCAGGTATATGTTTTTAAAAATAGGGGAAAAGACAATTAAAAAAAAAAAAGTTGGAGATGTGCCCCATGCATGGCTTGACAATTATGTATATTCAGGATGTGATAAACATGGAGAAGTTTAGTATTTGGGAGACATTAGATTCAATTTACCTTACTCGATGTTTAACGATATGATCATTTCTGTTAGTGTAATATCTTACATTTCAGTCCTGTAGACTGTACATACATATTAAGTGCTGACTTTGTACATAAGTTCTTTGCTGTGTAAAAGCTTTTTGTACCAGCTGATTTACCTGCATGAAAACCTTGGTAGTTTGGAAATGTCACTTCCTAAATCATTTTGATATCATTATATTCCGGCTCTCGCCAAAACAGAACCTGAGCTATTTTTCCCGTCAAATTTCAATGGGTTTGTTGTTCTGTGATATTCTCCAGCTCGGAGAATCTCATGCTGAATCTCTGATTCAACAATATAGGTATTTCATAAATGATAGCTTACTGGAGAAAAATATAATTTAGGAAAGTTCACTTCAATTTTTGACATGATTATATTCCGGCTCTCGCCGAAACAGAACCTGAGCTATTTTTCCCGTCAAGTTTCAGTGGGTTTGTTGTTCTGTGATATTCTCCAGGAGAATCTCATGCTGAATCTCTGATTCAACAATAAAGGTATTTCATAAATGATTATTTACTGGAGAAAAAAATAACTTGATATTGTTCACCTCAATTTGCTTGGCACCTATTCCAGTATATGGTACTTTGAAAAAAAATGCTAAGAACAAGTTCATTTTGAGACTGTATCAATGTGGGAGTAAACGTTCTGTCGTCTTCTTAAGACGTTGCTCAAATGAAGTATTTTCATTGTTTGGGCTCAAAGCATTTCAAATTTATGGCATCCATTTTAAATACACTTTTTTGTAAAGAAACATCATTTTACTACTGGCCAAAAAAATTTACATTTGTCTCGGATTTGACATGAAAAACACACAGTTGCTTCAAATTGTAAATAATAATTATGTTATGCAGAATTGGGGCGAGGATATGAAATATTTCTTGAATGGATTAATGTGCAGATTGTTTAAATTAATGTGAACATGAAAAATGTTTCACTAAGTAGTAGGATTTTTGTTTAATTAGATGCTCAGTTTTGTCACATTGTACAAAGATTGGAGTATTTGCTCATTGATGTAGCTATTTGTTATCGTAATATCCGTTAATAAAACTATTGTCTCATTTTAAGAAAGACACTAACTGCAGTGCAGGTTGCAAAGTTAATCAAGCATTGAAAAAGCGAGGTTTATCATTGCATTGGCATAAATATTAATATTATATGCACATGATGTACAAACATGTTCCATGTTAACAAAATGAAGAAGTAGAACAGTTTCAAGAACTTGTAAGATTTTTTATTATTGAAATGAAATTATTTTCTTTTTTGCATGGTGGAAGATTATTAAATGCTGGTATTTTTTGTGTATTATGCAAAAAAAAAATCATGTTTCAATACAATTTATATGTGTTTTTCTTTGTCTGTTTATGTGTCATTGTTTCACACTTTGATAATGTTTAATCATTTATCAGATAAATAATCGCAAAGGGGGCTTCCCGGTTCGTATATCCCTCAATAAGGATTAAGATAAAACTTGTTTAGCATGAAAACAATTGTGAACATTATACCCATGATAAAGAGCGTTGTATAAAACTGAGATTTTAAAGATGAGAGGTTTATATCAAAGATGTTATGCGCCTATCAATTGTTCCCCCCCCCCGGGCTGCCCCACCCAAGACGTGGGGATTGTCACTTTTGAAGTGACAAAAATCCCCACCCCTCGGGCAAAATTTAAGTGACAATCCCCGACCATGCCCCGACTTACAATGTACATGTACATACGTGGGGCGCACTAGTACATTGTAAATGCATTTCCATGTAGCGCGCCAATGGTAATGTAATTTCAGTGACCAAAATCCCCACCCTGGGGCATGAAAAACGTGACAAAATCCTGACATCGGACCTGGGGATGTGCGGGGGGGGGACATTTGATAGGCGCATTATAACTCGACATTGCCACATTTTGAGTTCCCCAAAGTACCGCCGACGATGTTAATTTGGAAGATATTTTAATGAATGGTTAAAATATCAAACACAAAAGCTCAAATAACGGCTGGTTGGGTTTTTTAACAGATCAAGTGTGTGATTGCTCAGTGGTAGTGCTTTGTACAATGTGTTATATGTGTTTGAAAAGACAAGTTTCTTCGGGGGGAAATCTGGTATGGGCCATAAATACACATTCAATTAATGACGAACTTGGCTGATATTCCTTGCTCTTTGATTCAGGCCTACATAACTTTTGCTCAAAATGCGAACAGTTCAGTTAGATGTAAATGATGGGGGAAAAATCCCCTTTTCTTCCCGACTTTCTACTTAGCCGATAAAAAGCCTCCTTTTATCCCGAATTGTAGTAAGTTAATCCCACAACTCAATACAATTACACCTCAACGGTCACACCGTGTTAGCTCTATTATTATTTGCAGTAACTAGGGAACGGTGTCGCTGGTACATTCAGTTTACCGCACCCATCCGGCACGGTGCCACAGCTACCCTGCTACATTTTACAACTTTGTTTAAAAAAAAAAACATAGTCAAGATATATTCTTTGCGATATCAATTTTCTCTTGATGAATAAAGTACGGCTTCCTTAAACTGTGGGAAATTTTTTTGGTAAATTTTAATATTGGTAGAAACAATTGTTTGAGCGCATTTCTAATGTGTACAGTGGGGAGGGCGTAAGGGTGGTAAATGGCACAGCAAGAATTTACATGATAATAAGTTTCTATCGCGCAAGTGCACGCGCGGCATACACACGTAAACGAAGTTGGAGAGGGATTGATTGATTTTTGCCTAAAGCACGTTGACAATTTTATTTTATATTGTCCAATTATTGATGTGTTTGCAGGAATTGTCCGCGAAATGAGTTCTTCGAAGGTGACTGAACTGGTGCTGAAGAAGAAACATCCACTCTAACTTTTTGATTGGTAAATTTGTGCAAATCAAACATTTACTGTCGGTATTGAAAACTCCGGAAGTTGGACCGTCGCTTACCGTGTGCGGTGCCAACTGCTACCCGGCTGGAGGAGCTCAAGTCCCCGTGGTGGTATCGGGGTCGATGCGGTACCTGAGGAACTGCGAGTGCGGAGTTCCGGGAAATGTGTAACGTTAGCTACGGTGAAGTAAAACAAAACACTTCTGATTGTGAGTTGCTGTTCATGATTTTTCCAACATATAAGGATTTAATGCAGTTTTACTAAGGGAGATATTGTTTATAAAATAGAAGGGAAATCTTTTCCTTTTTGTTGTGACACTTATTTAGTCTATTTTTTTAGTTTAGCTAAAACCATGGAGGAAGGAACGTATACAATTACAAGGTAGGGCTGTCCTGCATTTACCGAATACTCAAATATTCGATCATCAACCGAAGATTCAAATAATCGGAAAGATTCCCATATCTGGCCATCACTAATTTTTCCCTTCATGCAGTGAGCTATCACTATCAGCCATCAGAAAGTGATAATAAAAGTCACATTTAGCAGGGAAAATATTGAAGTATTTACTGAGAAAACACTTAAAAATGTTCAGACTATCTCATAGGGTTTGTGCAAAAGGTGACAAGTGATGATCAGATATGGGAATCTTTCCAAATAGTCTTTTGCCGGTTGGAATATTCGAAAACAAAAATACTAGGCCCTATGCACATATTAACACGACTGTGATGTTTGTTTTTATCGTAAAGTTGCAACCGGTGTAGTACATGTAGTAACTAGGACTCTACGAATCGCCTTTTTTAACATTTGGTCGAGCAATTATACATATTACTATACATATTCATGATCGACAGCAGAACTCTCACTGGTCAATTCACCATCACGTGCCAGATGCTATTCTTGTTGTTTAACAAACGCGCGCGTGAGGATTCACGCACAGGGTAAATACGCATGCGTACTAGTAGACTGTCGCATTGGTTACCCGTGCGACAGTCTACTACGCATGCGCTTTACAGAGCAATCGAGGAACTGTCGCACGGGTGCAGTACGCACGCGCGAGCATCGCCCAAGAGAGATGCATGGTTGCACAGTTCGCGTAAATGTTAATTTCCAGAGCTCAATGATGCCGCACTGGAGAAAATGTATGGACCGTGTAAAGATGTCTCCTGTACAAAAGAAAGTTGTATAGGCCCTATATACACAAACAACTGTATTTGTAGTAACTGTATTATATTGCAAACGAACCGAACTAGTAATTGAAGTTGAGCAACAATATTCTTTTGGTGAGCTGTATAAGCTTCCCCGAATTTTATTTTAGGTGCATATAAAAAAAATGTGGCTGAATATGTATGAAGTATAGTGAAACAAATATAACATGGTTTATTTCGGGTGGACAGTCGATATTAGCTCCCCTTGATATTGGAAGTTGACAAACTAGTTCCCGAGGCGAAGTTTGTCAACTTCCAATACCTTGGGGAGCGAATATCGACTGTCCACCCTCAAACCATGTTATATTTGTATACTATCGCCCGACCACGTCCAAATGTTGAAAAAGGCGATTCGCAGTTACTCGGACTACAACTGGTGCTAGTTGTCGGGTGCCAACGTTTTTTTTATGGCGGTTCATGATCACATCTTAAGAAGGTTAAAGTCCTTTACATTTTAACTACTCCCCTTTCTAGTTGAACATAACCTCCAATCCAAAGCACTCAGGATATACAAGTATCGTCATCTTAATCAGCAAATTCTTGTTTTTATTTTAGAAACCTTGTGCAAACACCTTGTTTATGAGGTGACCGTTCCAGCAGCCTAATCGGCCCCACACCCTACCACAATGTCACCAGCAAAGACGCGTGACCCCAGGTCCTACATCCAGGCCACCCCTCTGACTCTACCCTCCCACCAAGGGGAGTACATCTTGGCCCGCTCGGACACCCAATACAGGTCCAACTGTGCTGCGCCGTCCAAGGAGGAAATCTTCAAGGAGAACTATGCAAGACGGTAAATATCAAATGTGGAGCAAAACTGTAAATTTGTAATGTGGAAAAAAGGGGCTATTATATAACACCTCCTAATTATGTTGCCCTGTCTTATGCCCGTGCTATGGCTGTCCGGAATGTATCGAATATTCTAATATTCATCAACCGAATGCATGTATTCAAATAGCTTTTTGCCAGTTCAAATATAAAAAAAATATATATATACGCAATAATCGTAAAGTTGCAGCGCTTTATTGTCAGATGCAACTTTTTTTTAATACACTAGCAAGTCAATTACTTTAAAAATAAGTCGAGACACATGATGATCTTGACACTACAACAGGCGCACGCAAATGTTGATCAGTGGCCCATAATATTGATCGCCCCACACTTCGCGGGCAACTTTTGATCAGTGAAGCAAGCAGTTGTTAGCTGGCGCTTGCACAACTTGATCGGCGAGTTTCGAATATTCAAATATTCAGTCAAACGCAGTTTCAAATATGAAATAATTCGAAAATGGCAACCCTTAAAATTACTTTGAACCCTTTATCACGCAGGCTGCAACAGATGAAGGAGCAAGGCTATCAGTCAGTCAACCACAAGCCATACAAGTTACTAGGGGAACCACTCCACCTAAAAGAAAAGAAGTTAATCCTTCATGCGCTCGGACAGGAAACAGTAAGTATTGCTGCTCTAAACCATCAAACTTCAGGGGCAAATTTGGTGATTGCCCTTTAAAGATTGATATTCTAGATGTTTTCGAAAATAATTACAACTTTATTGAGTAATTATAAAACACAATGTATGTATGTGATATCCATTCACGTACACCATACAACATTGTTTTTATGTGGTTATTTTCTAACAAATAAAATAAGTAAAATTATAGTGGCATTAGGTTAGGCCCCCCCAAAAAGTCTCCGGTTTCTGGTTTGCGCGCATGTCGCCGTAGCCATGCGCGTCGGCAAAATGAAAAAGGTTTTTTTTTCGATGAAAGATGATGTCTCAAAACCGCCAAACTCACTGGTTTGACTGGAATCCTGCTGCTGCACAATTTTAGCGTGTTTTTAGATTGGGTTATGGTCGAGAATAAGCTTTATGTGGCTTCTCTGGACTCTCATATATTTGCACTAAATTTAGTCGGGCACCATTTGCAGTCATCAGCCGACATTTGAAGCAAAAAAAATCAGGTAAAAAAAAAATAGAAGCCGCGTCGCCGCACCACTTTTGGGGCAAGCTCCATACCAGAAACCGGAGACTTTTGTTTTTTGGCCTTAGGATGAAACTATTGATTCTTCAAAAAATATTTTTGAAACATGAGAAACTTATAAAAATACAAGATTTGTGTTGGAATTCTATCCTACAGGTTTTTTTTTACAGAATCTTTTGTCTTTGTCAAATACAATGTATGTTATGTATGTTAAAAGTGATGTACATGTACACTAATTTGAAATGTAACTGAAATTTGCAAGGAAATGCATTTTCAAATATATATATTTTTTTCTTTTCCAAATTTTTAATTTTTTGTTGGAACTCCCATATCTAGATCATTACGAGAAAAAAAAACAATCAATCAGCGGTCAGTTTGTTAAATAACAACCCTCTTATATATTTTTAGATCTATTGAAAAAAATAATCAATTAAACTTTAATTTGATACTAAAACATCATTCCTTCAGAGTAAACTGCCAGCGAGTTTTCAGAAAAATGCGAACACTGTTGACTTTTAAGTCTAGTCAATAACACCCACAGTAAGTGGCAACCATTTAAAATGTCAATACATGTCTGAATCTTGACACATTTTAAACAAATCACCGTTTGGCATACCTACCAACGGTAAACGGTAAAATAAATTAATTTGCAAACTACCATAGGTTCATGCCTGTATGAATTTTGATCGGTTTGTTCCGTCGCCCTGGCGACGTGCCATATGCCTTTTAATAATTAAACCGATTTGGTGATAATTCTCTCGAGAAAACTCAAGAGCACTCATTCTTGTGTAGTGCCATAGAACAATTGCAGCGTTTGATCGCGCCCTTGTCGTGATTATGGCTGCACTTTGACTTCTCGGCGTAAACATTTATATCAATCTGTCACAGATATATTCTACAGTGTTTAATAAAAATATAAATTATGCTTTAATAAGCACAGATTTATATGTTGACCCCAATATATTGTAACGGTTGTTGATCATTGTCAAAAACAACTTAAAGTTAATGCATCTGGCAAAACGTATTTAAAGTTTTAAATTTAACAATTTTATAAAAGCAAGCACCTCAATGTTATTAGCCCCATAAATTTGGCCAATTTACTGGACTACCTCCGTAAATAAAGGCCACACTTCCACCATGTACAAAAACATGTCGAACTTTGTCAAATTTGGATTTTCACATTTAGGCTTAGTTTGTAGTTTATTTTTACTTAAGAAGCATGCTCACCCTCTTTATAGGCTAATCAGAAAGTGCTGCCTTTTTCAGATGTCTAATTTTCGTGAAATTTCATGTTGAAATTTTGATACGCAAACGACTGTGCAAACGAATCTGGAAATTTCACGAAAAATAGACATCTGAAAAGGGCAGCACTTTCTGATTAGCCTATAAAGAGGGTGAGTATGCTTCTAAAGCCAAAATAAACTACAAACTACATGTAAGCCTAAATGTGAAAATCAAAATTTGACAAATTTCGACATGTTTTTGTACATGGTGGAAGTGTGGCCTTTATTTACGGAGGTAGTCCAGTAAATTGGCCACATTTATGGGGCTACAATGTTATCTGTGTTTCGTTCTTATATAGGACAAGCTGATTTACCCGATCATAGATCGGGTAGGGCGTAGTGTTGGGGATAAAAATGTGGGGAGTTAAATGTAAATGGGGGATATAGTTGAGGAGACATGCAGTTATAGAAAAGCAATTTCTGTGGTGTGATCTGAGGCAATTTCTGACCACTATATAAAATCAATTTCAGCGAAAGATCATCTTTTAAAGTTTTGAGTTTGGAGTAATTGAATCAGCTACATGTATTCTGAGCAGTAGAATCATTATTGTTTATTTTTATTCGGGGAAGAAAAAGTTGGGGGGGGGGACCAAACAATGTCCCCCGCTTGAAAAATGTGGGGGGGGGGGGGGGGTTCCCCCTGTCCCCCGTCGATTTACGAATATGATAATTATGTACCATTGCAACTGTCTGTAAGTGTTCCCGTTGGTCTGTTAAATTGGTATTTCGTGAGGCAGTCGCATTTGGAAAACGTAGTGAAAAGGTTACCGTAGTACACAGGCGAAGCCTGATTGTACAGTTTTGACAATAAATAATAATGCAATAAAACGTGAAGGTGTCATTTGAAATGAAAATGTTGAGTGTGACCATAAGCCTTGGTGGTGGAAGGTCATAATTAAGTTTCAGTATTGGACTCTTCATTAAACGTTAACTTGAACTTCTTACAATTTGCGAGACCGTCTGGCGAGGAAAAAGTCGATTCAACTTTTATTCAAGTTGGTTCAACCATCTATATAAGAGCAAGTTTTACTCGGCCTCCGAGAAATGTTTGCTCCTGAAAGGATCCGAGACCGCGGTCTCCCGCGACGCCAAAATGGCTCCACGTCCATGGAAAAATCCGCCGGATCGGACACATTTTCGTTGATTTTTTGTGTGACTGCGTTTAAGATCGCGATGTTTGAAGCAATGCATCGATCCTTCGTTGATCCCAGACAGGCCCCCGAAATTATAACGCAACACTGTGGCGGGCAGCGAACTCACAACGCTCAGCCTTGGTGGAAGCATGGAGCTGTATTAACACACGATGGATGCAACAGAGCACTATACACGTCACTCACATGCTTGTGCTTCAAATCATGCAAAAAGCGAGCACCGTAGACCCAACCTCGTTTCCAGGGTGTGGAGCAGGCTGCAGTACGCGTTGCCATCGACAGTTTTGCATAGCCCGGATATACAACGCAGTGTAGACTTTCGATTGGTCAGACCGCGCAAGGCATACTTAATGTGTAGTCCTTCTGAGTATTCGTTGCACTCGGCGCAGGGGCGGCAAGCGAAGCATATGAAAGAATAGGGGCACTCGGTGGCCACGCACCATGGAGAAAAAATATTTTACCAAGGTCACCCCATATCACAATTTGGTGAACGCTTTGGCAGTACGGCTGAGTAGAACACGTAAACGAAACCCCTACGTTGACCTCGCTGACCTTGCACAGTCTAGACTCGCAGAAAAGCCAGCACAGGGGGCGGCCAGGCAGTCAACGTGAAAGCGCACACGACGGAAAATTCCTGTGCAAAATGCAGTCACGAAAAATAGACGAAAAGGATCGCCGGTCCGTACGGGAAAATCAGGACGACCCGAAGCGTCCGACCCGGCGGAAGACACCCTCCGTATTTTTCCACGGACGTGGAGCGATTTTGGCGCCGCGGGAGCCCGCAGTCTCGGATCCTTTCATGAGCAAACATCGTCTCGGAGGCCGAGTTAAACTCTCTCTTATATATATAGATAAATACCCTAGTACGTGTTTCGTTCTTATATAGGGTGCATAGATGTATGTGCTTCATGAGCAAACAAGAGAGGGCGCTTTTTGACCACTTTTGAGAGCCCAGTGGATCGGACACACTGCCTGTGCGTACTGGTTTGCGTGCATTTAGCGCAAAGAACACAAACATACAAAGCATACATTTAATAACCAGGTTTTTCCTCTAAATAATCAGTGGAATTGTTACAATCAATATTTTATTAAAGGGAATATACAACCTTTGCAAACATCGAAAAATAAAACTACCAAGTTTTTACGAAATACTTTACTAGGATGTTGGTAAATGACAGTATAGGCCTAAAGCATCCTGTAAAATTATGGCACCTGGTGTGAAGTCATTTTCAAGAAAAAAAAAATTGTATACATTTTCAACGGTGGTTGGCCGACCACCATTGGAAAAACCTTACTATTTTTCAACTATTGATCCAAATTTACATTTTTTTTTTCAGTCCAAATTTTGTTTGCTATTGGTTACACGTTCATGAACGGGTACAGGCAGGCTAGATTGGCTCCCTTACTTTACAGTTTGCCGGCATCTATAAATATTGATCTATTTCATCTTTAGTGGAGTCAGGGATCCAGACTGCTTGAACATTTGTGTTTTTCTTGGTTTTTCCAGCATTTTCGAGCGCAAAACTTCAAACATGTTAGACTAGTGTAACAATATTTGATCTATTGTACTAACCCCTCAAATAGTTAATTTCTGAAAATTACAGCAAAAGCCAATGATGTACATTCCCTTTAAGTTTTTCTAAAGTTTTGAAGCACGAATCTAGTTAAAGTTGCAAGAGGCTGTTCTCAACTCAGGAAATTCATGTACCAAGCTGTGCAAGCTACTCATCTACACAACTCTAAATCTCACGAAGATTTAAGATGCGAATATTAATCCTCCATGACAAATCCGGGAGATTGCAATAAGCCCCTTGTGTCAATATGCCACAGGCAAATTTGACAAGTCGTTGAAATGCAAGAGACAAAAAAACCAGGCCTGGCTGTACAAAGCCAGCACGCATTGCATCTTTGTAGTATCATCCAATGCTGGAGAGAGCAAACACTGTAAACGCTAGTCATTCAGTACCTTAATAAGCATCTTTGTGCAATATGATTGAAATTGCTGCATCAGTGTTTGCTGTGCTCTGGTTGTGTAATGTGTATCCATGGTATCTGTAAACACTACCAGTTCCTTGTAAGGGTATGCTGAATCTAATGTACATACTGTCGTGGAAAAATTCTAGAAAATAATCGAGCAAATTCCTCGACTTCGGGAATTGACGTAGCAAACTGTCAATTTGTATTTCCTTTTATGTTTGGTTGTCAGAACATGAAATGTGTCCGTTTGTATACATGTCTTTTGAGAAAATAAACCCTGATACAGTAGATAATTATGTTTAGGATTCTGGAGGCAATGTGGGGGGAAAATGGGGAAAATAAACATATATCAAGCAAACTTCTTGACTCTAGGAATTGAAATAGTCAATTGAAACCATCAGAGTATGTTTCCTTGTTTGTGTCTGCATGTGAGTGAAAATAGCCATACGTGTAATAAAGTTTACGATTCTGGGGGATATCTGTGCAAAACTTTAATGTACAGTGTGGAATTTTGTTGTTATGTTGGTTTTTTGGTTCAAATTGTTTTTGACTTTACAAAATTGGCTACAATATGCGTCGCAGCACCTTGTAAACCCTTATAAAGGTACTGCATAATAGTTTTCATATTTCTCATAAACTTCATTTACCATGTTTACCTGCCTTTAAAAATAGACATAATTACCAGCGCCTTGAGTACCTAATTGTTGGTAGATACGTGCGCTATATACATGTAAGACTCCGGTATTATTATTATTATTAAAATTCATGCAGTATGGTAAACGTAAATGTATTATTTTTTTTAGAATCAAAGCTCCTAACCCAAAACAAGACATCACAATATCAGATCCTAAATTGTGCCAATTAACAAAAGATTTCCAATAATATGAAAGTCATTTTTACGAGTTTGGTCATTACTCTTTGTTGGACTGTCAGATTCATGACCAACACCTGTCATCAGAGCTGAAACTCAGAAAACATTTTCTCCACATAGGAGCTACCTCAATTAATATCATGGATGAGTTGAAAAGCTAATGCTAGGTTCACATATTCCCGTATTAGTTATGAATACAACAAGATATACCAAGAATTGAAATTGGTTCCCAAATCACTCTGACAATTTTGAACATGTCCAAAATTGTTGGGGCGCTTCCCGATCTTTAACGATCTTTCACCGAACTAACAGAATCATCCCGAGGCAGCCAAGAACCATTCCCTGATTTACTCAAGAATTGCTATTCGCGGCGATTCGGCTTGCGGAAAATTGGGAATGTGTGAACCTAGCATTAGTAGACCCATTGTGTTCATGTAATCCAGTTATCATTTTGTAAATAATGCTGATAATTTAATTGGGGAGAATTTCTTGGAATTTGTTAGCATTTCCTGCGACAAATAGCTGATACAGACTACAGTGGACCTATTGCAGATAGGCCTTTCTGCAATTTATCCCAGATATTTTTTTATTTTTTTCCCCATTTTTTTTTCATTTCTTTGGGGAGTCAGGTTAGCGTAGCGGTCCTTTCTTCGCCTTCCACCGCTGTGACCCGGGTTCGAATCCCGCCCGGGCCAATATGTGGATTGGGTTTTCAGTCCCTACCTGATTCCGTGGGTTTTCCCCAGAATATTCTTCTGGGCTTTTCCTCCCACCTCTAAAACTGTAATTTCTTCTCATTGTCTCCTCTCCACAGGTTTCTTTAGGCTTTCGGGCTACAGTGCTTGGTTTCATTACCAGAAAGAAATAAAATAATAAAAAAAAAAAAATTCAAAAAATTACAGAAAAAAAGAAATGTATGCTAACCTTTAAGACTGCACACTATTATGCTGGATGCAATATTTGCCTTAATTAACTCACACTGATGCACTTTCCAGTTTTATTTTTCTAACCAATCAATTTTTTTTTTATTCCATCTATCAGGCCCAATCAGAGGATTCGTCAGGGAGTTGCTCGGACGAAGAAGGCGATGAGGACAAAGAGAAGAAGGAGGGCGCCCTCATGCAGCAACAAGCCGAGAACAAACCGCCGCAGAGGAAATTTGTCTTCCGTCGGAATCACAAGAATAAGAAGTCACTGAACAAAGAAATATCATCTGCAAGGTACCATACAAGGGTTTCTTTTCTTCAAGTTTCTGGTTTCGAGTTAATTTTTCAAGTTTCAAGTTGACTTTTCGAGTTTCGATTAATTTTTTTAGTTTCGAGTCAAATTTTTGAGTTTCGAGTTGGTGTATTGAGTTTCGAGTTGGATTTTCGAGTTTCGTGTTAACTTTTCGAGTTTCAAGTTGGATTTTTGAGTTTCGAATTAACTTTTCGAGTTGCGAGTTAACTTTATCGAGTTTGAAGATGGATTTTTGAGTTTCGTGTTAACTTTTTGAGTTTCGTGTTAACTTTTCGAGTTTCAAGTTGACTTTTTGAGTTTCGAGTTGACTTTTCGAGTTTCGAGTTAACTTTTTGAGTTTCGAGTTAACTAATCAATAACCACATCCACTACTAACTGGCTGTAAAGTATAGTCTAGGTTCAAGACTGGACTTGGATTGAGTCTCGAGTTGACGTATGGAGTTTCGAGTTGGATTTTAGAGTTTTGAGTTGGATTTTCGAGTTTTGAGTTAACTTTTCGAGTTTCGAGTTGACTTTTCGAGTTTCGAGTTGACTTTTTGAGTGTCGAGTAAACTTTTCGAGTTTCGAGTTAACTTTTCGAGTTTCGAGTTGACTTTCGAGTTAAGTTTTCGGGTTTCGAGTTGACTTTTCGAGTTTCGAGTTGACTTTTCGAGTTTCGAGTTGACTTTTTGAGTTTCGAGTTGACTTTTCGAGTTTCGAGTTGACTTTTTGAGTTTCGAGTTGACTTTTTGAGTTTCGAGTTAACTTTTTGAGTGTCGAGTAAACTTTTCGAGTTTCGAGTTAACTTTTCGAGTTTCGAGTTGACTTTTCTAGTTTCGAGTTGACTTTTTGAGTTTCGAGTTGACTTTTTGAGTTTCGAGTTGACTTTTTGAGTTTCGAGTTGAGTTTTCGAGTTTCGAGTTGACTTTTTGAGTTTCGAGTTGACTTTTTGAGTTTCGAGTTGACTTTTCGAGTTTCGAGTTGACTTTTCGAGTTTCAAGTTGACTAATCTATAACCACATCCACTACAAACTGGCTGTAAAGCATAGTCTGGGCCCCAGACTAGACTTGGATTGTACATGCATACTCCAGTAATACAGCCCTCTCTGACAAGCACTAAAGCTGAACTTTAAAATGATACCAAAGTTTATGCATACTTGCCTATGCAAACATTTTTTTTCCAGTTAATGAACCATTTATTTACACCTCCCTTGAAATGGACTTTAAAGTTGACACTGAAAGTCTCTATTTCAAGGGTGTGAATATTTCTATGTGGGATACATGTGTTTGTCAAAACAGTCATTAAAGGGAATGTACATCATTGGCTTTTGCTGTAATTTTCAGAAATGAATTATTTGAGGGGTTAGTATAATGGATCAAATATTGTTATACTGACATGTTTGAAGTTTTGTGTTCGAAAATGCTTGAAAAACCAAGAAAAACAAAAAAATTAAAGTAGTCTGGCTCCCTGACTCCACTAAAGATGAAATGGATCAATTTATAGATGTTGGAAAACTGCAAGGTAAGGGAACCAGTCTAGCTGGCCTGCACCCGTTCATGAACATGTAACCAATAGCAAAACAAATTGGACTGAAAAAAAAGGTAAATTTGGAGCAGTAGTTGAAAAATAGGTAGGTATTTCCAACAGTGGTCGGCCGACCACCGTTGGAAATGTATACAAAAATACCATTTTCTTGAAAATGACTTCACACCAGGAGCCATTATTTTACAGGATGCTTTAGACTGTTGTTTACCAACATCCTTAGTAAGGTAATTTGTAAAATTTGGTATTTTTTTTTTTGATTTTTGCAAATGTTGTATATTCCCTTTAATACAGTTATCTGTATTTAATACTGTGCATGTATTAAGCTGTATTTAATACAGTAATACATTTACTGCAAGGTTGGCTTGTTTGTCAGTTGGAATGTGTCATATTCTTTTCACAGAAAAATGGTGAACTGGGTGAAACTTGGACATGGCGTATTCACAACAATACGGAAAGAAGATGAAGACAGGGTAAGGGAACTTAACTTTCCAGCGATATAAAAAGACCTTTTCTTAAAGATTCACTTAAAGCTATAGTCCATCATTTGTAATTTGTGCATTTTGTTCGTTTGAAGCAACAAAAGTGCTCAAGATCTAAAGAAGGGTGCTGAACAACTAACCTGATGAAGTTTCAGCTCAGCTTCAGCTGTATATTTCGAGAAAAACAACATTCTAGGATCTCTATTTCAAATCAAAAGTTGCTGAATCATGTTTTGAATTGGGCCTGAATTCAGCGTCCGAGACATGTTTTCACTGAGCCGATTGCAGCTATGCGATGTCGCGCACTGATCCGACAAATTTTAGCAACCGCGTGTGCGTCGTGCCAATGCCACAACTATAACTTGATGAAGTTTCAGCTCAGCTTCAGCTGTATATTTCGAGAAAAATAACATTCTAAGGATCTCGATTTCAAATCAAAAGTTGCTGGATCATGTTTTGAATTGGGCCTGAATTCAGCGTCCGAGACACGTTCTCACTGAGCCGATTGCAGCTACGCGATGTCGCGCACTGATCCGACGAATTATAGCAACCGCGTGTGCGTCGTGCCAATGCTTGCGCGTGCTTCGCCAAATAACAAAACGAACTACTAATTTAAATTTCCTACGGTGCTTCTTAAGAAGCACCGTTGGAAAGGCCTTCTTTTGTTGATTTCTTCAAAATGACAGCTTGCCAGAAAGAATAATTTCACAGGGAGTTTAGTCCCCTTACTATCTTTCAACCAAGTATGTTTTTCAACAATAATTATGCCAGTTACTTTTTGGATAGCTGTAAATGATGGACTCTGGCTTTAACTATGACCTTGCTGATTTCAACAGAACAAACCGCTGACAAAAAATGTTTGATTTTGTTCATCTGACTTTGGACAAATAGCTGAATGCAGAGGAAATCAAGAAGTTGCAGGATGCGGAGAGGAGGCGGCGAGAATGGCAGCCTCCCAATGAGGATAGCTCAGATGAGGACACAGATGATGAACTAGCCAGGGATGAAGACATCAGGTAAAAGAATAAGATGCGACAGATGTTTGTAAAAGGATACTTAAAGAGAATGTACATCATTGGCTTTTGCTGTAATTTCCAGTAATGAACTATTTGAGGGGTTTAATAGATCAAATATTGTTACACTGACATGTTTGAAAGTTTTGTGCTCAAAAATGCTGGAAAAACCAAGAAAAACTAAAATGGTCAAGTAGTCTGGTCCCCTGACTCTATTAAAGATGAAATGGATCAATTTATAGATGCTGGAAAATTGTAAGGTAAGGGAACCAGTCTAGCTGGACTGTACACGTTCATGAACATGTAACCACTAGCAAACCAAATTTGGACTGGAAAAAAATATGGTAAAATTGAAGCAGTAGTTGAAAAATAGGTAGGTATTTCCAACGGTTGTCGGCCGACCACCGTTGGAAATGTATACAAAAATACAAGTTTACTTGAAAATGGCTTCACACCAAGTGTCATAATTTTACAGGATGCTTAAGACCGTCATTTACCAACATCCTAGTAAGGTATTTCATAAAAATTTGGTAGTTTTGTTTTTCGATGTTTGCAAATGTTGTATATTCCCTTTAAAGTTTTGTTGCCTGTGCTATTTTCAAGTTTCATCCTAAGAAATAGATTCCTTTTCTAAACAGCTTTTGTTTTTCAGTACATGTTAGTTTATTCACTTTTGAATGAAAAATGGACCGAAAAGATCAGCCTACATTTGTTTATTGATGTATTACTTTACAATTGCAAATGTTTGGCTGCCTGACAATCATTCCGTTCTCATTGGGTAGGCTGGTTCCCGCTCCACAATCAGTATCAATAATGAACGGAGAGGGTGCCAGTCTGCTCGAAAAGCGGATCTGTTTGTGACAAAAACAGTGTGAATGCCAGTAATTACATTACACTTTAGACTTGCGACTTAATCTAATCTCGATATCAACTTCGCTGATTTTAATTTATGCGTATTTTGTTCCTTCAATTCCCCATCATTTAGCATCTTCCTCACCTCATCCAGCAGTGACGGCAAGAAAGAAGTCTCCTTCTCCCGGTCCGAGACTCACCTCTACACCCCGGCGTCCCGAACCCCCTCCCCACCCCGGCCTCACGAACCCCCCTCCCCACCCCGGCCTCCCGATCCCCCCTCCCATCCCAAGAAGGCTCAACCCAGATGGGCCCAGACCCTACCCCCTCCACCCTTATAGGAGACCAGAGTGGGGCGACTACCCCGGCCAAGTCCATCCTGAGCTCCTCCTCGTCTCCCGTGGTCCGCAGGAGGCGAAAGAAGAAAAATACAGAGCCCCCTCGGCCGTACACCCCGATACGGTCCAACATTAACGTGGATAGTGAAGACGAGGGCAGAGCTAACAGGTGTGAATCTAACGTCTTGATCAAAATGCAGCTTGTAACCCACACACATACTTCATTGAAGCTAGCGCGCTCGCGTTAGGTACATGTATGCTGGGAATTTCTCGGGTCTGAGTGCGAAAGCTCTCAAAACTAGATTGGATTCATTTTCTTGGTAACAGGGACCGGGCTTGCTAGGTATCGGGACTGATTGCTTTAAGGGGGAAAACAAATCCACTTCTTGAACCAATTAAATTATCGCGGTAGAATCGCGTGAACACAGCTTGTGAAATATTATCCAATTACATTTAAACAAATGGACGCGGAACGCTGAGACGAACAAAACTTAACGTACACAATTCTATAGGGTTGTCAAAGGGGCGTTGCTAACTCGCAAATGGCGATAGGTCAATTAGGCCAAGCCACCAGTGTGCTTTTCAAGGCTTTTGCAGGATTGAGGAAGACAGAGCCCAGCCACTATGGGCTCCGTGAGCTAACAATAGAGGGCGCTTTTTAACCAGTTGTGAGAGCCCCATGGACGGGACACAACCCGTGTGCGTACTGGTTGGCGCGCATGTAGCGCGAACTACGCACAACTAATTTGATTCTGAATGTGTCAGAATCCAAAGCGTCTTCACGTCTTCGTCAGGTGTCGTCAGCAGTGCATCAATTGTCTCTCCCAGAGGTCTCCCCCAACTCTCCCTTTCTTACCGATGAGGGTGTGTGTGCACAGAGCCAAAGTCGAAACCAACCTCGTTCCCATGGGTACGAGATCTTGCTGCGCCATGTTGTTTACCATCATGTTTTGCGCGATCTCAACCCGCCCTGGAATTGTGTAATTTAAATGTGTCAAAATATGGCACATTATAATTAGGCTGTTTTACGTTCCAACGCCATCTTTAAAATGTTTAAAGTTGTGATTTTGAAGAATCACTCATTTCAAACATAAGGTTTGGACGTTACGTTATTTAGCAAAGATTTGCATTTACGTACCCCTTTCATCCCTTTACAACCGAGGATATATGTTTTTTTAGCGAAAAACGAGGCCGCCATAATCCATTTCGTACAGGCATCGCGACTTTTGAATTACAAATAATTTTCGTACGTGATGTAAAATGCAAAGCGCGCGAGCGCATGACAGGCGCGCCTGGCGTGCAGTCTTCGAAATGTGCGTGCAGTACGCTCTGAATCGCAAGTCAGCATCGTTTACGTATACATCACAGCCAGGGGTTAGTGAAGGAACGCGCACGCGCCCGTGGAGTCGAGGCTGAGTCAAAACCTCTTTCAGTTTTTATTTCTCGTTCTGCATTACCTAGGCATCTGAATCATGCTGAGTATAACTTGTAAGTATCTTGTCTTTCCTCTCCTTGATAGGGATGCAATATTTCGTCAGCTGTGCGTACTGAATTGGATCCTAGAGGCTATGATGACTGAGCCCCCGGCCGCCATGGAACCCATCACTAAATGCTGGAACATCAGATACAAGTAAGGCCTCAGTCAACAGACGATATGACATGAATATCTTGGAGCTTATTAGCAGGGTTACCATGGTTACAGTGTTCTCCAACTTTGGAAATTAAAGGTCGGTGCGCTGTCAAAAAGCGGAGGGGGGGCGCTATAATTATGTTAGGGGCGCTATTTGCAGTCATACATTTCTTTATGCTAGGGGGCGCTATTTGCAGATGAACATGTAATTTATGTACGGATAGCAGCTTTTAGGCCATTTCCAACACAATAACACTAACAATTAAGTACAATACTGGCTCAGCATCACCTTTTTTAACACATCAGTGACCAGGGACTCTGAGGCAGTTTGGCCTTGAGAGACTTTTGACCTGATTGATTGCTACAATGGGCAGGCTTGTCAGTTTGACAAGTGTTGCATGTTACTGCTTTTGGCAGAGTTTCTGGCCAAAATATACCCTGGAGGGTAAGGGTAGTCCCACTTGTTTGCCTTTTTTTTATTATTGTTTCCTTTTTTTTTTTAACTTGGCCGCAACTTTTGAAGCTTGGCGGGTGCCTCAGAAAGCTTGGCAGGGCACCAGGTTATTTTTACACGTTGGAGAACACTGGGGTTAGGTAGCACTTGTGGAATTAACCAGTTCGTGCCGGGATTATTTTGACACTGACCGGACCCAGGCGCGGGATTGTTTTTCACGAACCTCTATGCCAGACGGATCCAGGCCGTCATCTGCGGGTAGCACACCGTGATATTTCCAGCCTCGCTTGCTACGAGCGGGTCGCAGACAGATATTTCAGGCCTTGCTCGTTGTGTGTTTATCCGTCATCCGTTCCAAATACAGGGTGTGTCAAAAAAAGCGGAACCCAAACCCTAAAAAATATATTTCATATTTCAAAAAATATGTAGCACCAAAAATGATAATGACTGGAAAGCCAATTTCATAAGCTACTTTTAGATGAAAAAATACTGAAATTGCTCAATCCGTTCAAAGAATATCACCATTTAAACGTAACGACCCTAAAACCTTTCTCGTCCAAAAAAGCAATTTATTGTGTGTTTTGACTGTTTGGAACAAAAGAGAAACTGACTCAGAATACTTGTTTCAACAACTGTCACCACCTGTTATGCACAATATCTTTATTAACAACCCCGGTTAGGCAAACAATATGATTTATAAAATATACTTTTTTTAAAAGACGGGCCTTCAAAAAGACTTTGTTGAATTTGTTTAATGTTTAAACTGAGATTTTATTGCTGTTGATATTTAAAGACAATTGTGACGACGATTCTTGAAATCGCATTTTTTTTTTGGACGAGACAGGTTTTAGGGTCATTGTGTTTTAATGGTGATATTCTTTGAACGGATTAACTTATATCAGTAATTTTTTCATCTATGAAATTGGCTATCCAGTCATTATTATGTTTGGTGCTACATATTTTTTTAAACATGAAATATATTTTTTGGGGTTTGGGTTCCGCTTTTTTTGACTCACCCTGTGCCTCAAAACCTTTGCGTGTCTACACGTCGTCAGACATGACCTGGTTAAAAGAGCCCATGTCATGTATGTTTTTATAATGAATGCTTGAAAGTGCACCTTTGTTTCCCATTTAACCTTAGTTTCATATTAATTTTGCCATTTTTAAGGGTCTTTTTTTTTGTCTTTTTGTTTTTTGTGCTAATGCAAATTTCCATATTGGTTCACAATTTTAACAGAAAGCACATAAACTGAACAGTGTCGTCCTAAAATGACATCACAGCAACAGCGCCCTCAGTTGTCCAGAAGGCTAGCATGGACAACTTTAAATGCCTAAAGAAGTGCACTTTCAATCAAATTAACGAAAAATGGATATCAAATAGTTTTCTTACATTTAAAAGGAGGAGAAACCTGCACAAAATATGTTCGTAAGAAAAATTCATTGCATGGGCCCTTTAAAAACTTAATGCTGATGACTTGGTGTGGGTGACACGGTGCAAATAATGTATCTTGGGTTTTTTTGGTTGTTTTTGTTCTTCAGAGATCTTAGGCAGAACACCTTTTGCAAGACGACGATGAGAGATAAACGGCGAGAGAAGTTGGTGGATACGCGGTGGCATTCATTCGTTTCTAACCCCGGAGCTGGACATCTGGTGAGAAATAAGATCATTTAAAAGACTTTCTTGAAAACTTTAAATACAATCAGTTCTTTTTCTTTTTTAACTCAGCAAAACTTCTTTCAAAGAATTTCCTTCTAGTCTGTGGGACAGTGTATCGAACAAAAAAAATTTAATTTTATGCAACCTGGCATTTAATAATGGTAATTATATGCACGACAATTGCTTTTTGATCTCCTCCATCACCTAATTGATTGAAGTTTATTGTGCAACCATGTTGGACTGGAGTTCCCGAATTTCTCTCTTTTTTTTCCAGCCAATTTTAGACAGTTTTCTGTCAACTTTATTCACAAGTCGGCCATGTTAAATTGAAAGCGAACTATCTTCATTTTTGGGAGTAGAAACGAAAGCAATGAAATAAAGTTAATTACAAATTAATACCAGTCTGCTCTGATTAATATTTTAAAATTTTGGATTGAACATATACCCTGATAATTTAAGCCACATTTTAAAAAAGTGAGGCTTTGAACGTACCCCAATCATAAAATTTGTTTGCAATTTATAAAATATTTTCAGGGAAAGTGATAGAAAATGGCTCACCGTGAATAAAATCTATGATTTTTGCCATACTTACAAGTAAGTATGGCAAAGCTCATAGCACATTAAGGATGGATAGTCCTTGAACTGATGTGTTCAGGGAGCTATAAAAAAATCCTGTAGAAAACAAGTAAAATATTGTTGGTTGTTTAGGCATGTTGTGAGGCAAGTACCTAATGTCGCTTTCTGATGAGTACATTCAGTGATATAATGATTAATTTTAGAGATGTTTCCTTTCATTGTTACGGCAAAGACGGAAAGCTTACCCAGTCTTTTCTCTCAAAGTGGACAGGTATGGTATTATATACATGTAGGAGAGATTGATTGAATTGTGATTTATGTTCATCTGCACTGTTTTTCATATTTGTTTACTCACTTGTTGAAGAATTCAGCTTTTACTAACACTGCGTGCAGACAAATTATATCACATGCTGTCATATTGTCTTTGCTTTCAGTTTGTCACAGTGATTTCTTCAGTATTGCACAAATGTGTGAATAGATTATCTTTAAAGATATAGTCCATCATTTGTAATTTGTGCATTTGGTTCGTTTGAAGCAACAAAAGTGCTCAAAATCTAAGTAAGGAGACTGAACAACTAACCTGATGAAGTTTCAGCTCAGCTTCAGCTGTATATTCCGAGAAAAACAGCATTCTAAGATCTCGATTTCAAATCAAAATTTGCTGAATCATGTTTTGAATTGGGCCTGAATTCAGCGTCCGAGACACGTTCTCACTGAGCCGATTCTGATGTCGCGCACTGATCCGACGAATTATAGCAATCGTGTGCGTCGTGCCAATGCTTGTGCGCGCTTCGCCGAATAACAAAATGAACTACTAATTTAAATATTCCTACCGTGCGTCTTAAGAATGATGCACCGTTGGAAAGGCCTTCTTTCGTTGATTACTTCAAAATGACAGCTTGCCAGAAAGAATAATTTCACAGGAAGTTTAGTCCCCCTATTATCTTTCAACCAAGTATACTGTATGTTTTTCAACAATAATTACGATACTTACTTTTCGGATGGCTGCAAATGATGGACTATAGCTTTAACGGTTGGAAAAACTGAACTCATACAAACAGTAAAGCCTGTGTGTACGTGCACCACCTACAACCCCTGGACAGACAGACAAAGGGACAACAACAGATTCTTTGTTGTCCTCGAGCGTTCATCTTTTGTTGAAAGCGGTCCTCAGTTGTACGGTTATGTACTTATATAGTCTATGGGAGTGTGTTAAATTACAGGGTACAAACGGAAACATCGTGTCTTGTCCTCGAGAGTCATGTAGTGAAAGCCTGTGTGGGTTTGTTCTTATCTCTGTGATGACTGACTAAAAAACTTCTCTAAAATTCTCCCTGCAAATTTTCAGAAATCTCGTGTTAATACCAACAAGACCTCCCTCTACGGCCCCAACCTGACCACCTCCATGTCCTATGTCCGCCAACCTCGCCGGGGATCCAGCACCATGGCCCTTGGGCAGGCCAAGGCCGCCTCGGCCATCAGCCAGTCAGCCAATCAGAGCAGCGCTGACAGCACGCCCAGGAGAGACGAGGACGGGACAGGGAAACGAGAAAACTTGAGAGAGCTCGGCAAAAGTATGTTGGGTATTTGAAAAAAAAAAATTAACCCCAAGGCCAAAAAAAAAAAATATTCAGTCTCTGGTTAGACCAAAGTTCCGGAATTGACGCGGGGACGCGGCCTTTTTTTTCCTTTTTTTTTGGCTTTTTTTTTTTCTTCAAGCTTGGATTGTACAGACAAGGTGGGGTACTATTTTGCTATTTGGTGTCCTCACGTACATTGGTGTCCTCCATAATTTGCCTTGGTGCTCTCGATCATTTGCCTTGGTGCAATTTCCCATTCCTTGGTGCTCTTTGGTAAAAAAAAATTGAGGAGGTGTGGCAATAGAGGGCGCTGTTGGAGCTACCGCGGAACATTTTTGAAAAAAAAAAGATTGACGCGCATGATTAAAATCGACGCGCACGCTGACCAGAGACCGACTTATTGGTTTTTTTGGGCCTAAGTTAAATCCAGCATGTGGACAAACTGGTTTTTGAAAAATTTTCTGTAAATGGCCGCAATTTCTTAATTTAGGCTTTATTGTCAACTCCATTTTCACCATATACCACCAAGATCTTGTAATAATTTCAACATGTCTCTCCAATTTTTGAGAAATCTGTGCGTGAAAAGGTGTAAACTTTTTTTGGGGCCACCCTGTTGATTTACTCAATCAGCAGAGTTTAATGTGATGCCTCTTTTGTGTGTGTAGCTACGAGCACATGGAAGATGCTGGACGACATCAACGAGAGTGCCTCAATGGTCGGCAAGAATGAAGATAACGATGATGCAGCATCGAGACGGGGACCCAGACAAGACAGGTATGAGCTAGAGTCGTTGAGCATTTTCGGAACAACTTGCTTTGGCTTCATCGGCTAAAGGAAATTTAAGGCCCCCCAATTAACTTCTCCAACTCCAGCTGCATTTTGGTGCCTGTTATGCTTCAGGAACATTCAGTCGGTTAACCCTTTCAATACCACATTGTTTATTGACCTGGCTCTCCCCATGACCAAATTGTTTGCTCAGTCATGCGGAAATCACTAGAGCGTGAACAAGATGACCACAAGTCCAAAACTTGCATTTTTCAACCCAGATTTTCACTGCCAAGGAGTGATTTAAATCATAGGTGTTGTGTGTAAAGTTTGTTCCTTGAACCTTACTCTTGTATGTGATGTAAAAATGAAGTCCATATGTGTGAATATAAGAAAGTTATGCCTGTTTGTTCATCTGGTTCCATTTATCAAACTGCAAGCCATTTCACCACATGACCAAATGGCACTCCATACCTCAATTTGTGCGTGGATACTTCTGAAGCACTTTTCTCATTTTTTTGTAATGGCAACACTATGAATAAACTACACCATTAGAACGATCCGAAAACACTCTTTCAGCTGGTGTATGGTTGTTGTATGGACGGCCAAACACATCAACATGCCGCCTTTCTGAAAGGTAGTGAATATATCTGTGTTGAGGGTGTTCTGTGTGTGGTTTCCTGGTCGACTAAAGTCGCCCATGGTAAAGAAAGGGTTAATATGAAGCCAAAAGTTGCATTATTTGTGTTTAGTTTGCCTCTCAGTGATTCAGAAGTAGCAAGCCAAGCCGAAGATGAAGCAAAGTTTTCAAAAACTGTTAATGGCTATGTCCAAATGTCAAGGCCACAGAGGCATGTCTAGCCCTCTATTGGAAGCTCAAACTTGTTCAATCAAATTATCTACTTTGGCCTTTAGTTCGCAAATAGAAATTAAAGATTTGAAAGTGATTTTTTACAGTCGCTGCAATTTTAATTGAATAGCGCATGTGTGAGCCATGATTTCACAAAATCCTATAGTTCCACAATAACAGCCATGTTATTTGAAAATAACATCATATGACAAAATCTCCTGCTCAGATGATCCGATTTCAGTCTTACCAAGAATGTTTCAAAATTGACAAAGCTATGCAGTAAAAACAAAATCAGCTAATGTAGGCCTGCACAACCACAATGGCTTTTTGAATGTGCTTGCCAGGGACAGCATGCATTAGGGGAACCATGACAATTTTTCCAAATCCATTCTAAAATAGTATTCCTTAAAGGGAATATACATCATTTGCTTTTGCTGTAATTTTCAGAAATGGTTGGAATTGGGGGGTTGGAAATATTTAGCAAATATAGTTACACTGACTTTTTTGAGGTTTTTGGTTCGAAAATGCTATAAAAACCAAGAAAAACAATCATTTTCCTATAGTCTGGTTCCCTGACTCCATATGAGAAGAAACAGAGCAGTTTACATACATTGGGGAATTGTAAGGTCAGGGAACCAGTCTAGCTGGCTTGTACCCGTTCATAGGTGTGTAATCGATTGCAAACAAGTGCGATGGTCAATTGGGGCCAGTATTTGAAAAAAAGCCAGTTTTTTTTCCAACGCTGGTCGACCGACCAGCGTTGGAAATTGATACAAAAATACCACTTTTCTTGAAAATGACAGTATACCAGGTGCCATGATTTTACAGGATGCAATACACTGTCATTCACTAACAGTCCAGCAAGGTATTTCAAAATGATTTGGTAGTTTTATATTTTGATGTTTGCAAATGTTGTATTTTCCCTTTAAGTTGTTGTCCATAATCGTACTATAACATTGTGTACTGATTGTATATTTCAGGTCTCCTTCCATCGTCAGTGAGCGCAGTGGTAGCGCTACCTCATCCAGTCAGAGAACTGTCACTAAAGGACCAACGCTGTCGGTAAGTATTCAGTTGTCTGGTTTGTTTTTTTCTGGGTTCTCAGGTCTCGTGTTCAATAGGGCTCGCTCAATGATGGCCATCTCTGTAGGAGAACTGCAACTGCGTATTTTACGCAATCAAGCACGCATAGCGCAGTGTTGAAGATGTTCTAAACACGCGCGCTTGTTGCTCGAAATGTGTTCGAAATACAACGCAGCCGATGCGCGTTATGCAAGTTGATGCTCAAAATGCCAATGCACGTGGATGGTCTGTTGGAAATAAATGACGTCATTTTGAACGAGACCTATAAGATTGTTTCTCGTGATAAAATGTAGAAAATGTCCATATTTGTTTTTGTTTAGATAAATCTGCTTAAAGCTATTATTGAGTGATATTCTGTACACATTTCAATGAGTGCATCGTCATATTTTTGATTGCAGCAAAAGCATCTTGAAGAGAGAGATCAGAAAGTGGGCAAACCCCGCGAGAGACAGATACACACCTGGGTGGCCACAACCAACAGGAAACTACGCACAATGAGGTAATATCGTGTCTTAATAGTTAAGATTGTGATTTGTGCTGGTCCCCGAGGGCCAGCCTAGTGTCGTCTGTGCTTCTTTGTCACCGACTGACTGACCGGCCAACCGACCGATCAACCGACCGACCGACAGGCCAACCGACTGGTTGTAGGCCGATGAAGAAAGCCTGGTATTGCCCCGAAACACCATGAATAAGCTAAATCCGGCCCATTGTGTACTAGTGGTGTGCATTCACGGGTAGTACATGTAGCCCTAAAAGAAACCCAACCAAAAATTCAAATCCGGAAAGTTGTCTTGATAAGGTGTAAACTGCAACTTTCACGAGAGTCATTTGCCTTGAGTTAAAGGGAAAATACAACATATGCAAACATCGAAAAAATAAAACTACCAAGTTTTTACGAAATACCTAACTAGGATGTTGGTAAATGCATGGAGGTAGAATAGTCTCAAGCATCCTGTAAAATTATGGCACCTGGTGTGAAGTCATTTTCAAGAAAATGGTATGTTTGTATTCATTTCCAACGGTGGTCGGCCGACCACCGTTGGAAAAACCTAACTATTTTTGTCAACTGCTCCAAATTTACCATTTGTTTCAGTCCAAATTGTGTTTGCTATTGGTTACATGTTCATGAACGAGTGCAGGCCAGCTAGACTGGTTCCCTTACCTCACAATTTTTCGGCATCTATAAATTGATTCATTTTAACTTTAATTGAGTCAGGGAACATTTTTGTTTTTCTTGGTTTTTCCAGCATTTTCGAACACAAAACTTCAAACATGTCAGTGTAACAATATTTGATCATATTATACTAACCTCTCAAATAGTCCATTCAAAAAATTACAGCGAAAGCCAATGATGTACATACCCTTTAAAACACGCATGAACGTGAAATCGGTTTTGGCTTTCCTTGTAGGCTCGTTTTCATTTTGAAAATTCCCTACGAGTGGCATTCAAAACCTTTCTTTTTCATTGTCTTTGAAGGTACTAGGTAATTTGTCAAGTTGGTTACGGGTACCCGATCCCATAATCTAGAACCGGTTCCTGACATCAGCGGTAGCTAGGGTACTCCGGTACCTGTTTCCGATGCATATATCACCATTGTGTAGACCAATTAGCAGGAATAGACTGCTGGTGATAGCCATTTTGAATCAATTGAACAGATTCTTTAGCTTTTTACTAGGCCAGCCTTGTCTTGTTTTCACAGGTTGCAGACAGCAGGAGTGTACAGTTCTTATAAAATTATGTCGAGGAATTGGAAAAACAGATTTCACAATTGAAAAGTCAAAATCCTTCTGATTGATATCATTCCTATCATTTATACTTACGATCTTTCTTTTTAACAGTGCGCCACCTAAGAGCGAGTTTAAACCAATCTTCCCGAGTCGCAAGCACGCCCACCTGCCCTCAGAGCTCCGTAGTCGCTTTGCCGACGTCACAGAGGATAAGGCCCTCATACTCCACGACAAGTTGGAAGTTCTTGAAAAGTAAGGCTGGTAGTGATTTTATTTTGCGTTGTCAAATTGTATTTGCAGTTTCTGTACTGGAAAATGGGAGGTGTAAAACATGTACATGACAATTATTGGTGAAAAATATTATTGGTTGGGTGCTGTGGTCCAATGGTTCCGGTGTTCGACTTGTGTGCCGTGGTACATGGGTTCGAATCCTGACCGTGGGAACATGGTGCTTGTACTCTTGAGCAAGGCACTTTACCATTATTGCTTCGTCCTTCGGATGGGACGTAAAGCCGTAGGTCCCGTGTGTTGTGTAATGCACGTTAAAGAACCCAGTAACACTTATCGCTAAGAGAAGGGGTTTGCCCCGGTGTTTCTGGCAGTGGCTGCAATAAGCGCCGCAGCACCTTGTAAACCCTTATAAGGTGCTACATAATGGGTCTCATATTTCTCATAGACTTTATTTACCTTTCTTTAAAAATAGACATAATTTCCAGCACCTTGAGTACTTAATTGTTGGTAGATACGTGCGCTATATAAGACTCCGATATTATTATTATTTTTATTATTAAAAATATTCAAACGTTGGTATGGATCTTGGTCACTAAAGTTTGTATGTGGAATACAGCTTTGCTGTTACATCCTGTTTGGGGCGGTCAGAACTATCGTTGGAGCCATTACAATAGTTGGGGTGCAACAGTGTCTCCATGTTAAGCGGACCGAACCGAAGCGCAGCAAATGTAGCATTCAAGTATCGGCCTTTATAAGGTTGTAGAAATTTCACCATTGTGCGGGTTCAGTAATGCATTGAGTGCATAGATGTTTCATGATGTACTTTTCTTTTCTGTGGCCCCGACAGAAAGTGAACGCTTATCCTCCTGCATCTTCCAAAATCATCCATGGGGTTTGAAGATTTTGCATAGGATTAATTACGCCACCATTACTATTCACAATGCCCCATGAAATTTAAGTACAGTAAACTCCGGCTAAACCGGCACTCTCGGGACCCGAGAATTTGTGATGACTTACGCGAATGCCGATATCTGCTGTAAGTCGTCATTTTGCCGACTTACATGAATGGTCATTTGCACTTCTATAGTTGTACCATTCATTGCACTAATTGGCTTCGATTTACCCTGGATTATCTCCTTAATACTTGAGTTGAATCCAGCAAATGAATCCTCGAATTGTATCATCACGTTTGGGGTATTGATAGTGGAGACCACGCATATGTACGTGCACAGTAACAAATTAAATGCATGCGTGGTCCGGTATATACCACGCACACATTGACTGCAGCAGCAGTCAATCAATAAGACGACCCCCAAAATGCACAGAGCGCATGCGTACAGCCTAGAGGGCGTACTGGTATTGATATGCTCACGATGCATATGCGATGTATGCAGTATGACACCCTTTTTCGACACCGATAAAACCAACACTTTGGAAACCGCAGTACAGGAAGTCGATGCCTTGCAATGCGTGATTTGTTGAATGCCGACTTACGCAAAGGATTTTGTAATGCTCTTTATGGAAAGGGGACCGACAGTTACACTACGACTTGAGCGAAATGGCGACTTATAAAAGCCGACTTAGAAATAAAAAATTCAATGGAAATGCATTACGGACAATCGGGACTTTAGTCAGACGTCCGACTTGAGCGATTTGACGAGTTGTACGATGTCGGTTTAGCCGGAGTTTACTGTATAAAAAATAATGGCATTGGTGGATATTTAGAGGATTAAGAAATCCAGTGTACCATTATTAAGGAAAATGTCTTTATAGAGTGGGTGTTTAATGTGCACAAAATCTGCTCTTGATTTGCAGGAAGAAGCTGTGGAGAAGCGAGGAGAAATTCCGAGCCATTCAGACCAATCTTCACATCAGCGCCCAGCTGGAGCGCATGAAGGATGCGGCCAGGGATAACGAGGAGTCCGCTGAAGAGAAGATGAGGAAGAAACGAGTCGAAGAAGAAAGCAAATGGTCAGAAGGAGTTTTTGTTCTTTCATTGTTGTTACTTTTTAATTTCTTTCTAATAAACCAAGGATTCCTCAAAAGCGCCCTAGGCACTGTAGTTCGCAAACAGGATGCTGGGATACTCTGATGAGCTTCACAGAATCTTGTGAAGGAAGTGGCCTATGACCTATGTATAAAGCATCTGGCTGCAGCTGTTCAAGACCGCAGTTAGACAATGTGCGCAAATGCTATCCCCAATCTTTCCATAGAATTGCGCACATTCCATACCGGATGTGATTTCTGTTTCATTGCGGACCATGAGGACAAAATTTTGAGAATCGCAAAATGCGATCTGACCGTTCGTGATTCGAAACCGAGCCTGAGCGAGTGACGGGAATTGTAAATTTACAACACAGATAAGTTTTGCAGAATTTCCTACATTATTACGCTTTTCAACGAGAAAAAACATCTCTAAACTGGAATAAAAGAGTAATGAATCAGTCTTAACGGCCATTTCAACCTTGCAGAGTCATGACCTTGTTGACGCGCAGGTCACTGGTCGCACAAAATCCAACCAATCAGAGCGTGAATTCATTAGAGTATCCCAGCGTCCTGTTTGCAGGGGGGGGGGGGGGGGGGGGTACGAGCGAAGCAAGCCTGAAGAAACCTGTAGAGAGAAGATTATGCAGAGATGCCACTTTTCAGGTTTTAACCTGAATTCAGGTTTTTTTTCCAAAAAGTGTGACAAATTAAAAGTGCTGGATTTGGTCTGAAACATCCAGAAAACACATTTTTGAAAGGGGGTAAGGGTAGTTTCAGGTTTTTTAGTAGTGTTTCAGGCTTTTTATTGATATATTGGTGGCATCTCTGATTATGAAAAGAGATAACCTCGTCCCCAGGGTGTCGAGCAGTACGCGCCCACCACTACCTGCTCTCTCACCCTTGTATTGGATCATTTGCATGTGCAAGATTTTTGAACACATATGCAAATGACGAATAGTCTGGTGCCTGCCTGTGCGTTACATTTGCGTTTGTTTTTGTATGGGGTGTCGGTGGTAAAAACAGAATCAATTCGTCGCAGTGTGAGCATGGCGTGAGTTACGAAAACAAGATTTTATTTTAATTAAACTGTTACGATCTGATCGAGACAACATGCAGTATCAAATTTGATATTAATTTGAACAAATTGGAAAGGAAAGGAATATTTTTGAGAAGGCGTTGACAAATGATCGCGAAAACACGTTCTGCACGTTGTGAATAACAGCACCAAGTACATGATATAAATTCATTTCTAGCCAATTGCGGTATCGAATCAGGATACAGGAAGAAAGTTTCCTATCCAGGGCTTACTATTGGAAACGATGTTGGAAATATAGTAAGCACTGGGGACGAGGTTGGAGAAGAGATTACTGCTTTTGACAAGGAAAACCCAGAAAAAAATAATCTGGAGAAAACCCACAGATTCATGTAGGGTATGAAAACCCAATCCACACATGACCAGGGTATCGTTAATAGACTTTATACTGATGTTGGGCAATCTTTCAGGTTCCAGGAGTTGACGTCGCGTCTCCCCAGCTACGTCTTCAGTGACATGGCCTGCGCTGCGTTGCTGGACAAGCTACAGGGTATGGGCATCATTGAGAGCCGTAAGATAACCCCGCAGAAGTTCCTGAACGTCTTGACGGGGCTGAAGCCGTGGGAGCTGTGCCTTCCCGAGGTCAGCGCTGCCGTCGAGGTAAGCTGGCGAACCAAACCAAATTATCTCTAAGATTTTATTTAAAGTACATGAAATACAACTTGGTGTTTGAAACAGGAAGGACAAGAGTCGAAAAATTTGACAGTTGCAGGCATTCAACAACGGAGAGAGAATTTGATCTAAGCTTGATTTTTTTGCTGTTAGAAGATATATTTCCGTATTTGTTGAAATGTAGAAGACAATATTCCAATATTGTTTCTCTCTTTTTTTGTTCAGTTTGTCCGTGAGCGAGTTGTCCTGATGTCGGTGGAGGAATTTGAGGCGTGGTATCAACACGAGATTCCGGGAATCAGCCGATCGCAGAGTGCTCCTCCGAACACTTTCCCGACCTAACCCAGGCGTCACTGCCATGACTCTAGATCAATCTGGGCATGTTTCTGGACAGACTATTGTGTTAACTTGGTCCAGTTAACGTGATCTGGTTGGTACGGCTAGCTTGGTCCTTGTTACCTTGGTCCGTGTTACCATGGTCAGTGTGACCTTGGTCGGTGTTACCATGGTCCGTGTTACCATGGTCAGTGTTACCATGGTCAGTGTTACCTTGGTCCGTGTTACCATGGTCCGTGTTACCATGGTCCGTGTTACCATGGTCCGTGTTACCATGGTCCGTGTTACCATGGTCCGTGTTACCACGGTCAGTGTTACCTTGGTCCGTGTTACCATGGTAAGTGTTACCTTGGTCCGTGTTACCTTGGTCCGTGTTACCTTGGTCCGTGTTACCTTGCTCCGTGTTACCTTGGTCTGTTTTAACTTGGTCCAAGTTAACTTGGTTTGGTTAAACTTGGTCGGTGTTAACTTCAATTGGTTTGGTTAACTTGGTCCGTGTTACCTTGGTCAGGTTATTAGCTTGGTCCGTGTTAACCTGATTCAGTTAACTTGGTCTGAGTTAACTTAATTGATCTGGTTGACTCGGTCTGTGTTAACTTGCTCTGGTTAAATAGGTCTGTGTTAACTTGCTCTGGTTAACTTGGTCCGTGTTACCTTGGTCAGGTTATTAACTTGGTCCGTGTTAACTTGATTCGGTTAACTTGGTCTGAACTTAATTGATCTGGTTGACTCGGTCAGTGTTATAACTTGCTCTGGTTAAATAGGTCTGTGTTAACTTGCTCTGGTTAACTTGGTCCGTGTTCACTCGCTCTGGTTAAATCGGTCCGTGTTAAGTTGCTCTGGTTAAATTGGTCTGTGTTAACTTGCTCTGGTTAAATTGGTTTGTGTTAACTTGCTCTGGTTGACTTGGTCCGTGTCACTATCCAAACCGTGCAACTATCCTTTGAGTGCCACTTGAACAAATTATTGGTTTTATAAGACTGATAAATAAGACTTTGATAAATGGGGTAGTATTTCTGGAAGCTAATACTGAACTAAATAAATTCAAGTACATTTTGTGAATCATCTTTGAAAAAAGAAAACATTTTCACTAATTACATGTAGAAACAGCATTTAATTCCAAACTTTGTAAATAAAAAAAATATTTTTATATAGTATACTTGTATATTGTATTTTCATTGGAAAATTACACATGCAACAGTTTACATGCGTCCGTTGATATGTAATTAATTTTATGTGATCATTACTTGTCAGCTGACGCTGGGTTATGGTGGCCCATGAAGAACAAATTTAATAGTGCTAATTTCAAACGGTTCATTGGTTTTTGCAGCTTTTTGTTTTTGTCATTATTTTTTTTGTCAATATTTGTTTAAATACAGAACAAAATTTTCAGAGCAGGAAGAATTTGAGCCTTAATTTAAACTTTATATGAACAATCTGTTTTTTCATGTTCATGTATTTCTAATTTTGAATTCAGAGTGTGCTACAAAGATGTATAAATTGTAAATAAAGCTCTTTGAATGAAAGAAAGTTTGATTGTGAAATGTTTGTGATTATAAGTGATATTTCATTCCATATGGTCTAGGATGTTCAGATGTTTTGTAACTGTTCAGGTGTTAAACCTGTGGGGAAAAGGGGTTAACGTTGGGTTTTTTTTTTTAATTTAAATAGGGCCAAATTTGACTATATTTTTCAAAAATTAAGAAATATAAGGGGTTAGCCTTGGGTTTTTATAATCAAAATCGGGCAAAATTAAACTTTTCAAGAATCAACAAATTTAAGGGTTTTGCCTAGCATTTTTATCAAAATTGGGGAAAATTTGAATTTTTTATTTTTTTTGGAAATAAAAATGTGAGGGGTATCTAAGATCAGGATAAACACTTTGCATTTCAAATGAAATCTCGTCCAATATTAGATGTTTGACACATGCACACGAATCTCGAATATTGACAGGAACCGTGAAAGAATGACATTTAATATAAGGAATTGGAAGTGTTAGGACTATACATTGTACACTTCGTATTTAAATCGTCATCAATTTCTTCCAAAAGAGGGCGCGCTATAAAAACACTGCCCACCGCGTGCCGAATTTCCATTCGAGATGTAAACAAAGGTTTTGTGACGACGAAATCTCAAGATAAACACTTTGCATTCAACTAAAAATCTCGTCCTATATTAGATATTTGATACATCTACTCAAGAATCTCAAATTTGTGTACAGGAGCCGTGAAAAAAATGACAAAAATATAAGGAAGTTACAGTGTAAGGACGCTTCGTATTAAAATCGGCATCAATTTCTTAAAAAGAGAGCGCGCTGTATGAACACTGCTCACCGTGCGCCGATTTCAGTGTCCATTCGAGATGTAAACAAAGGTTTTAACCATGCGCGTCGATCTTTTTTTTTCCCAAAATGTTCCGCGGTAGCTCCAACAGCGCCCTCTATTTCCGCACCTCCTCAATTTTTTTTCCACAGAGCACCAAGAAATGGGAAATTGCACCAAGGCAAATGATCGAAAGCACCAAGGCAAATTATGGAGGACACCAATGTACACGAGGACACCAAAAAATCAAAATAGTACCCACCTTGTATGTACAATTCAAGCTTGAAGGAAAAAAACAAAGCCCCCCCCCCCAAAAAAAAAGCCGCGTGGCCGCGTCAATTCCGGAACTTTAGTCTGACCAGAGACCGAATATTTTTTTTGTTTGGCCTAACAACGGAATCTCAAGATATACGCTTTGCATTCAAATGTAATCTCGTGCAAAAGTAAATGTTTAAAATTACATTTTAGCCTTGCTTTAAATTTTTTATCAAAATTTGGTATATAATTTGACTTTTTTTCCAAACTTATCAAAAGTAAGAGGTTAGCCTTGCATTTTTATCAACATTTGGCATAATTTGACCCTTTTTTTTGAAAATTAGAAAAAGTAAGAGGTTTGCCTTGCAATTCTATCAAAATTTTGCATAATTGGACTTGTTTTTGAAAATTAGAAAAAGTAAAAGGTTAGCCTTGCCTTTTTATCAAAATTTGGCATAATTTGACTTTTTTTTTAAATTAGAAAAAGTAAGAGGTTAGCCTTGCATTTTTATCAAAATTTGGCATAATTGGATTTTTTTTAAAAATTAACAAAAGTAGGGGTTAGCCTTGCATTTTATCGAAATTTGGCATAACTTGCCTTTTTCCCCCCAAAGTTATCAAAAGTAAGGGGTTAGCCTTGCATTTTTTATCAGAATTGCGCATAATTGTACTTTTTGATAAAATTAGCAAAAGTAAGGGGTTAGCCTTGCATTTTTATCAAAATTAGGTATAATTTGACTTTTTTTCTAAAATTAACAAAAGTAGGGGTTAGCCTTGCATGTTCATCAAAATTTGGCAAAATTTGTCCTTTTTTTGAAAAATTAACAAAAGTAAGATGTAAGCCTTGCATTTTTATCAAAATTTGGCATTATTTTACTTTTTAGTGAAATTAGCAAAAGTAAGGGGTTAGCCTTGCATTTTGAAGTTAAGTGTAAGAACACTAGAACACTTCGTATTCAAATCGTCATCGTGTTCTTCAAAAAGAGTGCACGCTATATAAACACTGCTTACCGCGTGCCGAACTTTCCATTCGAGATGTAAACAAAGGTTTTGTGACGACGAAATCACAAGATAACGCTTTGTATTCAACTGAAATCTCGTCCAATATTAGATATTTGACATATCTCTAAGAGAAACTCGAATTTTGACAGGAACCGTGAAAGAATGACAAAAATATAAGGAAATTGCAGTGTAAGGACGCTTCGTATTTACTAAATCGTCATCAATTTCTTCCAAAAGAGGGCGCGCTATATGAACACTGCTCACCGCGTGCCGACTTTTGTGCAAAGGTTTTGTAACGACGGAATCTCAAGATAAACACTTTGCATTCAAATAAAATCTCGCTAAAATTTAACATTACATTTAGCCTTGCATTTTTATCAAAATTTGGCCTAATTTGATCTTTTTTGGAAAATCAACAAAAGTAAGGGGTAAGCCTTGCATTTTTATCAAAATTGAGCAAAATTTGTCTTTTTTCCCAAAATTATCAAAAGTAACAGGTTAGCCTTGCATTTTTTTTTAAATTTGGCATGACTTGACTTTTTTCGAAAATGAGGAAAGGTAAGGGATTATAGCCTTGCATTTTAATCAAAATTTAGCATAATTTGACTTTTTGCCAAAATTATCAAAAGTTAGGGGTTAGCCTTGCATTTTTAACAAAATGGTGCAAAATTTGACTTTCCTTCAAAAATTAACAAAAGTAAGGGGTTAACCTTGCATTTCCATCAAAATTGGGCACAATTTGACTTTTTTGAAAATTAACAAAAGAAAGGGGTTAGCCTTACATTTTCATCAAATTGGGCAAACATTTCCTTTTTCTAAACGAAACGAAAGTAAGGGGTTAGCCTTGCATTTTTATCAAAATTGGGTATAATTAGATTTTTTTCAAAAATTAATTAAAGTAAGGGATTAGCCTTGCATTTCTATCAAAATTGGGCAAAATTTGACTTTTTTCGAAAATTAACAAAAGTAAGGGGTAAGCCTTGCATTTTTATCAAAATTGGGGAAAATTTGACTTTTTTCGAAAATTAACAAAAGTAAGGGGTAAGCCTTGCATTTTTATCAAAATTGGGTATAATTTGATTTTTTTCAAAAATTAACAAAAGTAAGGGGTAAGCCTTGCATTTTTATCAAAATTGGTCAAAATTTTCCTTTTTTCGGAAATTAGCAAAAGTAAGGGGTTAGCCTTACATTTTTGTAAAAATTGGGCATAATTTGACTTTTTTTTGAAAATTAGCGAAAGTAACGGGTTAGCCCTGCACGTTTATCAAAATTGGGCAAAATTTGTCTTTTTTGAAAATTAACAAAAGTATGGGGTTAGCTTTGTATTTCTATCAAAATTGGGCAAAATTTAGCAAAAGTAAGGGGTTAGCCTTGCATTTTGAAGTTAAGTGTAAGAACATATATGCCGCTATACCTTGGAGGAGCGCAAGAAAAGTTCTACAGCGATACTTCTTGAAAGACTGTTGAATCCATTAATAGAGCATCAAAATAACTGTGCGTAAGTAGCATCCACACAAACGTTAACCATGAATGCAACTGACGAACACAATGAGAAACAAATTGGAGAGAAGTGGGTGTGTCAGATCATGGCAGCAGAGGGAGTTATTGATGTGTTATGGAACCTCTTAGTGTGCTATACGTCATCCTACGCGTCAAGTTCTTACACATCATGACGAACTACCTGCTGGTGAATTTGGCTGTTGCTGATATGCTGCTGTGTCTGCAAGTATTCTTGTATTATCTAACATCACACTTTATAAGCTGAATGCCTTTGCTCCAGTATACAGCAACGGCGTGAGAGACTTGTTCGGCAGACTTCTAGCATCCATTTTTTTTAGGATGGGCATTGTCCTTAGGATAGGGGTGTAGAGAGCTTGGATAGAGGTAGTACCTTTGGCGTCTGGTTGCTGCATCCTACTATATAGGATGGAAGGGCGTCACTGGTCCTCATCCAGCTCTTAAATCTCCTACGTGATGGCTCCAAGCGCCACACCCTGGCAAACCGCTTCAGCAGGCGGGCTAAACCACGTGAGGGGGGTGGTTGTTACACTGCACCACTGGGCGGAAGAGCTGCGGAACAGCCAACGGCCAGAACGGAAGGGTCTCTAGATGGACTCAACGGCCAAGTGTACGGACCGAGGGCGATCCACACCGTAATTTGTGGTATCCGGCTGGCGGTCAGGAGCTCGGAGAGGAGATGGGCGCCGCTGAGCTGTCTCAAGCCCACTGAAAGGACATGATGAAGAAGAAGCTAAGAATCACCATGCCGGATCGGTCGAGGCCCGGATCAACAACGACCGCGCGTCCCACTGAATCACTCCAGGATGGGCGTTATAAGTGGGATACTGGAGTGACAAAACCCATTAAGTTGCCAACAAAAGGGACAACTATCGGAACGTGGAACGTTCGCACCCTACATGCCTGTGGGAAATCCATGAGCTGACCCATGAGCTAAACCGCTATCGCTGGGACATCATAGGGCTCTGCGAGGTCAGATGGACTGGCTTTGGTGAAACCGCTACAGAAGAGGGACACAAGATATGGTTCTCGGGAGAGGAAAGGAATTAGCACCAACATGGGGTGGCATTCATCGTAAGGAAGGAAATCTCCGGTAGTGTCATCAGTTGTACTCCCGTTTCCAACAGACTCATCTCCATCCGTATCTCAGCAAGGCCACACAACATGACCATCATCCAAGTGTACGCCCCAACCTCAGACTACGATGACGAGAAAGTTGAGGAGTTCTATGAGCAGCTGGATGCCATCATAGCAAAAGTCCCAAAATAAGACAAACTCATAGTACAAGGAGACTGGAACGCCAAAGTAGGACCACATGCAACGAGAACTGGGCAGGGACAGTTGGGCGATTTGGCATTGGGGAAACTAACGACAGAGGCCTCAGGTTGCTAGAGTTTGCCAACAGTCACCGCCTCACCTTGGCCAACACTCTCCACCCTCACAAGCTGTCTAGAACCGCTACCTGGCACTCACCAAACGGACAAACACACAACCAAATCGACTTCATACTGGTTCAACAACGCTTTAAATCTAGCGTTAACAAGGCGAAAATGAGAACTTTCCACGGCGCTGACATCGGCAGCGACCATGACCTTGTGCTGGCGACCTTCAAGCTGAAGCTAAAAGTCAAGCGCCACCCCAAGAGCCCCCGTATCCGCTTTGACCTGGAGAAGCTCAAGGACCCAGAAATAGCTGAGGTGTTCCAGGCCCAGGTGGGAGGGAAAATTCGCAGCCCTCAACCTGCTAGACACCGAAGTAGACACCCTCGCCAATGACATCAAAGAAGTGCTACTTACAACAGCCGAAAAGGTGCTGGGGAGGAAGCGCCAGAAAATCCAGCCATGGGTCACAAACGAGGTCTTGGACCTATGCGACAAAAGAAGAGCGCTGAAGGGAGAGAAGCATATAAGTGAGGAAGCAAGAGCGCAACATAAGCAAGTACATAGAGAGGTCAGGAAGAAGATGAGAGCAGCCAAAGAGGAATGGATCGAGGAGCAGTGCGACGCCATTGAGAAAGGAATGAAAGCAGGGAACAGTAAACAGGCATACAACACTCTCAAAGCCCTGACCAAGACTAGCCAGCCGAGAGCAGCTGTCATCGATGATAAAGATGGCAATTTACTGACAGATAGCGACGAAGTCTTAAAGAGGTGGAAAGAGTACTGCAGTGGCCTTTACAACTACGAATCCCACCCAGACGCCTCTATACTGCAAGCCAACCAGACTCCCGCAGAAAGCGAAGACAGTCCACCAGTGATGAAGGAGGAGGTAGAAGCAGCAGTACGGGCCCTGAAAGCGGGCAAGTCACCCGGAGTGGACAACGTACCCTCCGAACTGCTGAGAAGCGGAGGTGAAGAAACAGTAAAGGCCCTAACAGCTCTCTACCAGATGATCTGGAATCAGAAGAAATGGCAACAGAGTGGACTCAATCGCTAGCGATACCCCTACCAAAGAAGGGCAACCTCAGGCAGTGCCAAAACTACAGGACCATAATCCTGATCAGCCACCCCAGCAAGGTGATGCTCCGCGTCATCTTTAACCGATTGAAAACGAAGGCTGAGGAAATACTGTCGGAAGAGCAGGCGGGTTTCAGAGCAGGGCGGAGTACAGTGGAACAGATCTTCAACTGCAGAGTAATCACTGAAAAACACCTTCAGCACCAACGCGACCTCTTCCACAACTTTATCGACTTCAAGAAGGCCTTTGACAGAGTTTGGCGTGATGGCCTTTGGAATGTACTCAGAAGCTTCAATGTCGGAGAAGCTCTTGTACAAGTCATCCAGGCCCTCTATAAACACTCCAGCTGTGCAGTCCTTCTGAACAACCAAATAGGAGAATTCTTCCAGACAACCATTGGTGTCAGACAGGGGTGTTTACTCTCCCCCGTTCTCTTCAATGTTTTTCTGGAAAGAATCATGCAGATGACCCTCCATGACCATCACACCTCCATCTCCATCGGTGGCAGGCCCGTCTGCAATCTTCGTTTTGCAGACGACATAGACCTGATGGGGGGCAGCAACAACGAACTGCAAGACCTGACGAACAGACTGGTTACAAGCGCCAACGCGTACGGCATGGAAGTCAGCACAACATCACCATCAACGTTGATCCGTTAAAAGAAGTGTCCAGCTTCAAATACTTGGGAGCGACCCTGTCAAAGGATGGCACCTGCAAAGCAGAAATCCGTACCCGAATTGCAATAGCCACTGCAGCAATGTCCAGACTCGAGAGGGTATGGAAGAGCAACATCAGCTTCCCCACCAAGTACAGGCTCTTCAAATCTCAGGTACTCTCCACCCTACTGTATGGGTGCGAGGCATGGACACTGCTGGCTGAGTCAGAAAGACAAATTCAGACTTAGGAAGTTGCTCCGCATCTCATACTTGGAGCACAAGACCAATGAGTTTGTTAGGAACAAGGCCGAGAGTCTTGTTGGTCCCCAGGAACCTCTTCTTGCCACCATGAAGCGACGGAAGCTTAAGTGGTTCGGCCACGTCACGCGACATAACAGTCTTTGCCAGACTATCATGCAGGGCACTGTCGAGGGAGGACGAAGGCGAGGGCGACAACGGAAGAGCTGGGTAGACAACGTAAAGGAATGGACAAACATGAATATGTCAGAACTCCTAGTGCAGGCCGCTGACAGAACAGCATGGAGGAGGACTTTAGCTTCTTCTGCCCCCGGGTCCCCCCAACGACGGCAACAGTCAAGGGAAACGTAACGTAATTGTCTTATGCTTCTGCCTACAATCTCTGTGTGGTTACATTAGAGAGGTACATTGCGATAGTACACCCTCTACACAACGCGAGGAAACTCACAACAGCACGGATGGTTACTTTAATTGCACTGATGTGGGTGATATCATTTCTGATATCGTTACCTCTTCTTTTCACAATCGCACCAAGCAATGGCCAGAAGAAGATTTGCTCAATCAAATATCCTCACCGGTTATTCCCAATTCTACTCAGCATATTTTTATTTTTAGTTGCATATTTGCTGCCCTAACATTAATGAGTTTGGCCTATTATAGACGCAGGCCACTCTCAAAAGACAAGCCAAAGCCCTGAACCTGCAACATGCAAGGGCAGCAGCCTATGATATTTTGATTGCTAGACAGAATCTTGTCAGCATGCTTAAAACTGTCTTGGGAGCTCTCATTGTCTTATGGACACTGAATTGTTTAGCTCTTCTTCCCTGCTTGCATCAAACAGGCGAGGCTCAGTTCTTCTTCTGTAGATCGAAGGGCTACCACTATACCAGAGTCCTTGGTAGTTTACTGTTCAATTCCAATTCAATCATTAACCCCACCAGCTATGAGTTTAAATACACAGAGACATTCAAGCAAAGTCTTAAGGTAGCTTTCTGCGGCTGCTTCAAATGGCATGGTGGTAACAGAGTTGACTTTGAGATGAAAGCATTATTACTTTTTAGAAATACATTATCTGGCTATATTTCCGAAATGGCAGTAAAGGTAGAAAATTCTACAGTTGCCATGTAATGATATACAGTATCTTGCTAAGGGAACCTCCGTCCATTTCACGCAGAGAGTTCAGCAGTAAACAAAGCAAAAAAAAAAAAGTGTTAACCGTAGCGGAAGAGCACGTACGTACTACAGTTAACTCGCAAAGGTTGTGCCGAGAAACGATCCGCTTTCATTTATTAACAACTGACGTGCTTAAAGGCTGGGGAAAATGTGATTGTTGATAAAAGGGGCACATTTTCTTTACTCCATTTATCAAAGATAAAACTGTAAAGCAAAGTGATAGCCAGTCATACGCATTATTGAATTAAATCCCACACCCATCAACTCATTTTAGTATTGAATCTTTAATCAACCGCCAATCCGTGGCGTATCCGTGCAGGGTACTCCACTGAGCGTCAGTGGCCTACAATGAGCATACAATGATTGCACATGATCAGCTTCATGCTACTGCAAGCATGGAATTCACATCGCTCAAAGGATGTTCTGCTTTCTGTAGAGTAACTATCAACTTTCGTCAATAGCGGCATGGAAACAGCGATGAAAAACTGATGACAAACACTGGCTTCTTAAACTTCTAGACAGCATTTTTTTTCCCAGTCCCTCTGCGGAGGTTTAACACAAGACGTTCCGGCAATGTCTTCAGGCAGCGCTCCTTAGCTGTTGAAAAAAAAATGCAGCAACAGAGTTGACGTTGAAATGGCACCATTGTGACTTTTCCAATAAAGTAGTCTTTGATTATCTGCAGTGGTAGGACGTAGAAGTGCAAGGGGCCACTGTAAGAGTGCTGCGGCGCACACGGATTCCCGCCAACAGAAACTCCGGTGATTTCATTGAGCGTTAAACAGCGAAAACAATGTTTAGTTCAGAGGAAGAATTGAGCAATCTCCACGCGCGCATGCGGGGAGTCAGTAAAGCGTTGTATAAAGAGAAAACTCAAATGTGTTCGTTACATATTACTTTTTCAGTGCACGAACATTGAAATCAACATCAACATAAGATATGTTATAAACGATCAATGTCGGTTTACCTTGGAGGAGCGCCAGAAAAGATCTGCAAAGGAATAGTTCTTGGGAGACTGTTGAATCCATTAACTTAGAGCTTCATAATAACTGTGCGTGCTGAAGTGCTCATAAATGAGCATCAACGAAAATGCTAACCATGAATGCAACTGATGCACACAATGAGGAACCAAATGAAGACAAGTGGACTTGTCGGATCATGGCAGCAGAAGGAGTTATTGGTGTCTTAGGTAACATCTTAGTGTGCTACGTCATCATTCGCGTCAAATTCTTACACAACATGACGAATTACCTGCTGGTGAATTTGGCTGTTGCTGATATGCTGCTGTGTCTGCAAGTATTCTTTTATTATCTAATGTCTGACTGTAAGCTTATTGTTTTTGCTCCAGTAAGCAACAGCGTGAGAGACATGTTCTGTCGACTTCTAGCATCAAAGTATTTAGCATGGGCATTGTCCTATGCTTCTGCCTACCATCTCTGCCTGGCTACTTTGGAGAGGTACATTGCCATAGTACAACCTCTACACTACGCGAGGAAACTTACAACAGCACGGATGGTTACTTTAATTGCCCTGGTGTGGGTGATATCATTTCTGTTATCTTTGCCTCTTCTATTCACAATCGAACCAAGCAATGAGCCTGATAAGATTTGCTCAATCAAATATCCTCACCGGTTATTCCCAGCTCTACTCAGCATATTTACATTTTTCTCTGCATATTTGCTGCCCCTAACATTAATGAGTTTAGCCTATTATAAGATGCAGGTCACTCTCAAAAGACAAGCCAAAGCCCTGAAACTGCAACATGCAAGGGCAGCAGCCTATGATCTTGTGATTGCAAGACAAAACCTGGTCAGCATGCTTAAAACTGTCTTGGGAGCTCTCATTGTCTTATGGACAATGGATCATTTCGCTATTCTTCTCTGCTTCCAAAAAACAGAGAAGGCTCAATTCTTGTTCTGTGGATCAACAGGCTACCACTATACCAGAGCTTTCACGAATTTACTGTTTAATTTTAATTCAGTCATCAATCCCTTCATCTATGAGTTTAAATACAAGAAATTCAGGCAAGGCCTTAAGGTAGCTTTCTGCATCAAAAGGCAGGGTGGTAACAGAGTTGACAATGGGATGGTACCATTATGACTTTTAAGAAGTACATTATCTGGCTGTATCTATTTTACAGAGAGGCTTGGCAGTAAACAAAGCGAAAATGAGTTAACCGTAACTATAGCCAAGGTTGTGCAGAGAAACAATCTGCTTTCAATTAATAAAAAAAACTGACGTGCCTGACGGCGGAAACAGTACTGTGATTGGTGATAAAAGGGACAAATTTGTCAGAAAACAATGTGTGGCAACTCTTTATAACAGCCTGACATTGAATTCAGAGTGCTGCATCAATTCCTGATTTATTAAAACTCTGCCGCGGAGACTATGTTTTCGTCGTGTTGGTTGGTTGGTGGTTTGTCTGTTAACAAGATAACTCAAAAGGTTATTGACGGATTTGCATGAAAATTGTAGGAGTGGTCCTTGGTACAAGTAGAAATCCATTAGATTTTGGATCTGGGTCTGGATCCAGGACCATTGTTAAGGATTCTGCACCGTTTATGCGAGTATTTATTTTGGGTGTACTGACAAGCATGTCAATATATGGCGCCCCGACACTCGCGGTTGTCGCGCCTTAGTTGTTTCCCATCCGGGTATTTCACACGCCCCACCGAAGGGTCCCACATTGGCACAATATGGCGGGGAATCGTTAAAGGGAACATGTAATATGATATTTATGAATTAAATACATTTAAAACAGCTTTCTTGCCATATAACTATGACTTTACACCTCCTTTCTAGCAGTTAAAGTGAGAAATTTCAACATTTTAGTTTTTATGCAATGAGAATTTCCATATTCATGAGCAAAAGCGTGATGTCATTCAAGGCAGAACAGGAGTGTCTCCATAGCTTTGTGTACAAATATATATCAAACTTTTGTTCATTTTCTTGGAGTAATTTCCTCTTTATACTTGTTTACCATGTTAAACAGCTTGTTTGGACAATAGTAGTGGCCAAGATTTCTTCAAAACTTTTTTTTGTGGGTAATTTTGAAGGACTAATTTTGTACTGTTCATATGCACTTTTGACAAGGAGTGCCTTGTGTGACAAAAGCAAAATAGCGCCCTCTTATATGTATTCATGAAAGGATTTGCTAATAATTGAAAAACTACCACTTTCTTGTCACTTCCAATGAAAACAAGTATTAAGATATTGTATATATTGTTGCAACACATAGTAATTTGCATAAAAACAAGATGAGCAGAATTTTCACTGCATGTCTCCTTTAAGCCTTGGCGGAGGTTTGCGCTCTCTGAGTGCTTTCTACTTGAAGCTTGAGATCATCCACCAAGATTTATTTGATCCTCAAAAAAAAAAAAACTGATCTGATCTGTAATTGAGGCGAATATTTGGTAGGTACATGTGATTGCATTGTATAGTTTATGCACCATGAAGTTTGCACCAACTTTATCTTTGCGCTGATTTTCGAAAACTTAAGACAAGAAATGTACATCCTTTTAAAGTGGTATTATCCCCGCTCTTTCAGGTTTCATATCAAAAAATTCATTCATTCAAGTTACTTGAATCATGCATTTTTATGTGCCCAAAATACCCCCCCCCCCTAAAAAACAAACCGGGAATAGATTTGGCGGTTGGAACCAACAATACGATCTGAAAAGTTGGGAAAAGAACATAATTGAAATTCGTGAAGAGCACGGGGAATGCTAGTTTAAATCTGTGACTGTAGTAGGCTCAAAATGAACTTTGTACCTAATTATTTAGATGCAGGTGTATATGTACATGTATTTTTTTTTATTGTATTTACCATATACAGAATGCCCTCTATACTAAATTACTCTTTCAAAATTCTCAAGAGTATTGGAGCATATTGAACATCTAAACACGTCATAATCAACAAATGCGATTGTAATAAAATTCCATAGTAACTTGGAGTACCGACCACCACTGCAATTAACGTCTTGTCTTCTAAAATGTATGGACGACAATAGCTAAAAGATCAGCGGGAATTAGTTTTGTTTGAACACAACCTGTGTTTTCCGTGGTAGGAATTCACATAATTCACTCTATTGTTGATTTATAAATTCAAGCTCGCAGCATAATGTGATAGAAAAGTTTTGTAGTCAAACTAGTGGTGAGCTTGTCGATTTGCTTATACATAAAATGTGTTTCCTTTCCTTTACGATCCATGTAGACTACACCTTAAATAAATTCACAATAATTTCTTCGAATCAGATTCAAAGTGGCTTTAATATAAACCAACTGGTCATTTTTGTTGGTTATTTCAAAAGGTTGTTGACTAGAGTTTGCATCTGATGTTCCGCATCATCGATTCTCCTTGAAATCGGTCGAGTTTGTTTTCGACATGCCTTTATTCGAACCCATAAAATTTTAAAACGCTATTAAATATTGAACCTATACTCTCCAGGGATACATTTCAGATTCAAAGCATTAATATTGTATAAAAAATAATGGCAATACGTGTTTCTGCGCTGACCCTAGAACCTCGACAAAAATTATGCTGGTATTCTGGGACGCGCTGCAACCTCTTCATTAGCCGTTGCATATTGTGCATGCGCACACTCACACTCGTTAGGCATTTTACAAAGAAACGAAACACAGACACCACGACAGGCGGACGGACAGACCTACAGACAGAGAGACAAACGTCAGACAGCGTAGGATCTTTTAATACAAGATGTATTACTTTGACCTCAATTTGCATGTTGACCCCAAGTTGGCGTGGTAAACCTTTGTAAAGCAATTTGGTCGCATTTGCCGGATTTTGCCACGTTTTCATCGTGAACGTTATGTTATGCGTAATAGTGTTACGTTGTGGAGTGTTTTCAAAGGGATAATGTAACATTTAACTATTCAAAGTCTGAAAGAAACACATTTGCCAAAAGAGCAAAACAAAACAAATAAGTAATTTTTTGTACAGTGCCAAATGTGACTTCAGAGGACAGTGAAATCAGGGCATCTATATATACAACAATGGAGCGGTTGCGAAGGCCTTAGCGTTGCTGATGTTAGACAAAGTTATCCGATTACATACTTGGACGCAACAGAGCAGTGAAATTCCTGTTCCTGAAATAAAAAAAGAGCTTCTTGAACGTGTGTTTATCAGAAAATATATGCTTAGTATGATTGACATGTTAAATTATGACGAAGAAGACATTCTTTACTTCATGTCAGTGAAAAAAAATCGCCGTCATTGATTCCATATCGTCAATACTAGTTGCCCACTAATATCATCTAAGTTTAGTCCGAATTTCAGCCTCATCTGTTGTTGCAAACTCTTGTGCTACATCTTTAACTATCTCCAAGGTAAATTTCGACGAGGATTTTTTCCGACCATATTAACTCACGGGCATGGTTTTCAGGTTGGCGTATTATTAGCATATTCATTAGCGTGACTCGGCGTGACTTGTGGGTCTCGGTATTGACCAATGGAAGTCGGCAAAAAGGGTGATATTTATTAAATAATAACTCGGGTTTTGTTTTACTGCTCATCATAATGGATACATTCGTGAGGCTTGACAAAATCGACAGATATTGCAAACACCGGCGTTACAACTTTTAAAAATGCACGTAGACAGGCCTATTTTTCCGATATCAACGAAGAGAACTGAACGCATCAAAACAATTGTTAGCACATGGTTGGATCACAAACCATGAAAGGAAAACAAACCCTGAAAGTTGCATGAAGATAAAGTCCTCCAAACTGGAGAAATTGATTTTCAAAGGTTTCGCCCGCAAACATCAACATGTCTGTGTGCATGTTGTTTCATTCAAAATAAAGTATTACGCAACCACATGGCTGTAAGCCTTTCCATCACGCCTTGCATTTTGTGTTACCGCAAACTCCTTCGGCCTTTTACAAAGAAACGTGACAATTAACAGACAGACAGACGAACATCAGACGAACAGACATCAGACAGACAGCGTAGGATCTTTTAATACAGGATGCACGATCCTATTATTTACAATCAAGGAGCATATTTCGTAGCATTTTGCCTGTTCGATTTCTAAATGTTTGCCCAAAATGGTGTTCATCACGTTTAAAACAAATGATCGTTTGCCGTGCATTTAGTGGAACAAAAAAACCACAAAGCTTCGTAATTAATAATAAAATGAACTGGCTGACCTGTAGTGTTTTACACAATAAGACAACAAACTTCAGTATGATTAATCTTTAAACAAAAAAAGGAAAAACACTTTAGCTTTCTTAGCAATTGTTGAGCTTTGGAAGTTTTTATGGGACTAATCACCGTTTTTTCTTGTATAGTGCAATTACAGTTACGTGTGAACAGCATAAATAACTGATCGCGAACACAGAGCTAAACGAGCTGCATGCCTATAACGACCATTTGAAAATGCGTAGATAATTGGGTTTATCGCGGAATTCACGTACAAAAGAGCGTTGGTTGTTACGAAAACAATAAACTCTGCGTCCGGCGACAAGCCTGGGGCACCTGCGAAAAATGTCACGAAGAAGTATATTGACAAGATGAAACGAGGCGTAATAAGGGTGAAGAACAGGGCACCAGTTATTACAAGCATCTTAGCAACGCGGTCTCGGATGCGTCGAGATTGGGCGAGAGACGACGGCTGTTCGCTGCCAAATTTGTTGATGCGTCTGCTCAGCTTCCGTACGATAAACACATCTAGTGTAAAGGTGACGAGAAAAGCTAGAAAGGTCGGAGCGGTCAAAGCAAACGCAACAAAGACGTACGCCCACAACGCCGAATTATAGCAGCTCGCGATGGTTTGTGGAAAGTTGGAATAACGAATGTCATCAGGCCACATGACGCATTTGACGATATAGTTGCTGCCACCAAAAAACACGAAGACGGCCAGACACGCAGCAACTAGCCACGTGATTGCAAGCAGGCCAATAGTGTGCCCCCTAGAGTTGATATTCCGGTGAAGTATCGGGCGGCAAACTGCCAGGTATCTTTCTACCGTTACCACAGTAACAAGGAAGGTTGAGGCGTGGAAGGGAGTATTATTCAGCAGGGTTGTGAAGAAGCAGCCGGCCGCTCCGCCGCATATGGAGTAATCTGCCGTGACTGGTGTCGACAAGTACTTCCAGAGACCAAAACCAGCACCTGCAAAAAAAGCACACTTTGTTCGATCGGTGATACAAAAATTCATAGTCCATTATTAACCCCATGCGTACGGGAAGCGGTCATGGCCGCGGCCGCTAATCCTCATTGGTATGCAGTTGCCAGCTGTGGTATGCCATGGCACACGGCTAGTGGGTAATTCCACAGCTGCTGCTTTTGTGCAGTCCCGCTACCACACAAAGGCTGTGCAGTCATGCGGGCCACTTGCTCTATGTGTGGAGGAATGTCCCCATTACACCCCGTCCTTAAGGGGTTAAGAAAACGTATAGCGTGTCTGTTTACTGAGTTTTGAATTTACTTCTGTGACATAAGCCTTTTGATATCAAACTAAAACGGCATCCACAAGGGTATTAAAAAATCCCTGGAACTTTCTTCAAAATATACCAAATGTGACAGTTTCTAAGCTACGTTTAAATTCTCCCCTAACTATAACGTCATTTCTCCTTATAAAAATGACATCAGATTCCAAAATTTCCTTATTTAGGCCTACATAGCTTTCCATATTGAGAAAAGATTCTACTTTCACAGCAATGGACGCTACAAGCAGAACTGTACAATTTTCATGCATCACAAAAAGTGGGCACCCATTTTTTTTTTCAAAGGGGGCACTGAAGGGAGGTCTACCCGATGTTCCCCAATACCTACGTTCCCCAACACCGATGTGCACACATTTTTTCAAAGGGGTCACTGCAGGTAAATCATACGCATTTTTGTTGAATTCAAGATTGTAAATGAGGTGTGGGGGGGGGGGGGCACCCGGGGGCACGGCCATCTATTGAGGGCACTTGTCCCCTCCCCCTCGTTCCCAAGTAGTTTCGTCACTAACTACAAAACAAGCAACGAAACAGTTTGGGAATTTCTGTTGCAAAGTATAAGCGCGAAAGTCCTTTAAAGGACAAAGTACTCCACGTGTCCTTCAAATTAAGTTGAAAATAAGATGCCTTTGGCAAAAACAATTAAGTCATCTATCATTCAGTTTCAAAGTTTGGTCAACCTATTTCAGCACTTGGACAAGAATATTCGTCTCTACGGAATGAAATCGTCTCATCTGTTACCGAAAGGCAGCACTCCGAGATTACATCACTTATAGCAATCGCTTTAATACTTCTGTTAAGTATTTTAGTCTGGTGTTGGCTTGTACTGCGCTCAACACAATTCGTTACATTCGTTCTAATGATGTAATCAGACTAAGTATAGTGTACTGAAATAGTAAGCATCAGCGAACAGTTTTCTCAGGAAAAATCAGGCGCGGATCCAGGGGGGGGGGGTTCAAAACCCCCAAGATCTGCGAATTTTTGTTTTCATAGAAATTGATGACAATAGCTGCGATAACTGTAGTAACGCACCTATTGATTTTCGGAGGACAAGTGTCTAGAGAAAAAAATCTGTCTCCATTTCAGATTGTTTGGCCGATGAAAATCCCCCCCCCCGCGAAAGTTCCTGGATCCGCTCCTGAACATAAAACCTAGAGAACGCTAAAAAGAAAAACAAAATATAGTACTCTTATAGGAAATAACAAAAAAGTAAGTGTTAGGCCAAAAAAAAAAGTCTCCGGTTTCTGGTATGGAGCTTGCCCAAAAAGTGGTGCGGCGACGCGGCTTTTTTTTTTTTTACCTGATTTTTTTGCTTCAAATGTCGGCTGATGACTGCAAATGGTGCCCGACTAAACTTAGTGCAAATATATGAGAGTCCAGAGAGGCCACATAAAGCTTTTTCTCGACCATAACCCAATCTAAAAACACGTTAAAATTGTGCAGCAGCAGGATTTCAGTCAAACCAGTGAGTTTGGCGGTTTTGAGACATCATCTTTCATTGAAAAAAAAAACCTTTTCATTTTGCCGACGCGCATGGCTACGGCGACGCGCGCGCATACCAGAAACCTGAGACTTTTTTGGCTTTATATGAAACAAATAAATGTCAAAAACTACGATGAACCTTAAGTCCCCATGTAAAAGTTGTGTCTGCCGAAAATTCCGCCCGACGTATTTTCAAGGGATAAATGAAAGCAACAAACAATAATTTCGTAAACAAGGAAAGAGAGAAAGAAAGTGGACAATTTCTCTATCAGCGGCCTATATGCCTTCTACTGAAGATGTCACAATGACGTTTGATGCGGATGAACAGAGTTATGATTGAATTGTGTGGAGAAAGACGCATTTGTTTTTTGACTAACACAGTTCGCTGTAATAATAATAATAATAATATAATATTGGACATTTATAAAGCGCAAACATATCCACCGTGAGGTGCTCAAGGCGCTATACATAATTGTATACAAGCAAAACAACAGCAAAAATAGGTAAACAAAATCAATATGAATTAATAAACAAACTAAACAAATTAAGGTAAGCAACGGAAGAGCAGACAAAACAAAATACACATAAATGCAAGGGATTAATTGAAAGCTAACGACATGAGGTGAGTTTTGAGAGCTGTTTTGAAGGACTGAATGGTTTCTGAGGTTTTGATATGAATAGGTAGCCGATTCCACAGGCGAGGTGCTGCTACAGAGAATGACCTGTTTCCCCAAATACGGTGTGATTTTGGCTCATGTAGTAGATGCTGTAGGCGAGACGGAACCGGTTACTCCTGTTTGAATATGTGCGTTCATGCTAGGAATGAATTTATTTTATCCAAAGTTGATACTGTATTATAAAGGACCCAAGTCAACACTGGAAGTTTACTTAATCGATTGTGCTGGACGAACTGGATTATTAATACCGGTGTATTCGAATACTAAACGTTTTCAAATAGCCGAGAAAATCAATATCATTTTGGGAAAAAAATTGTGTGTATCGCTTTGGCCTTACCTGTAGACAGGAACATGATATCCGATACTGCTAGATTGCTGAGATATGCGTTTGTGATAGTTCTCATATCCGGCACCCGAAAAACCGTCAGCAGGAATATCGAGTTTGTCAAGATACCGAATAGGCAGATGCATGGGTAGACGATCGTGACCAAGACGGTGTGAACCGAGTTGTACTCGTAGCGAACGGCGATACTGGGGTCCGAGAGATCGATAGTCGTTGTATTCGGTATCGGACAGACAGGCGGCAAATCAATGAAGAAACCACCCCCGTTGAGATCGACAATATCCTCCTGGTTAATTGAAACACTCTCCCGAAAATGCGTCAGAAATGACATGATGGACTGTTTAAACAGAGGAAATACCGCAACCGTGTGTAATTGCGTGTTTCCGAGATGGCCAGTAGAGTAAGACTGAAACGAATGACACCCAGACAGCAATGCTGGTACATTATAAAACTGGAGTAAAATAAATGGCACCAGGCAACAATGAGTGGCATGTACTAGTTGCAAGACGCTTTAGGTACAGTCATAACTATCATTAAAGGGAATATACAACATTTGCAAACATTGGAAAACAAAACTACCATTTTTTTTAACGAAATAGCTTACATAGCTTAGGATGTTGGTAAATGAAAGTCTGAAGCATCCTGTAAAATTATGGCACCTGGTGTGAAGTCATTTCCAAGAAAAGTGGTATTTTGTATAAATTTCCAACAGTGGTCGGCCGACCACCATTGGAAAAACCTAACTATTTTTCAACTACTGCTCCAAATTTACCCTTTTTTTCAGTCCAAATTTGTTTTTCCTGGTTTTTGCCAGCATTTTCGAACGCAAAACTTCAAACTTGTCAGTGTAACAATATTTGATCTATTATACTTACCCCTCAAATAGTTCATTTCTGTAAATTACAGCAAAAGCCAATGATGTACATTCCCTTTAATTAAGTAGTTAGAATTGTAATTTTTGTTTCAATTATATTGAATTTCCAAAAAAAAATGCCTTATGGCAAAAATTCAATAAAAAATGGTGATAATCCGACAGCTTATTAATGAGCAGCGAACTGAAAAATAGTACCCGTACATTTAACTTGGTCGGTGGCTCCCGGGTACGTGTTATAATTACAATCATTTCCAAGGGATTTGTGTCACAGCGTTAAGTGTACCATTTCTTGAATATATCATTTCTTGAAAACAAGAGTAGAAATATTGTTTAGAATGTAATTAGGCATGCATGATGCACATTTTGTGGCCGGCAGCTGGCAGTGGACAGCTCGACTCACATAGCCACATTATACTCGGTGGGCATAAATTATCGCACGCTTCGCGGCGTGTTAAATTAACTCGTCAACGATCAACTCTTACACACACAACATACTGAAATTTGTATTCTTGTGGAGACATTTCTTTGTTCTCATGTAGTAAAGTTTTCGAGTTTGAAAGTGAAGTTTCAAATGCTCTTATTTTAATCAGAATTAATTTCCTTTGCTGAAATTCGGACTTAATATCCCTTTTCTAAAACTCTTCCATTTGCGACAAATCAACCCACCTTGGAAATTCCTAGTTTTTGAGTAAAATCCACTGTTATCTATTTCGTGAAAATCTTGTGGAGTATTCATCTATAGAAATTGTCATGTGGAGACGTATACAATCTTTTATTCCCTATTGTACACAGAGGTTGCATCAGATCATGTAAAATATATACAATTGTGGACCTGCTATTGATCTGCCACACCCGTACCCTCTAAAGACGTGTGTTCAAAAGGAAAAGACAGATTGAATACGTCTCCACAGGGCAATTTCTATAGATGAATACGTCTCCACAAGGTTATCACGAAATAGATAATGGATTTTACTCAAAACCTAGGAATTTCCAAGGTGTGTTGATCCGTCGCAAATGGAAGAGTTTCAGCCAAGGAAATTAATTCTGGCTAAAATAAGAGCATTTTGAAACTACACTTTCAAACTCGAAAACTTTAGTACACGAGAACAAAGGAATGTCTCCACAAGGATACAAATTCCAGTATGTGTGTCCCTCTTTTGTTTATACTGTTTGTGAAGAACACTAATAGGTTTTGTACAAACATAAAAAATGGAACTTCGCCCAATCGTCGACCCTATTGTACAAGCATCACGTTGTCTGTGTGGACTTCGAGGTCCACATAAACCAGGTAGCAGCGACGTTGTGTCACGGTGGACTTGCCCACGTCCACACTGTGTTTCCCCTCATCTGGAAAACAGGTTTAGAGGTATTTTTGTGTATGCAACGTAACGTAATGCATGTCCCCTATTGTTCAAGGTCCACTATTCATACACGTACATTTTTACATACACACCTTTTGCGCTGTACAGTTTATCGGTGATATTGTTAACATTGTAGTCTAGTAGGAAGATAGGGTTCCCATGCACCCCAGGATATATTTTTTAACCTACTTTTTTTTGTAATCCTCAAGGTGTCTAGTGGACGAATTTTGATGTTCCCAAGATCAAATATTGTCCAATGGGGTTCATTTGGCGGCCATCTTGGCGGCCATCTTGGATTTTGACGAAAATCGGTTGTTGACATAAGTTTTGAACCAGGCATCATAGGAAGACAAATTAACATGTTTTACCGGGTAATTTGGTTGTGAGGAATAGATAGGAAGTGTTTTTTTTTTTTAATTTGGCGGCCATCTTGGCGGCCCTCTTGGATTTCGACGAAAATCGGTTCATTGGCGTAACTTTTTAACTAGGCATCATAGTAAGACAAATAAACACGTTTTCCCGGGTAATTTGGGGGAGAGGAATCGACTGAAATTATTATTTGCATGATTTGGCGGCAATCTTGGCGGCCATCTTGGATTTCGAAGAAAATTGGTTATTTGACATAACTTTTGTATTAGGTATCATAGGAAGACAAATTAAGCAGTAGACTTAATCTTGTAGTATTAGCTAGAAATGGTGATAGTGAACCAACAATCACTGGCCAATTTGCCTGGATTTTTGTTATTTATTAACCTCTTTTTTCAGCGATAACTTTTTAAAACCTGCAAACAAACAAACTTTACGACTCCATCCAGCTAGTGGATGCAGTGTAAAGCGCGGCATGCCGAGTATGTTGTCATTTTCGAGAAGATAGGAATTGCCAAATTGACCCAATCTTAGTTTAGTTTGCAATTGGTTACATGCAGGGCTATTAAACAATATTTGATATTCCAGTCCAACTTCCAATTTTAAAGGTTGCATGATGATTTTATTTTCTTGGCAGACTTTATTCCATGACGCATTTTTTTTAGAATTTACGGAAAATCCGTAATTGAATATTACACTCTAGAATACTATAATACATCTACCAGTTCTAAACGTTTATGGAAACTAAATGTTGGATAACATTTATTGCAAATCAAGTTGTCGAATTTTACTAACTAGTAAATTATTGTTCAAAAAATCACAAAACATCTCCAATAACTGGTCGATTGTATTGTAATTAAATTTCGTAATGTTTAATATAGATCTACTGAAGTAATGTGGTAAAAAGTGAACTAAAATACTAACGTGTCAAAATGTTCACACACAAAAATCGAACTGGTTATCGAAAACAGTGTAATATTTAAATGTAAATATGCTTGAGTATTTTTTTACATTTTTGGTAATCCTAACTGATTTTAAAGAGAAAGATTTAAAGGTTTCAAATAACTACGTATGTTCAAAAGTTAATATCACATTAATCTCTATTCATATTCGCTTGGATATTGAATATGACACTTTGTCCAAGTATGAGAATCTTTTGGAAGGGCAGTTATGTACGAACTCTCCGCTTGGTCCGAGTGTAGAATCCGTTTGGTCGAGGCGGAAGCTACAGCTTGGTCCCAAAAAAACAACGAAACCCCATATTCAAAGACCTTGACATGATAGGACATTTTGTTGGAAGGAAAATGATACCAAGAACTCACGATTCTGTCCAGTAGTTTCGATTCCAGCGCCATTTTGTGAACCAAAGTCAAGGGTTCTCATTAGGATTATCACACAGAGTGCACAAAAGGATTATTCATCCAAGACCAAATAACCCCTGACTTTGGTTTTTAGTGGGTGCCAAATTAGAATAAAAAAATGAATAATTTCTGTGGATAACTTTGCCTTCAAGGGAAATAAAATTTGAAATACTGGACTACCTCCGTATATCAGTCACAGAGCCACGTGCGGCCTGTGAGCGGAGCGTCCCGTTGCTAGGGGAGCCGAAAATTAATTAAAGATCGAAATTATTTTGTCAGCAGAAAATCAACCCAGCTATAGTATGACTGCTAAATAGCACAAAATCGTTAAATTCGGTACCTTGAGAAGTCTAGTTATCCAAAAATCATGGAAATTCGTCAAAGAATGCAGACGGTTTTGAGCAAGCATGGCGTCGCTGATATGTTTCCATAATAATAGTCAAGAGACCAAAGGGGTCAGGGAACCAAACAAGAGCTTTATTCATCTACTGAGCGTGCGTCAACTTTGGAAAAGCGCACCGCTCACAGGCCGTACATGGATCTGTGACTGATAATACGGAGGCAGTCCAGTATTTCAGTCACATTTATGGGACTAGGTCAGAAATTGCCTCAGATCGCACCACAGAAATTGCTTTTCTATAACTGCATGTTTTCTCAACTAAATCCCCCATTTACATTTAACTCCCCACATATTTCAACCCCAACACAAACACGCCCTACCCGATCTATGATCGGGTAAATCAGCTTGTTCACTTATAAGTGCTGAAGAATAGATAAAACTTAAGGAACCACCTGGGTTAACAGTGAAGGTAATAACTAAATGCGACGTCACCGTAGCTCACCTATTAGCTGTATGCTACTGCCGAACTGGTTCACTACGGCAACGAAGCAAAAACTCACGGACTAAAATAAATGAACTAAGAAGACTTGAATTGCGGAGCGTGACGATGTAGGCCTGTCTTGCTGCCGGTTGAGTCACGGAACTGGGGGCTCGTGCATGGAACAATGGTGCTTTATAAGAAAAAGGACACGCATGGCTACTCGCGTTGCGTAAGTGCAGCTGCCAACAATAAGAACAGGAATTTAGGCTACTACAGGTTCACAAAAATGGTGCTGCAATCAAAATTACTGGACCGAATCGGAAGTTCTTGATGTCATTTTCCTTCTAACAAAATTCCCTAGCCAAACATATAAATGGTTAAGGTCCCTAGATACAGGAAGTATATGGGGTTGCGGGGTGGTTTGTTTTTTTGGACAACCCTGTATAGGCCCTATACTATGTAAGTGTCTTCCAATTATTTGCAAACGCATATCACACTCTAAATAAAGTCCGGGTCAAATCTGACCAAGAATCCAGGGCCTGTTTGACCTGACACTTTTCAGGGATAAAATGACAGTTTTGGGAGTCAAAAGGGCGCTTGTCTGGATCATGTCCGGGTCAGTTCGAACAGCGAACATTGGCAAATGTGTCATTTTGTCATTTTGACATAGAAAAGGTTAGTTTGGACTCTGAAAAGTATCAGGTCAAATTTGACTCGGATTCTGCTACAATCTGACCCCTGACCTTTCATAGTGCACCAGAACGTAATAAGGGAATAAATGTGTGCTTGGCCGGTTGTTCACACTAGGTTTAAGACCGGTTGGAGTCTGGATGCTGATTTTTACCCGAGTCACCGGGGAATACGAACTACTCACATTTCTATGTTTATATTGTCCCAGCCACATGATAGGCAAAGCCCGATGCCGTATACATGGTATATCACTATATCCTAGTTTGGAACATGGTACATCCACCAGAGGGAGTATCACTTGCCTGGCTCTTGTGGGTTGGGTTAAAATTGGCGGGAAAACATACTGTAGTTATGTACATTCACATAGACTGGTGTCCGATAGCGCTGTTAACAATAATAGTAATAATAACAGGTTCTTATATAGTGCTTTTAACTAAGATCAAAGCGCTTTACATTATTATTACCCCTAATCATTGGGCCAATTAAACATTCCAAATACCATCTCAGCTCCCTGGGGAGTATACAGCTCGATGCAGCCTGTCAGGCGCAAGGAAGCTAATTCAATCACAATAACCATCACTGCCTTCACAGGTACACATTTACTCCCGGGTGGAGAGAAGCAATGAGTGACAAAGTGCCTTGCCCAAGGGCACACGCACCATGACCCCGCCAGGACTCGAACCCACAACCTGCAGCTTTACCCACAGACCACAAATCCAATGCCCTTAACCGCAAGGCCACAGAACTGGGATTGTCACATAGGGATTGCCATGGATCACCCCTGCGGACAAAAGTGGAACAGTTTTGCCCTCCACAGGTTTTAATGGCTGTTTGGGGTCTGAAGGATACCAGGGCCGTGAATGGACTGGGGTTAGTTGGGGTTTGAATGTCGGGTGGCTCAAATTACATGGTGGTAGAAGAGCATACCACTAAACTGTCAGATAATAGATTAGAGGGTTGGCTCCGCGAACCGGCCAAGCACATATTTATCCTCATTCATAAATACCTTTTCGATCAAAAATTTAAGCCTTTCGGTCAAAAATTCAATACAAGTCAATAATTTTTAATTTCTGACGATTTTGTTTAACAAATTTATTTAAAGGTTTTAGGGACACCCCGCTAGCTGTATCATGATAAGTCCAGTCTCGCGAATAGTGGTAAATAACTTATGGTTATTATGCGCGATGTGGCGCAGAACGCAGCTGTGCCATTGTGTTGTGAATTTATGACTATGAAATGCTGAGTCTCACTGGTAGTGTTGCGCATGCCTACGTGAGTATTCTCAGCGTTCAACCAATAAAACAGTAAAAGGCACCGGATTTCATATGAGTCAACATTTCATGTGACACTGGAAAATTGTTTAAGACCAGCCAGCCATGTGTTTATCATCCGTTTAAAACCGGCCACGTTATGGGCTCTAGACCAATAGGAATGGGTAAATTGTCTAAGGTATTTGTTAATCAAGGTTAATGGCCCTGTAACAAAATAATGTTACAATGTTTGCAATTTGTTCTTCCCCCGCGATCTTTTGTCAAAGCTCCATTTTATTTCTTCTTGCCTCTCGCCCCTCCGCCGAGTAGAGCTTTCTCCAGCCCCATGATCGGGCCTTCCACGCCGATGGATAACACGAAGGCCGCTGCGTAGCCCAACACCAGATTAGCGAGGAACATACATACCTGCCAGAGAAAAAGATATATAGGCCCTATGCTAATTATTTAAAGAACTGCAGCGAACACGGCTTTACAAACTCACTCTTTGCAATTTATACAACATTTGGCTAGAGATGTTTTTATCACTGTTATCACATGCCGTTACAAGAGGGCGCTCGTCCAATTCCGGGTCAACTAACACGCCAGTTCTTGCAAATGTCCCACAATTCCATTGAAATGCATTTATAGTTCTTGCAAGTATTATTATTGTCAATGTTAAGCATTCAATATTAATGTTAAGCATAATCGTTAAGCATTTAATTTACAACATTCAATTTAGATTAATACGATTATTTTCATGATTTTGCCTCAATAATGTTCAATCAATTAAGTTGATAAAAAAAATAAAGTAGGTTGTTCCAAGAAAAATAATGCAAACTTCCAATAAGTATATATCGTAAAGAAAATCCTGCTAAAACGTTTTAAATTTAAACAGTTTCAGCAGTTACGGCAGCCGCATTTGATTCCTGGAATGTTTGTAATTTATCACGTGATCACGGTTTCTAATTATAGAATGAATAAGGAAGAAACGAGTGTATTAAGCACGATCTCGACCCTCCAAAGAGTTTCACATTAATAGGATTTCACGCATACTGAAATTTATATCCTTGTGGAGACATTTCTTTGTTCTCGTGTAGTAAAGTTTTCGAGTTTGAAAGGGAGTTTCAAATGCTCTTATTTTAACCAGAGTTAATTTCCTTGGCTGAAGTTCAGACTTAATATCCCTTTTTTTCTAAAACTCTTCTATTTGCGATAAATCAACCCACCTTGGAAATTCCTAGTTTTTGAGTAAAATCCATATATCTATTTTGGTGAAAACCTTGTGGAGACGTATTTATCTATAGAAATTGCCCTGTGGAGACGTTCCCCATTGTTCCTTATTGTGTGCATGTCTCCAGAGGGCACAATGTATCAGATCACAAAACTTAAATGTTACAAACTTACCATAGTAACATACACTGAACATTCTTTTCTGGAACCAAATTGACCAAAGTAAGACATTGCACAATGGGGATCAGGTTGGCGTAGTGGTACTTTCCTCGCCTTCCACCGCTGTGACCCGGGTTCGAATCCAGCCTGGGCCAATATGTGGATTGGGTTTTCAGTCCCTACCTGATTCCGTGGGGTTTTCCCCAGAATGTTCTTTTTGGTTTTTCCTCCACATCTAAAATTATAATTTCTTCTCAATTAATGTTTGCGAGCTACAGTGCCTAGCGCTTTGAGGAATCATTGGTTTCATTACCAAACAATAAAGACATAATATAATAAGTAAATAAAATACTGAGTAACAAATGGCAAGAAAAATATGTGGGTTTAGGCTTCGCGTCCGTTTTTAAATTGCATTTAATAAAGAGCTTGGCCCAATTTCTTGGCTCTGCTTACAGTCAGCGAAAAATCCCTGCCTACCATAGCAGAAAATTGCATGCTTACGGTAAGCGTATTTCACGCATTATCGAGGAATTTCGGCTTCTGCGCATGCGTACATCCCGTAATAAGGATTATGTGCTTATGGTTAGCACAGATTTTTTTCTGCTAGCGCTGTTAGCACAAACAGCGATCATAAGCACGGAATTCTGTGGTTAGCAGAGTTGTGAAATTGGGCCCAGGACGGACGACTGTTCGAAAGCCATAATTTATTTACCCATTGCATGTAGGTGAAGTGATACTGAGCGTTATTACTCGTGTAGATGGTGTAGATAATGATGGGGTGCAGGAGATAAGCACCGAAGGTGATGCGACTCAACGGGGCCCAGAAGCCCCAACTCAGGAGGGCGTTGACGGGTCCTGCCAGGGGAAGAAAAAAAAAACAAGTACGAGTGCACAATAAGCTCTGGCCGTGTTGCAAGAAGTCTTGCATGACAGTCTTGCAAGAAATCGATCAAAATGATCCCCTGTCAGAGCTTCAAATGAAATCGATCAAAATGATCCCTTCCAGAGCTTCAGTTATTCAGGTTCGTGAAACGAGACAATCCACTGGCCTGACACTGATGAAGATTCCTTTTGCGAAATAAGAATGCTATGCCTCACGATTTGCTATATGTAACTGGTTCAATCATATCCGTGGAACCAACTTTAAAACGGTGGTCGTGTTGAAAATTCCGTAACTTGAAAAGTACATGAGTGATTTGAATGATTCTTGCAATTCAGAGAAAACTTATTAGTTGGGCTGGCTTTCATATTCCTTGATTTTGAAATTGCTGCAGAACTTTATTAAGAAAACGGTCGTGCCATTTGGTTTTCCTTTGTTTTTGGACTCACCATTGTGACATGGCCCATAACTTCATTCGGATATCTACATTCATTCACAAACTAGTTTGACTTGAAAACTGTCTAATTTGCACAAAGCTGATGACCACGAAAAACAAACGAATTTTTAAGGCAAATTGACGCCTTTCAAAGTCAAAAAGACAATCTTTGGGGTCGTGAAAATGACACAGTCAAATGGCTGGAGAAAGAGGTTCTATTTTGACTCGAAATATGTCAGGTCAAATCTGATGACCCGGATGCAAGTCGAACTTGACCCCAGACTTTTAGAGTCGGTCTGTTCTGCTTACCTCCATAGCCCACCAAGCAGGAGAATGCCACCCACCCGACGGCTGTTACAAACGCAGGTCGGGCGAACACGTTGTAGAGCACCGCAGCATACAGCGGTAATTCGCCTTCATCTCTGTAAATTCCATACACGACTGACAGGGCAACAGCCGTAGACACAAACCACATGGATAGGTTGAAACACTGCAGGGAAACCGATACAATTATTATGTGAACAATTGAGTTTGTTTCTGCATTCAATTGAGGGCGTTGAACAGTAGGGTCCCCAATTTCCGAGAGGTCCCAAATTTGGATTCGTGTATAAAACTTATGGGAGGTCTACCTAAAACTTAGAAACAGTACAAACAAAAGAGGGTCAATAGGGGTCCCAGATTGCAGGCAAATACACACTTGTCTGGGTGTGGTTCGGTTGGGTGGGGTCGGGATGGGTTGAATTTGGTCAAGGTGGGTTTGGGGAAGGTTTTAAGGTGCTTGGCTTTGGTTAGGTTTTGGGTTCGGCAGCGTCGCCCAATTTCTGTAGCATCCGTGCTGAAAGGTAGGGTCATACCGCGGCCTCCGTAAAATTAAAGGAAGGGGGTTGGGTTGGGTTGGGCTGGGTTTGGTTGGGTTTGGTTGGGTTTGTTTGGGTTTGGTTGGGTTGGGTTGGGTTGGGTTGGGTTGGGTTGGGAAGGGTTAGGTTAGGTTCTATTGGGTTGGGCTTGGTTGGGTTGAGTTGGGTTGGGTTGGGTTAGGTTCTATTGGGTTGGGTTGGGTTGGGTTGGGTTGGGTTGGGTTGGGTAAGGTTCAATTGGGTTGGGCTTGGTTGGGTTGGGTTGGGTTGGGTTGGGTAAGGTTCAATTGGGTTGGGCTTGGTTGGGTTGGGTTGGGTTGGGTTGGGTTGGGTTGGGTTGGGTTGGGTTGGGTTGGGTTGGGTTGGGTTGGGTTGGGCTAGGTTTGGTTGGGTTTGGTTGGGTTTGGTTAGGTTTGGTTTGGATGGGTTTGGTTGGGTTTGGTTGGGTTGGGCTGGGTTAGGTTCTATTGGGTTGGGCTTGGTTGGGTTGAGTTGGGTTAGTTTCTATTGGGTTGGACTTGGTTGGGTTGAGTTGGGTTGGGTTGGGTTGGGTTGGGCTGATTGGGTTGGGCTTGGTTGGGTTGGGTTAGTTTCTATTGGGTTGGACTTGGTTGGGTTGGGTTGGGTTGGGTTAGGTTGGGTTGGGTTGGGTTGGGTTGGGTTGGGCTGGGCTGATTGGGTTGGGCTTGGTTGGGTTGGGTTTGGTTTGGCTGATTGGGTTGGGCTTGGTTGGGTTGGGTTGGGTTGGGTTGGGTTGGGTTGGGTTGGGTTGGGTTAACTGTGCAGGCTTGGTTGGGTCGGTGAGGCTTGTCCAGTTGAGTTGGGTTTATAGGTTGGCATTTTTTGTTTTGGTGGTTTTTGGTGGTTGGGTTTGGGTTGTTTGGGGACTGTCGGGTCGATCGGATTGGGTTGGGTTCGGTGGGTTTGTTATAACAACCGTACCTTGCTCATTTTAAATGGTTTCCCTTGCACCTTGTAGAAGATGTATCCAAACACCATGCCGACCAAATAGGCTGGTATCCGGCAATACGGCTTGCCGTATATGATGTCTGCTGTAGCACTACCGTACACAACAAGAGTGTTGTTGTTGTAAGCACTAATATTGAATAGAAAAAAAAAAACTCGGTGATTGGAAATGAGTTACTGACACGACTCTGTATTTATCTCTTTCATTGTTTTCCTGTTATTTCGTATAATGCTATTCGTTGAGCACATTTCAAATTAAAACAATTGTTAGTATTGTTTTCAAGTACAGCCCGTTGCTAGGAAAAATAGAATTAAACAGAAGAGCACGCTAACAAGCGTTAAAGTTTAGGGTCTGTATAAATCTAAAAACTGGAGTAACTTACGGTATAAGACCAACTCCTGCCCCGTAATAAGCAGCGATGTATGCAGTGACGCCAAAAGAGGCTAGGCACAGTGTCATTATCAAGCCCATTCCCCACTTGGCGTTTCTGAAAGTAAAAAAAAAAGGTTAGTTATGGATCATTCAGTTACGGTTCCGTCAATTTAGGCGATTCACAATGCAGTGCGCCACCAAGAGTTTGCCACAGAGAGCTCATTTTTCCCAGTGCATTGTGGGAGATGGTCGACAAATTCGCAGCGCGGGACGTTTGAAATTGTTAGTTTTTTCGATCAGTGGTTCGTAAGCGCATGATTCGGGGATCTGTATGCCCATTTCTTTTCTTGTTACCAATATGGTGTTTTTGTAAGGCAGCAGAACGCTATATATGCCCCTATCTATGACATTTTAGCTCAAGTTATCTACCGGCACTCATTCAAATGGGCCATGTTTTGTCGACCGTAAACTTGAAAAATGGACTCTCCGTGGCAAACTCTTGGTGGCGCACTGCATTGTGAATCGCCCGAATTAAAAGATCGATCAGTTTTTTAATCAGCAACTACACGAAGTCAACTAAGAGATGGGATCTCTAGAATTTTTATTGCACTATGGACGTGCGGAAGATAGGTGATGGAATTGTGCTTTTGATGATACAAGCATGGAACTTGGCACATAGTCAGAGTATGTCATGGAAACGATATTTTGTCCTTTGAAAAAAAATATAGGTGGAATAACAAGCAATGGCAGCCATTTAGAAAATTTGAAAATTGCTTGTTATTCTACCAATAATTTTTTTTCAAAGGGCTAATCTGCGATGGCCCTATATAGCCGATTATCTTTCTCATGACATACTCTGACTGTGTGCCAAATTAAATTCCATGCTTGTTTCATCAAAGGCACAACTCTCCCAAATGTTTCCCCTATCTCTGCCCCACTATGGGGAAACTAACATCGTGGTATTCAGATAGCGCACGAACATTTTCTATCGATCGTTTCAAACTCAAAGGCAAATAGTGCAGAGATTGTCGGTTTTAATTATCGGATGGCGTTCACATCGACAGTCCAATGCAAAGACGCTGCTAACCTCTGACCTCACGAAAAGCGCTTTAGTTTGGGATATGGTCCGGATATAAGAGGCCAAACAAAGTTTATTAAGTGCAACAAACTTACTGAACATCACTGGCAACTTAGGCACTGATTGACATTCGTAAGAATTACTGCTGACGTTTCCACTGAAAACAGAACTTATTTGGACGTGAATGCAAATGAAGGGCCGGGCATATACAATGCGTGACCTCGGCGGCGTACGTATGACGTAACCAACTCTACGGCGATTTTAGTTAATGTGCCATTCTGTAGAACTTTCGATTACAATGGGTCCAAGGCTACTCCGTGTGCATTGGGCGTGGTTCTAGTTTAAATGACGTCACACTTACGAGCCAGGTAGGACCACACTGTTGTTGCCATGGATCGACCAATCAGGATAGAGGAATCAAGTTTGCCTGAAGATAAACTTACTTGTACAGTAGGTAGATGATGACAGGGCTGATGACGAAGAATTGCATGTCGTTAGCAAGATACCACGACCATCCCAAGCACTACAGATGGGGGACAAAACGAAAGGACTAGTCATTGATAATCACGTACGAGCAGACTGGTACCGTAGTTACAATCTTCTATTCTGTGAAATTTCAAACGGCTTACTTTACCTATTATCGTCTTTGTATTGGTTTTTTTTTTTTTTTACTGTCATTTCCAGTTCATGGCTGTGATAGATTATTTTAAGGATTAAAGTCATACTGAGTCAAAATGAGGATTGTCCCCCAAAACCATGATGTGGGATATACTAGAAACATCATGTCAAAGTCGACATTGATTGTTTTGTATTTTGGAGTAGCCAAGGTATCAAAGATGCACACTATGCATTTGTGTTGGGTAAAAAATATCCACAAAATTGGGAAATCTGAGGAACGTTTTCCACTGCCGTTATCGCGGCGCAATGCGTGTCTTTTTTATTTCAAAGCCTTTTTTTCTCGAAATGAGGTTTGCGAAGCTTCCTGCGTCATATCTTTGGAATAAATTAAAGTACAGAAATAAATTTGGTATCATTGGAAAGCCAATGATTTGCGCTTTAACATAATGTACATAACGTGAAAAGTCAAATGTGGGGGTTATTCCTCATTATGCTTCAGCAGGTTGCAATAAACTTTCCGTTAAAAACTGACGCATGCGTACTGTGGTCAGCGATTGGTATACGTAAAGCTTTTTTTCCTACCTGGAGACTCAAATCGCCAGGGAAGGGATACAGGTTGTTGATGTACAGCAAATTGGTCCACCAGTATTTGCGGCAGGCTTCGGCAGCCCCTTCGAACATTGCATGCTTGCCCACTCCCTGACCGAAATGAATCGCTAGGCTGGCCCATATAGCTATAGAAACCATGTAGGCCGGGGTGATACGGATGAAGCGGTGGAGATAGAAGAGAAACCAGTTCAGTCTACCGTTGGCTTTCTGGAGATGCTTCAACGTCAGGTACGTCAGGAGGAGACCACTGGAGTCAAAGGGGGGAATTTCAATTCAAAGACAAAATAGTTAAATTTGGGGGTACATTATAGCTGCACAGGCAGTGATGGTAGAGACACTTAGTGGAGTGTCATGGCCCAGCGGTTAAGAACACCGGACTCATGCTCTGGTGTTTCAGAGGCAAAAGTGGCGTGGGTTCGAGCCCACCGGGTGGACACTTGTGCCCTTGAGCAAGGCACTTAACCATTATTGCTTCGTCCTTGATGGGACGTAAAGCTGTAGGTCCCGTGTGATGTGTAATCCAATGTACGTAAAAGAATTCAGTGACAATTATCGCTAAGAGAAGGGGTTTGCCCCGGTGTTTGTGGTCTCCTGTATAAACTCCCACGCGGAGTATTAACCAAGAACCAAGAACTTAAGTGATGCGTTGCAGGCGTCTTGGGGCGAGTGCGATCAAGGACCGTATACATGTACTTCTACGTCGATAATTGACAGTGCGTCCAATTGGATATCTCGTCAATTTGCTTGGCGTGCACGGTGTGGACCAGTGTAGACTAAACACATTTACAAAGTGTACGTGTAGGTGCAGAACAAAACAAATTTACGGTGAGATATTTACAGTGAAGTCTGGACTTTGTTTTAGAAAGCCACGGTGAGCAATCCAGTCCGATATGCATCAAGACTATGGGTGCAGCACCGGGGATGGAGTTCCAAAGCGGGGTTGTTCTGGGCATCCATGAATACCTGAATGCATCTATCTGGGTTTGGTAGGTATAGTTACCCATAGTTCGACTAATTCTGATCAACGAGACGCTAGTCGACGATGGTTGTACTGGTCTTGTCGACAATGTAGCACTGGTTGCGTCACGATGTATATGGTTAATATCAATAACAATACAAAAAAAAAAAAACATAGTGCAGAGGATACCAACTATCAACAACAATGGCGGAAAACAAAACTGTGTGAGTGTTTTCATTGCATACCTTTTCCATGCTTATCTACGATTCTTTCACTTTGTCACCATTATATTGTTGATGTACCCTAACGTGGCGCACTTTGATTTTTCGACTGTAGCGCCTAGCTAGAGCAAAAGTTTTAACTGAAATTTCACAGAAAGTGACATTTCATCAAGTTCTAAACACTCCCGTTCATAAATCGCGAGTTTATTTACCCGTTAAACAGTTAGAAGAAAAAAATATTTTGGCGTGATTTTCCGATTTTATTTTCAAGTGCAAAGTGAACCCTTTCAAAATGCCCCGAAAAATAAGAACATAATTTTCTGACAAACATCTGGTTGGGTATGTAAGTAGAGATAATAATGATTTATCAAAATTATTTTATCAAGTTAACAGAAATTCTGAAATGTTAATTTGGAATTTTCTGAGATTTATTTAAGTGCGCCACGTTAGGGAACACTCCGCATTTTTTTTTTTTTTTTTTGGGGGGGGAGGGGGAAAGGTCTCAGGTATTTTTATTTTTTTTAAAGGGGAAGGGAATTAAGTATGGAGTAATCTAGAGTGTGATATTTTCATATTTTAATAGTAAAACTGAAAGGTATGTGTAGCTGGTGGATGGAGAGGAAGATTTGATTCCAGAAAATGTTAGACAAAAAGGTTTCTGCATAGTATACCTTAGGAAGAAAAAGGTGTCGACGGAAACGCCCGCGTTGATGATTACCGAGAATAAGAATGACTTGGACAGCGTGGTGCTCACATAACGGAAGTCATCTGAGAGGGAGAACAGAAATACGCAGGAACAGATCAGGATTTCAAGGAATTCTCAGCTGCGAAATGCAATACACATTATGCTTTTACACCATTTGAAAAGGCTCTTACATGCATGCATACCTATGAAATGATACACCGTGCCCTCTGGAGACATGCACACAATAGGGAACACAATAGGTCTCAGTAAGTTTTTCACGAAATCGATATGTGGATTTTACTCAAATACTAGGAATTTTTAAGGTATGTTGATCCGTCGCAAATGGAAGAGTTTTAGAAAAGGAACATTAAGTTCAAATTTCAGCCAAGGAAATTAATTCTGGTTTAAATAAGAGTACATGTATTTTGAAACTGTACTTTCAAACTCAAAAACTTTAGTACACGAGAGCAAAGAAATGTCTCCACAAGGATACAAATTTCAGTATGTGTGTTCCCCCAATATGTTCCCCAACCCTTGCCCTAACCCTATCCTTAATCCTAAGTATTTCGAGAATCATCGGTTTGGAGAACATAGGTATTGGGAACATCGGATAGACCCCGTCTTACAAAATGTCATAGGTACAATCTTTCTAAAAAAAACAAACCATCTGGATAATGAGACAAACAAATGTGAAAGATATGTCATAATATCCAACGTATCCATTTTCTTCCCATTTTTTTTTGTTCCTGGCGGTGGGTGGACAACATGAGTAATTTTCCTGATTTTCCTTAATCAAGCACTTTTGTCATTTAAGGTAATACAAGCGGACTCACCCCAATAACCGATCATGAAATAGACGGTGTGGCCCAGAATGATCCACCACATGCTGATGACGCGAATGCCGTTCAGAACGCCTAGATTTCCAGCCGTCTGTTCCGTGTTCAAAATCTTCGAGCCGTTGTGGATGGACGAAAACCCCATCATGATATTGTCCAGAAGACCTGTACAGAAGTACAAGCGGTAGCGGTTGTTAATGAAGGGGGCAAGGGCGGATCCAGGGGGGGGGGGGCCAAAGGGGGCCATGCCCCCCCCCCCCAAAAAAAAAACGAAACCAATTTTTTTTTTTTATGTGACATCGCAATAAAGCCAGGCAATGAGTACACCACCATCTTTTCCTCAAAAAAAAACATTAATTAAAGTGGTCAGAAATTGCCTCAGATCGCACCACAGAGCATCTAGAATCCAAAAAAGTTTTCGGGGCCCTTAAGCGGGCCCCGAACCCCACGCCGTAATTTTTTTGACCCACTTTTTGGGGGGACCAAAAATTTTTTTGGCCCCCCCAAAATTGTGTTCTGGATCCGCCCTTGGTTAATGAAGGGGGCAAGGGCGGATCCAGGGGGGGGGGGCCAAAGGGGGCCATGCCCCCCCCAAAAAAAAACGAAACCAATTTTTTTTTTTTAATGTGACATCGCAATAAAGGCAGGCAATGAGTACACCACCATCTTTTCCTCAAAAAAACATTGGTTAAAGTGGTCAGAAATTGCCTCAGATCGCACCACAGAGCATCTAGAATCCAAAAAAAAATTTTGACCCACTTTTTAGGGGTACCAAAATTTTTGTTGGCCCCCCCAAAAAAATTGTGTTCTGGATCCGCCCTTGGAAGGGGGCCGTATCATAAGTCCGACACCTCACAGGTCCGACGCCTCATAAGTTCGAAATTTCGGACTAATGAGGCGTCGGCCTTCTGAGGCATAACACTGATTTATTCCGCCTCATATGTCCGACGCCCAAGTCCGACAACGGAAAAAATGAGGCGTTTAATTTGTCAGACTTACGAGGCGTCGGAGCTTCGAGCTGAGGCGTCGAGGCGTCGGACCTATGAGGCGTCGGACTTATGGGCCTTTATTTGGTTAGGGGATGCGATTTTGTCGGACTTATGAGGCGTCGGACCTATCAGGCGTCGGACTTATGAGCGGACCCAAATGAAGGCTATAGCGGTGAATGTTTCCCTACACCATGCCTAGTATACCTACCACATGCCTATTCTAGGCCTTATTTTAGGTTTTAATTGTGGGTTTGTGTGACTCTAATTTCGAAAAAACAAAATGCAAAATGTCGATTAGAAGTTTGGGAGTTCATTATACTTTAGACCCTCCTACCAAATGTCTTCATCTTGTGCTTCGCTGCTCTGTCATTATCCTGTGATCGAATTTCTTCGGAGCGAGTGATGGTCTCCTTTGAGTCCGCAACATCGCCCTCAACGTCGACGAACCCGTTGTTGTGGTGGGCTGCATGGCCATTAGCTTCCAAGTCTTTCTTCACAACGACACTGGCCGTCCTGTTGCTGCCGTACTGGAGTTCTATCTCGGCCTGAAATTGCAACGGAAGAGGCAGAATGTTTCATCGTCTGTTATTATAATCATGGGCGATGCCAGGATATTTTTTAGAGGCGGGGGGGGGGGGGTGGGCAAAACAAATTTTTCAAAACATTCCTGTCTTTCTCAACATATTTTCGATTGACAATTAGCCCCCCCCCCACCCGAAAAATGACTTCACGCCTCTTTTTCTTTTCTTTTCTTTTTCTCTTTTTTTTCTTCCCTTCTTTTTTTTTTGGGGGGGGAGGGGGAAGCGCCCCTTCCCCCTCCCCTTGCGACGCCCATGATTATAATGCTACAGTCTTAGAGGGCCAACTATGATGTTTAACCAAAGCTCGAGATAGGCTACTGGCCATGGGAAACATTACACGTACAAATTGAGTCCAATATGCAAGTGAAGGGTGAATCGATGGATAATTGTAATCTTCAAGTGATACGATTTTTTTCTTCTGCAAATTCTGAGCGGGACGGGGGGACGCGGAGGGGGGCACAGGCCTAGACTTTGGGACGGGGGTGACCAGAACCCCGTCCTCTCTACAGTTCTTCTTCATGCGTAGAATGTACAAAGAGTATTGATATTATAAAGCACGTTTACATAGTTAGCATGTGTTTAAATGAATTTAAGTGCCAGTTATTATGGCTATTGCTGCATTTTAGAATGCACCAATTTATTGTCCTGATTCAGGGGCCGCGTTTGTTGTAGGAATGAAGTGTATAAAACCAGCCGGTGTTAATCAGTGGTTTAACACCTACCACGTGATAGGTGTTCTACTAATAGCAATGGAAAACTGTCTCCGGTATAATAACAGGACACAAGAGATTTAAAGAGAATTCTGCGGTACCGGTATACTAAAACAAAAGCTATACACTCGAAATATACGCGCAGTGAAACATTATACGTGGTTCAGAGAATGCTGGTTGGTGACAACTAGCACTTCCTCGTTTCGGTGTAACAAGTTGCTGTGGTCAAAACAGACGCATTCAGGCGAGGTGTTTGTGTTGGCATGAACTTCCGGTCCGCACTTGCATTGCCACGATTAGAAAAGCAGACGTTTTTGTCGACAGCGTTTCAATGTAGCCCAGGTTGGACTCCGTTGTGTCAGTCGTAATGCGATAAAGACGTCGTCCAACCTGGGCTCAGGGTGACCGTAAGGTCATGGCAACATTCTGCTAAATGCGCTTCCAAAATCTGCCAAATTCCCCAGATTTCCTCAAAATACACTAAAAACCCCTTAAAATCACATGCAGATTTGTAGTACTGCCTTAATTAAGGTTCAAAATACATTATTAATGATATATAGTCACATCAAGATGTTATGAAATTATCAGACAAAACGCGGTTGCGGCGTGAAGTCCGGTTCCCAGTGAACCTCAGCGCCTAGACCAGCCAACCTGTCCCATTATGCAAGGGTTTGTTTGAAAAGATTGCAGATTTTTTAAACAAATGTACCATTTTTTCCTTCAAATTTGCTAAGGTTTTCTATAAATAACCATTTTTGCAGACTTCTGCCAGAAATCTGCCAAAAAAATATCCATTCTGTCAAATTTTCTGTCAAACTAGTTTATTTTTAACAAAAAAGAAAATCTGTAAAAGTTAGCCTCAGTAAAATCTGCTAAAACGGTCACCCTGCCTAGGCTAGTTTAAATGTACGTTTTTGGGATTCATGGCTTGCTCCCTACATTCAAAGTCCCAAGGACAAAGGAGGGACAGGGAACCAGTCTGTGTTATATGCCGATGGGAAATGTGGGCACTTCCCCTTTCATTTTGCCATCGCTGAAAGTTGATCTTTTCGTTTGCTTTTCCTTTCCATGTGGTTAAAAAGGAAATGCGAAGAAGCATTTTTAAAGGCTTGTTGGGAACACTGATCTCTATATAAAGACTGGATAGCGGATAAAGAGCCACACAATCATATGTCTATGCACACAATGAATGAATTCAGGCGCGGATCCCCCCGATCAACCTCCCCCCCCCCCCCCCCCAGCTCTATCAAAAAAAAAAAATCCATACAAATTCCTAAAAAATAAGTCGAACTCCCCCCCCCTCCCCCCGCTGTGACACCCAAAAAAAGTTATAGTGGTATAATGTTTGCCTGTTCAAAATACGGTACACCATTCAGTAATCTAGTGTTAATAATCATCGAATTTGAACAGCGCCCCCTATTGAAATATGGTACCAGCCCAGGAACATAGGTATTGGGGAACATCGGGAAGACCCAGTTTTGGAGCATGCAAGGTCCGACACAAATCTCGCTAAGCCGCGGTTTTCGCGATTGGTGTTTTTTTTTTCGGCAACAGGACTGGCCAATCGTTTTGGTGTATATATGCATACGTACGGATAGCCTGTATATAGCTGCGTCGCGTGAGTAGTATGCAGTAATGGACGGGAATACTGAGCGTTAAGTTATGGTGTAAAATCGAGGACAAATGACGTGCAACATCATCCATGAATCGAGGTCAGAAACCGAATCGAGGACTCCTTGGTTAGAAAACGTGTACAAAAGCAAAGAGAGCTGTTGTGAAAAAGTTAGAGTACAAACAAAGTAAAAGGGAAGAGGAACAAAAGAAAATCCTCGATTTACACCATAAACAAACGTGCTAGTGCGTGCAAGTGCAGACAACAAAATTAACTGCAACTCTTTTTCATTATTAAGCCATGTATTCTTCCTCTAAGGCGTATTTCAGTGAAAATGATGTCAAGTTACTTGCTTTGTGGAAACTTTTAAAAACAAATCGAACTTCAAACCCTAAAGACATTTAAAGAATATATTTTAAGATGTATCAATTTATTGTCCTGCTTCAGGGGTCACGTTTGTTGCAGAAATCAAGGGTTTAAATACAGCCGGTGTTTTATCAGCGGTTTAAAACCAACCACGTGATGGGCGGATGAATTGCCTTAGGTATTTATGAATCCAGGATAATAACAGGATGCGAGAGATTAAAAGTGAGAATTCAGTGGTACAGAAACAAAAACTATTCACTCGAAATATAGACACAGTGAAACCTTCGTGGTTTTGAGAATGCTGGTTGGGTGACAGCACTTCTCTGAATCAGTGTAACAAACTTTTGCGGTGGTATGACCAGATAGGTTTAAGCGCAGTCATGTGTTTGTGCTGGTATGAACTTCCGCACTTGCATTGTCACGATGTTTATAAAACAAGCAGACGTTTTGGTCGACGGCACTTTAATGTACGACTGGTGAAACAAGAACAGGCCTACAGGTCTGTACGTAAAACGCTTCATTCATATCAAGCGCCGAAATCATGCCTGAATTTGATTTGAATTTGACCATGGTTCAAAATCTCACCATGGCCTCCACCATTGAAGCACCTTCTGAACTCCACTCATACGGCGTCTTGGTGTTTGTAGCTTGCGTGTGGATCATCGTAGCTGTATTGGGTATTACGGGTAACACTATGGTGATCCTAGCGGCGATTCTTAGCAAGCATGTCCGGACGACGACTAATGTTCTAGTTGTCAACTTGAGTGTTGCTGATCTGTGGACTTGCTTGTCCCTGCCTTGGTCAAGCGTGGCTTTGCTGAGTAATGGTACCTGGCCTCTTACTAGCAGGATCCCGTGCCAAATAGCGGCGTTCATGTGGCACACCGGTCTGGGAGCCAGCCTGTACAACTTGGCTTTCATTGCGTTGAATCGTCTTGTCAAGATAACTTGCCCATTGGCCACCTATAATTGCATCTTCTCACCTCGCAAGATGGTCTTCATTGTAGCTCTCCCATGGCTCATCCCAATCTTCGTTGTCACCTTTCCACTTACTATCGGTGTAGGTCGCTTAGGTCTTGATCTCAGAGACGATACCTGCACAGATGATGACTTGCATCCTCGCGCTGATGACTACAACCTGGCCCAAACCATCGGATTCTACCCCATCCCTATGACCACTGTCATCGTTAGCTATGTCATCATCTATGTCCATGTCAGGCGACACTTTACAAAACAACTCTCTCAGACTAAGAGCAAAGACACAGCTTCAGATGCCGTAGACCCCAGTGATGGTATGGCATCCATGTCAATGAGTACTTCAGCTGAGGTTATTGAGGAGCGCGACGAACATCAAGGTGAGGAAAGAATGCGCAGAATCAGCCATCAGCAGCTCAAGATAACTAAGAATCTCTTCGGGGTCTTCTGCGCGTTCACGCTCTGCATCTCGCCGTACTTCATCTCGCTGTTCTTTGCTAACAGTGACGTGTTTGCTCTCTTCGGCGCTACCATCTTGGTCTTCAACAGTTGTGTTAATCCTATCATCTACGGAGCGAAACACCCGCAGTTCAAGAAGGTACTCCGGCCGATGCTGCTGTGTAGGTGGAAGAAAATACCACAGCCGTCTAAGACGCTGAAAGCGATCCTCTCAATGCGCCAGAGAGAAAACAAATCTTGAACACATTTTGCTTGCTTGGTTAACACCACGCATGGGACAGTAATTTTGACGCGGCTAAGTAGACGTAGTTGCATGCTAAGCAGCTCTGTGTACCAAGGAGCTTGGCTTGTGATATATAGCTGTTAATGCTTTGTTTTGTGTATGCGTGTTCTTTGTAAATGTTTCTGTGTCTGCTTCTTGTTGACCCCTGTGTAAATCAATTATCGACAGTGCATCCTTAATCTTATCCATATTATGCGGATACATGTATTACTGAATTAATCTGCTTATAAATACGTTAACATATAACCTTGTATTTTACCTTTCTCCTAATGTTTGCCATAACTGAAATTGTTATCTATATAATAATTTTGATATATCATGATTTGCTGGAGTATTAATGGAATTGTAGTTAATATTGTACAAAATATATCCTATCAAATTTAATGCTGTTGTGACACACCGATGCATTTTTCTTGAAAAAAGATATACGACTTTCATTTAATGAAAAACAAACACCTTTCTGTATTTAAGGAGTCTATAAGATAAGCATATATTTCTTGTCAAACGAATGGAAGCAAATTCTAACCCAAGCAATCATTGAACCCCGATGAACATGTAACATTTTGATGACCAAGATAAGGATGTGTTATGGGTGTTTTGTAAGTCTTTTTGATTTTGTGATGTTGACATTACCATTTAATTTTGTCGGTTTCAAATTGATAATTCGCTATACTCAAGCGGCAGAAAAGGGTAAGGAACGTTTAATGGGAGGTACCCATGGGCGTCGCGAGGGGGGGGGGCAAGGTGGGGCGCTGTCCCCCCCCCCCCCCGGAAAAGCAAAAAAAAAATAAAAAAGGACAAAAAAGGGGGGAAAGAAAGAAAAAGAGGCGCGAAGTCATATTGCTGTTAATTTAGTGGGTGGGTTGGGGCAATGTCCCTGCCCACCCTCGAAAAGTGATAAATCGAGAATATGCTGGAAAAGTGCAGGGATTTTTTTTTTGGGGGGGGGGATGTGCTTTGCCCCCTCTAGAAAAAATCCTGGCGACGCCATGACTCATATGAAGCCATAGTATGAGGTGAACAAATTGTTGGACATTGAAAAATATTTTATTCTTCACCCATATGAATATTCCTAATATTGCATGCCAGTTTGCTTTCCAGTCTTGTCAAAAAGTTCCCCATTTGGACTTGTAACATAAAGAGTATACAAGAGACCGATCATACTTTGGCAATGTTTATTTATTAATCTCAACGAACAATAGATGCCACTACATGTACATGTGTATTTTCACTATAAATCCAATATTCTTACTCTTTTTATCTGCCCCCAGTTGGCTATTCATTATTACAAAGTGGCGTTTTCGTGCATCTCATAGCAAGGTCACATGTTATATAGCACACACACAACTTTTTTGAAGACAAACAAGTAGGGGAAAAAACCGCGTCGCCGCGCCACTTTCGGGGCAATCTCCATACCAGAAACCGGAGACTTTTTGGGGGCCAAACCGCATCTGTACCGAGAAAAAAAAATACACTGAGTTCGAAGAAGGACGTACGGATATATTCATCAGTTGGTATCGCTTCCGATTCTCCTTTTGCAATGTTTCATATTTCGAATCATTCTCTTGTGTACAACTACATGTACTAAAATAATCAGCACTTTTGGGACATGATTCTTACTCAGCCAAATAGTACGTGACGTCCAGGTATCATTGTTTATGTGATACATACGGGTAATCCAACTGTAGATTCTCATGACACACACCTCTAATCACCTTTATAATGATCGTGTTCAAAGGCAATAGCATTTCAGGCGGAATATTGTTACAGGATCTTTTGTTTCACTTCGTGCAAGGTTCTTCTCATTAAAGAGGTTCCTTTCTAGGTATACTTTGGTTAAAAAAACCGTTCCTGCGTGCGTTTCCGTCCATGCATGCATCTGACCTAGTCATTTCGTATATTGTAACGTTGTGTGATAACGTTGTGGCAACGCGCACGCGAGTCGACATTGGTACGTTGCCGCAACGTCATTTTCCTCACGTTGCAGCAACGAAAACCTGACTTTCTGGCAACGTTGTCACAACGTGAATGTGTTAGTTGGGTAATTTGTGGTTTTAAATTCCCACACATACTTGCTTTTGTCATTGTTTAGTCTCAGTTCAAGACTGGATTTTGTCTGTATTCATCCTATACACCCAGCCAGTAACAAACGGGGTTGCATCAACACGATAAGTCTCAATTTGTTGATAGAGACCTCCAAGCCCACGCCTACTTTACCGCGTTTTTTACAGGAATGGCCGCAAATAGGGGATACAAATTCAAATGCAGTCTTTGACGAAGACTATAGTTATCGTTATTCAGATGCCAATGTGGGAATGTCCCTTTGTGTGTTGCTTGTCTTTGAAGTTGATCTTTTCCGTTGGATTTCCTCTCCACGTGGTTAGTAAGAGAATAATAGTGTAGTTGGCCAGGTTTAAAACCGAGCACGGGACTGTTCGCCGATAATGGCCCGAGCCAAATACCTTTTTGGTCAAAAAATTGACGAAATTCCGACCATCTTTTGTTCAAGAATAATTTCGGTAAAAAATGGTACTCATGTTCAGGGGCTATTTCTGCAGACGGAGGGTGTGATTGCCGTTCCCATCCAAACTTAACCCCAACATAACACCTTCAAAGAAACAACTTTGAGGATTTTCGAAACATGAAAGTCGTTTAAATTCTCGCAGGCATATATGGTATAAATACAACAGAAATATCCAACTCTGTTTTGTAAATATCTGTATCATCATAAACGTTTCGAATGGTATCATTAAAAGTGTCGCATGTACATATTATTCTTACCTAATGCCTACTTTTACCATGCTTGTACCAACAGAACAAGTACAAGGCAACATAAGTTTGGCAACACGTCTAGTTGTAACCAAAAAAAAACAAATGGCGCCCCCTAATTTTAAGGAAGTTCTGCATGTAACGCTTCCCAGATCTAGGATGTAAAAACCCAATTAATAAGCTTTCTTTTAGTACAAGAATCATTCAAATCACTCATGTACTTTCCAGTTATGGAATTTTGAACACAAACATACTTTTAAACGAATTTAACTAAAAACGTTGTGTGAAGTTATTTGCTTTATGGAAACTGTATTTTGTTTTGTTTTCGAAATTAAAAACCTACAAACAGAATGCATTTTAGAATGCAGCAATTTATTGTCCTGGTTCAGGGGCCGCGTTTGTTGCAGGAATTAAGTGTTCAAATACAGTCAGTGTTTATCAGCGGTTTAAAGCCAACCACGTGATGGGCGCTCGACCAATAGGAATGGGTAAACTGTCTCGGGTTACTGTCGGGTATTTGTGAATTCAGGATAATTACAGGACACAAAAGATTAAAATCCAGAATTCCGCTGTAATAAAAATATCTATTTCCTCGAAATATACATACGGAGAAACCTACGTGATTCTGAGAATGCTTGTTGGATTACAGCACTTCCTCGAATCAGTGTAACAAACTTTCGCGGTGGTCAGACCAGACAGATTCAGGCGATAACGGAAGTCTGTGTTGGTGTTGGCATGAACCTCCGCACTTGCGTTGCCTGCCATGATATATACAAGCAGACGTTTTGTGTCCACGGCATTTAATGTACGACTTTTGAAACAGTAAGATATGATAGGCCTACAGGTCTGAACGTTACGCTTCATTCATATCAAACGCCGAAATCATGCCTGCATTTGATTTGAATTTGACCATGGTTCAGAATCTCACCATGGCCTCCACCATTGAAGCACCTTCTGAACTTCACTCATACGGCGTTTTGGTGTTTGTAGCTTGCGTGTGGATCATCGTAGCTGTGTTGGGTATAACAGGCAACACTATGGTGATCCTTACGGCGATTCTTAGCGAGCATATCCGGACGACGACTAATGTTCTAGTTGTCAACTTGAGTGTTGCTGATCTGTGGACTTGCTTGTCCCTGCCTTGGTCAAGCGTGGCTTTGCTGAGTAATGGTACCTGGCCTCTAGCTAGCAGGATCCCATGCCAAATAGCGGCGTTCATGTGGCACACCGGTCTGGGAGCCAGCCTGTACAACATGGCTTTAATTGCGTTGAATCGTCTTGTCAAGATAACTCGCCCGTTGGCCACCTACAATTGCATCTTTTCACCTCGCAAGATGGTCTTCATGGTAGCTCTCTCATGGCTCGTCCCAATCTTCGTCATTATCTTTCCACTTACTATCGGTGTTGGTGGTTTAGGTCTTGATCTCAGAGACAAAACCTGTACAGATGATGACTCACATCCTCGTGGTGATGAATACGACCTGGCCCAAACCATCGGATTCTACCCCATCCCCGTGACTACTGTCATCATCAGCTATGCCATCATCTATGTCCATGTCAGGCGACACTTTAGCAAACGAAACTTTAAGAAAAAGGACCCAGCTAGAGATGCCGTAGGTCTCAGTGCTGGTATGGCATCCATGTCAATGAGTACTTCAGCTGAGGCTATGGAGAAGCGCGAATACCATCAAGGTGAGGAAAGAAAGCGCAGAATCAGCCGTCAGCAGCTCACAATAACCAAAAATCTCTTCTGCGTCTTTTGTGCGTTCACGCTTTGCATCTCGCCCTACTTCATCTCGCTGTTCTTTGCTATTAACAGAGATGTGTTCGCACTTTACGGCGCTACCATCTTGATCTTCAACAGCTGTGTTAATCCTATCATCTACGGAGCCAAACACCCGCAGTTCAAGAAGGTACTCCGGCCGATGTTGCTGTGTAGGTGGCAGAAAATACCACAGCCTTCTCACACGCTGAAGGCGATCCTCTCAATGCGCCAGAGAGAGAACAAAACTTGAAAACAATTTTCTTGAATGGTCAACACTAAATTTGACGCTGCTAAGTAGACGTAGTTGCATGCTAAGCAGCTCTGTGTACCAAGGAGCTTGGCCTGTGATATATAACAATTAATGCTTAGCACTTTTGTTTTGTGTGTGTTCTTTGTAAACGTTTCTCTGTCTGCCTTTTGTTGACCCCTGTATAAATCAATTATCGACAGAACATCCTTAATCTTATATTATTATGCGGCTATATTACTGAATTAATCTGCTTGTAAATACGTTAACATGTAACTTTGTATTTTACCGTTCTTCTCATGTTTGCAATAACTAAAATTGTTATCTGTATAATTATTTTGATATGTCGTGAATTTCTTAATTCCTGCTGGAGTATTGAAGGCATTGTAAACAATATAGTGCCAAAAATGTCCTATCAAAATTGATGCTGTTGTGACACACTAACAATGGTCTTCTTGTACTTTTCAAGTTACGGAATTTTGAACTCAAACACCGTTTTAAAGTTCTGTCCACGGATCACAAAAAAGCTACGTGTTGTTTCAGCAAAACGAAAACAATTCACAAAGGGATGCGTGTGAATTATTTTCGTTTTGTTGAAAGAACACTTACCTTTTTTGTGATCACAAAAAAAACCAAGTGTTCATTCAGCAAAACGAAAACAATTCACATAGGGATGCATGTGAATTGCTTTCCTTTTCACCTGAAAGAACACTTTTAAAACAAAAAGGTTCTTTTTACCTGAAGGAACCTTTTTTCCGGAGATCCGTGGACAGAAGTTCAAAACGGTGTTTGTGTTTAAAATTCCGATACTTGAAAAGTTCACGAGTGATTTGAAAGATTCGTGTACTAAAAGAAAGCTTATTAATTGGGTATTCATATCCGAGATTTTGAAAGTGCTAAATGTAAAACTTCATTTAGAAAAAAAAACCGGTCCTGACATTTGGGTTTCCCTTTTTTTGTTTACTCACGCTGTAATGCGCCTTTAGTTCGATAAGAAGAAAAAACACCATTCTGTAGTTAACCAGTCAATTATAGATCAGCATATATTTCTTGTCAAACGAAGGGAAGCGAATTCTAACCCAAGTAATTGAGCAGCGATGAACATGTAACATTTTAATGACGAAAATAATTACGATGTCTTGTGGATGTTTTATTATGTACGCTTTAGTTTATCATGATGTTGATATTACCAATTTGAAGGTTTGGAATATTATACTTTGCCAGTATAGCAGAGAGGTTGTCGACCATTTTACCCTGTATTTCATTTCCTATTATTTGTTTGTTGATTGTTACAAGGTTCAAAACTTGGATATCCGCTACAATTCACTACCGCAAACAACACATCCAAGGGTCAACATGCGTGGCTTTCGTTGATCCAACAATTTAGTCTCATTTTACCAACTACATGTAAACGAAATAATAGCACTGATTAATTATTACAGAGATGTATCCTGTTGATTGTCTAAGCCTCATAAGAGTACCCACTTTACATACATTCAACATATCTATTTTAGCATAGGCCAGGGCGTGAAGTCCACTGTACGAATTTTTTACATATCTGTGAGCGCCTAGAAAAAAAATGACTTTAGAGCAGTCAACCATAAATATTAGCAATACTACCGCTGTCTTTTTGCAAAAATAATCTATAGAGTCTGAAGGTACAGTGAATACTCTACATACACGAGGACGTCTCTATAGTCCGAAGTACCATAGGTCCGAAGTCCCATTGGTCCGACGGCCCATTGCTCTATACGTTCCATTGGTATAAACGTCCCACTGGTCCGACGTCTCATTGGTCCGACGTCGCATTGGCCCGAAGTACCATTGGTCCGAAGTCCCATTGGTCCGAAGTCCCATTGGTTCGACGCCCCATAGGATTAGGGTTAGGGTCCCTAACCCTAATCTTATGGGGCGCCAGGGTTAGGGTTAGGGTCAGTCAACCTGAACAAGTGGAACAACACAGTATTATGTTTCGTCGGACCAATGGGACTTCGGACCAATGGGACTTCGAACCAATGGGACTTCGGACTATCGAGACGTAACCATATACACATTGGTCTTTACACCATCTCATTTGGACAATCCCAGTCCGGATCCGGAGCTATACAGCTAATTAAATGAAAGGGCTTGAATTCCAAGCTGGGCAACTTTTAGGATTATCTGGTATCATGAAAGACATTCACACACCAAGATGGTGCTGTGAATTCCACATATTTTTGACAGTCTTGACGAGCTTTGCCGGAAATTTTAAACCAAAGGTCCAAATCACACGTACATTACAAAAATCCTGTCAAGGGTAAAGAAGCACTCCATCATTTCATGGTTAATTCTTTACACACACAAAAGAAACGTTTAATAGTTTAGTCATAAAAAAAGTTGTTTGACTGCGATTTTTTTTGAGATACGCCGTACATGTGCACAAATTTGGCACCTCTTCCCCAAAAGATAGTTCCGGCAGGGCAGAAGCTACCCAATGGTTCCACCCTTGGCTTGGCTCTTGGTACCAATTACAGTAGTTAATTGCCTTATCTGATGGAGGCCTAATACTATGGATAGTCAAAGCTGCATTCGATAGTTGTCTTTCATTTGATTCTTCAGATTGATCATTCAATTCGGCAAATGTTTCATTCCATTCGGCACTTTCATCATGTTTTGCTTCGAATTCCTCATTCTTTTCTACGAATTCCAATTTCGTTCTGCAAATTCACCAGTCTATTCGGCAATTTTATCATTCCATTCGTCAATTGTATCGCGTCATTCTGTGAAGTCATAATTGCATTCAGGAAATACGACTTTTTTTATTTGTCGATTTTATCATTTAATTCGGCAAATTCATCACTCAATTTGGCAATTTCCTCGTAATTTCTTTGGCGATTCATCCTGAAGGATTCGTTGAATGAAATAGAGAATGAAGTGGTGAATATTTCGAATGAACATGATGATTTCACGGAATGCAATGATGATTTCGCCCAATGAATAATTGCTTTTGCCGAATGAAACGGCAAATTCACAGAACGGAGTGATTAAATTGCCAAATGAGATGATGATTTCGCCGAAAGGAGCGATGATGAATTTGCTGAATGGAATGATGCGTTAGCCCAATGGAATTGATGTTTTTGCCGAATGGAATGATGGGTTTGCCGAACGCAATGTTGTGTTTGCCGAACGGAATGACATTAATCTGACGAATGGAGTGACATATACTTTTGAAGGCAGCTTTGGAGTTTCCACACAATTCGGTTTCAATTAAGTGGCAGAAAAGGTGGTAAGGAAGTTTAGGAACCCCCCCCCCCCATTGGTCAAAATGTGGGGGGATGTATCCTCCCCTACCCTGCGAAGTTACGCCCATGCCCCTACAGGGCACCCAGAGCCCTCCCCCTTCGGCTTTTTGATGGTCCACTGCCTCCCTCCCCCAATGTTGACAAGAAATCTCCACTCATATCCCGGCAACCACCCATTACAAGCTTATATTTACGCCTAGAAATCAGGCTTAGTCTGTGTTCATTCATCGATTGATTCGATGAAATTTTAAAACCATAACCTAATTTTGTCAAAAAAAAAAAATACACGGCGGTTCAAAGAAACAAGGATGTGCATCCGATAGTGACTACCACAATGGTTTTCACCTGTGATGGGCTCTTGGTGTCAACAGACCTATCTCATGCGACGCCATCTTAAAAATCAAAGCGAGGCATTTCATGCAAACAAAAATGGCGGCGTACGGTGAACTATTAATTCTCACACACAAAATCCAGCAGATTGACAATCTAATAAACGAATGGGTAGCTCAGATTCCCCTCAAAACATAATCCACATTCTAGGTATAGGTCTCGCCGCATTCGGTTTTGAAGAAGGATCTTATAAATATAAAGCCCAAAGCAAGTAGCCAAACTGAAGGCTCCGTGTAAGTTTACGCGTAGCACCGACGTCACGTCAGAGAAAAGTCAAGACTTTATCATTTTTTTTTTACGTTTCCATCCACGGTGTTTCCTGAGCTGAAACTGTACCTCTTTAGAGTAGGTGTTTAATGGAGACCCTAAACGTGGCGCACTTCGACGTTTCCCTCGACTTCCCTTATGCAATATCGCCAAACCTCTGGTTGACAAACTTCAATTTCATTGCAAGTCTTACCTTAATAATGCTTGCTGTTGTTGAACCTTCTTACAAATTTCGGTGTCATAAAATTTAGTCAGAAATTCAAACACGCGGTGGTATCCGGAAATTAAGCACAAAATTGGCCGAATGTTCCCCAAAACGGCGCTCGTAAAATCACACGTTAACACTTAAGAATTTCTTTACAGTTGATTAATCTTGATAAAGCATTATTATCTCCGCTCACACACCCAACTACACATTTGTCAAATAAACATTTACTTATTTGTTGTGCGAATTTTTAAAGGGGTCTTGGAATGGTCTACAAGCGCACGTGTAACTTGCTCTTTCCTTTGGTTTAACTTTCCGCATTGTGTGTCCTACCTTTGAGAGAGAATTCTCGTCCGATTGTCCATCGTCTCTTTCCTCCACACGAGCCGCTACTTTGGCCATACTGGCCTGGATTCTTCGACGAATCATGACGTGGTAAACCGTTCCCATGGTTACCAGCAACAGGAAAAAGCACAAAATACATCTGAAAAGGGAAAAGGAGTAACAATCAGTTTGATATTACAGTTGATTAGCAGTTATTTGCTCGTAATTCGAGAGAACTATTTTAGTTTTGCAAACAAGTCTGGTTTGACAATTATTGGTATAAATTGCAAGCTGCGCGAAAACTACAGGGTGAGTAAAAAAAAGCGAAACCCAAATGTCGGGACTATTGTTTTAGTGAAGTTCTGCGTGTAGCACTTTCAAAATCTAGGATATGAAAGCCAAATTCATAAGCTTTCTTTTAGTACAAGCATCATTCAAATCACTCATGTAATTTTCAAGTTACAACGGAATTGTAGACATAACCACCGTTTTAAAGTTCTGTCCACGGATACCCAAAAAAAAGCGTTCGTTCATTCAGCAAAACGAAAAACATTCACACACATCCCCACGTGATTTGTTTTGGTTTTGCTGAAAGAACACCTCCCTTTTTGTGATCCGTGGACAGAACTTTAAAACGGTGGTTGTGTTTAAAATTCAGTAACTTGTAAAGTACATAAGTGATTTGAATGATTCTTGTACTGAAAGAAAGCTTATGAATTAGGCTCTAATGTCTAAAATTTTAAAAGTGCTACATGCAGAACTTCACTGAAACAATGGTCCCGACATTTGGGTTTCGTGTTTTTGGACGCGCCCTGTATCGTGTGTCCTTGCAGCGTACCTCCGCCCCATTTGTAATGAATGCGAAACACACCTATGAAAACTTGTCTTTTCAAATGGGTGCACTATGCGCGAGACGTCGACACAGACTGGTGGTGGACACCATTTTCAAAAATACATTTTTGCCGATTCAAGGGACAATTAAAATCAATCTGAAGCAGGATATTAATGGAAACGGACACCGTTGCAATCACTCCCGTCGAAATCTCAGCTTAGTAGATAAACATATCTTTTAAGAACATTGTGAATATGCACTTTCATTTTTTTCGACGCAAAGCAATGTTTCTGTTGAAAGCTCTCCCTATCAAAATAATCATTTATACTCTTTGACTTGCGCCCTCTTGAGGCATGATCTTCAGTTTGCAACTCGGATAAAAATTCTCATTCACGGTTATGTAACAGACTGCAAGCTAAACATAATGCAGTCAAGTTGGGGCAGTATTTGCACACACAAATAAAAACTTACACTGTGACAATCGCCCACGGTTCCCATGGGTATGGCCCTACGCAGGAGATACCTATGTACGGTCCAATAACTAAGAACAAGAAATGAAGAGAAAAATGTCAATTACTGATCATGACGAAGAGGACCGTGCATCATAAAAACGTTTGTACTGTTACATTTATACACCATGCGCTGATACCACTTAGCATTGACGATCACTATTATTGTGAACAAATGTGGATCCCACAATGTTTGTAATTGCGATGTTCCACTGACATAACATTCATATTGAAGGCTTGTTACTCAGGTACACAGAAATATATGCTTACATGGAACCGGTTGAAAGAGATGTTGGAGATCATCCACGGAGCAGTTAGCGGGAAAGCATAGACCAATGACAGCGTAAAAGTCGAGCTGAGGAATAAAAGACGAACCTCGTTAGAAACAATGCGGGTGGTTCACAATGCAGTGCGCCACCAAGAGTTTTCCAGGTAGAGTCCATTTTTTCCCAGGTTTACGGTGGACAACACATGGCCCTTTCAATGAGTGTCAGTAGACAACTTGAGCTAATTTGTTTTAGATTGAGGCATGGAGATCTGCAGGATTACAGAAAACATATTAATAAAAAGAAAAGAAAAAGCGCAAACAGATACTCGAATCATACACTTACGAAACCACTGACAGGAAAAACGAACATTTCAAATGTCCCGCACTACGAATTTGTCGCCCATCTCCCACAGTGCACTGTGAATTAACTCTCCGTGGTAAACTCTTGGAGGCGCACTGCATTGTGAATCGCCCGAATTCAAGCAGGAATAGTCCGGCTTTTCGTTAGTGAGTGGGCCTTTCGTCAGGTTTGGCTCAGACTTATATGCATCGTGACTTGGGGTACTCGAGCACAAATTTCCGTCCATTTCATTTTACGGAGGCCGCTCACCCACTGAAAAAAGCCTACTTTCAGCACGGATGGTCTATACGCTCGATCAGTTCACCTTTTCAAGACTGGGTTCAACATGTCACTTGGTGGTTGGTCCGTGCCCGAAAATTAACCAAACATTATGGACTAATTGACCAATTAATGTCATGCCGTGGTAGTAAAATGCACTCTTGCTGGCGGTTTTCGGACTGACAGCGATTTTGTTTCGATCGATGCGCATGCGCGTTTATTTTGCATAATGTCTGTCCCCGAAAATTGACCAAAACAAGCCCCATCAGTTTCCCACAAAATACAACTGCCAAATTTTAATTTTCAAGAAAATGCAAAAAAAATAAATGTAGTACTCAACAAAAATTGTTTGTAACAATTCTAAAAGATGTTTTTAAAAAGTGTGTAAATGGAGGCAAAATGTGTGCAGTAATGTTCTAGTCGATCAACTGATGTTTATCACAAACCGCTATAAATCTAGGTATTCCAATGGTGCTCCATAATGTGCCATCGGCGTCGCATTTTTGGGCGTGGCGTTTTCAAGCTTTGGCAGGGATCATTTTGATAGATTTCATGCAAGACTGTCGTTCAAGACGGCCAGAGCTTATTGTGCACTCGCACTTGTATACGTGTTACCTCATACATGCCTGTTTACGTTACATAATTAGTGTGGACATTCCTTTGTTTTCGAGTACTAGTTAAGAAAAACCTGTCAAAAAAAAATAATTTTACTCACACTGTAAAAACTCTTTGAACCCAGTTTGTTTCTATGATTCCCTTTAGTGTTTCTCTTCATTTTGCCACAAATAAACCTAACCCCTAAATGCCTCTAAACCTGTTTTCCAGAGAGGGGGGACATTGTATGGACGTACGCAACGTCGCTACTAACTCGTTTATGTGGACCTCTTTTCTTTCGGAAGTCCACACAGTGAATGTAAGGCTTGAACATCCTCCCAACCATCCCCCCCCCCCTCACCTTTTTCAAATTACACCCTTTCCGATGCAGAGAAGTGTTATTTTGACCAACAAAAGAGTGTCGTGGTTAACTCTGACCTGGAGTTTGGTCCAGTCGGATCCCCGCTTTTAAAAGTGTTTTTCAACTTATTTCAAAACAAAATCAAAGAAAAAGGAAATATACGTACACCTACAACTGGATAAGCGAGGTTGCAGTACTGCGTCTCGTACGGGGCGTCTGGGTTCCACTCCTTGACCGACTGACACATCTCCACATTACCAAGACTCGCAATGTTGAAGTTGTAAACGAAATCCCGGTTAATTAATTCGCCATCGGAGCTTATCACTGTGAAGAAAAACACATCATGTTTGGATTCCGAAATATTTATTAGTGGTTCAAAAGGTTTCAAGTTTGTTATAACGAATGTGACGTTTATATGCCTCTTCACGCTCAACCCAGGTTGAACTCAGGCCTGGGCGAGCCATTCATTGCCGCCTTTGGTTGAGTTTTGGATTGTCCTGGTCTGGAGAAGTGTTCAAGTTCAAAAATTGCAATTGTGGGCACAGTGAGTAGGCCCCTCACGCCTCTAAAAGGATGAGTTTGCGGTGGCTCCACATCTGAATTTATTTTCTTTCACCAAGTTTGTGTGAAGTTTACTCATTTATGAAAGGAAGGCACAAGGTTCGATGGTGGGCAAAATAATTATTAGTAGTGCCCCCAAGGCCTAATTGTTTTTGTTAAATATATGCCACGCATCTAAAAGGGTAAGTTTGTGATGGCTTAACATTCGAAAAAAGAAAGATTCTCATAAATATATTGTCTGTGTGGAGTTTAAAATCCGTTTATGAAAGGTAGGCACAACTTTTGTATAGGGGCATCATGACTACCCCCCCCCCTATTACTATGGCTGCCACGCCCCTAAAAGGGTATGTTTGCGATGGCTCCACGTCTGATTTTTTTTCTGGCGAATATTGATTTCAGTGGGAATTTGCTTCATTCGTTTATGAAATGGCTTCACATCTAAAACATTTTCTGGCATGAATATGAACATCTCTGCCAAGTTTCACGCTTTTATGCAAAAGTGCACAATTCATCAATATTTTGTCACATATCCGCTGGACTAGTATTAGAAAAAGTCAGTAGTATAATATTTGATAGTTATGTACACAGTGATAAATTGTGAAATTAAATGACAACATTTAGGTAAAGGTTAGGCAGAACGCTTTTGTGCCCTTACCTATGGACAATCATACAACCAAAGTACTGTAATAAGGGACAAACAAAACAATACGTGAGACAGACAGTGAGACAAGACCTAAATAATAATTAATGCCCAAAAATGACATTTCAATTTATGAATATGATTGGAGAAAGTGAGTTTTAAAATTCTTGACAAATTTAAGACAATAGTGAGGGTAACAATTTAAGAGAATCATCTAAACAGTACAAGGTGCCTTGATGAATAACACTATTTTTCGACATTGATGTTCTGTTAAATTGGACAAACAAATTTCCCCTTGCACTACTTCGAGTGTTATGTACATGAATGTTAGATGCTAAGGTAATTCCAAAACCCTTTAACCTATAGTCATGAAATTTCTTGGGTAAGTTTATATTAAGTTGTTCTTTTCATGTGCCAAGATTCATAATTTTTCGTCACTCGATGGCCGAGGTATGGATCATCGGTCCCCCTCCCCCGGCTGTGAGATGGTCAAAATAACCCGGCCCTTTTAGGGTTAAGTAACGCCACATCCTCTTATGATAACAAATTGTATTCCATTTTGCCTCTTTTGTTTGCAGGCCAGTATATTAACAATAGGCTCCGACTCGCCAAAGACGATGCATGCTCCACTAAAAAAGCGATTTGCATAAGCAGAAATGTTTCTAGTAGAGAGATATTGTTGTCCCTTTACCAGGGTCAAAAGCAATGGAGGCAGCCTGCTCTTAGCGCTTTTGAAATTTAATTGATGTTATTATACTGGACCGAAATGTGACTATATTTTGCAAAAGGATCCTTATTTTCGATATGGGCGGCAGGCGTGACTGGTGTTTTGTGTATCGCTCTTTAATGGCACGAACGAATAAAGAATAGTTTCTGAATGAGGCCTTCACCTCTTCGGTAACTATTTCCCGTAAAACTAGCCCGATCATTGAAAACTGGACATTCCTTCTATACGTTAAACTTACACTATCCTACAAATAATGAATGTTTGTGAGTGCAATGGTAAGAATAATTTCATAAGGTGACAGATCAAATGTTCCATTCCACGAGGCGAAGCCGAATGGAATTATTCTTTCCATTGCACGAACGTGAAACATTCATTATTTGTTTTATATAACACCTGAATAAATCCTTGTCATCTGATTGGTTGACTTTTAATAGCCAATTTATTCAGGTTAAAAACTGTTTAAAAGTTTGACAAGTTTATCATATTTATATTAATGTTGCAAACTGTTCAACAGGTTGAGAACAATCATATTCAATTTAGCTCGATTCAAAACAGTGACACCGTGCAATGGAAGTTCTATTCACCGTGCAATATTCACGGTGAATAGAACTTCCATTGCACGGTGTCACTGCTCGAGATAAATTGAATATGATTGTTCTCAACCTGTTGAACAGTTTGCATTTATATAAACCTGATGAACTTGTCGAACTTTTCAACAGTTTTTATCATTTTCTTTTATTTTCTCATACTCACTTTGACCGGTGTATGGAAGACTTATGCTTGCATCTTCAAAGAACTGCAGCGTGTTGTTGAGGCAGTTGGCAGATACATTTCTCCAGGCCTGGATACCGACAAACTGCCGCAGCTCCTTGCCTACTGCCTCCGCCATCTCCTCCAAGTCGATCTGGCCTGGTTCCTGCGGGTCCCACAGTCCAAGGTCCTGCAGCAGTTTCAGGCCATCTTGCCGCAGTCTGGTCATGTCCAAAGCCGGGGTGCTCCCTGCTCCGGTACGGTCGACCACTGAGGCCAGTAAATCACGGACCTTATGGAAGAAACCATTCTGCAAGTCGGCAGATGATGCAAACTGGTCGACACCAAGTTCCGCCATGACATCTGATGGGACGCGGGCCCCATTCGAGACATACTGGGCTTGACGAAACTCCGGCAAGTTGATGAATTCATTCGAGGAACCGAGAACGATTCCCCGGGGCCTGTCCTGTGCTGTGCATGACGCACGACGGACAATAAATACCAGAAACAGTACCAAAACTGCCGAAGTAAAGGCAAATCGGGCCATTGCTCGGCTTAATAAGATGCTTCGCTTATGCCTAGTTGTGATCGTACGCCCAGCAAAGTCTCTTTTAAACTGTGTACAGATTTATGTTGTTACTGTAGATTGTTACGGCTAAATTTATCGGAAAATGTATGGACTTTGTTCTGATTAAATAATATCTACTGGGAGTTGTCTTGTTGATTAATGCCATCGTTACTGTATGGAATAATCTTTAAATTAAACAATTAATTTTTAATCCCCGCTCAAGGCGAGCAAGGCGTCATCAACAAGATCTGCGCAGATGGTGAGGAAATATCAGAGCGAGTATTGCCAATGTGCTCAATGATTCCTTTGGTAAAATTGGGCCCAAAACTTGCTGCCGAATTCCCCAAAAATAACGGCAACAATGTATTCAACTTTAGCATTGGAGGCATTAATGACTATGTGAGCTTTCATCTCCAACCAATTTGTAAGCATTTCGTTTTAAAACAAATTCAGGATCTCGCGACCACTGGTTCTGATAACTGCCCAGCCAGACTGATAACATTTGCTCCTGCCATTGTTAACCAGCTTACGTATTTGATTTATTTCTCCATTGCAACAGGCAAACCCCCCAAAAGTGGAAGAAGGCCATAGTGACACCTTTTCACTAAGGAGGTGACGTAGGTGAACTAGTATTAACAAGATAAGTAAAGGCAAGGGGGACGAACCTGTGTTAACAGGAACGGAGGGTCAATCTCTCTTTCGTTAGCGATTTGCCAGACTCTTTGGGGGATTGCCACACCTCCTCCACAGCGAGTCTGTTACCTTCCCAGCATTGAATAATGCTGGCATCCATTTAACACCTGGGTTGAGAGGAGTAATTGAGGTAAAGCGCCTTACTCAAGGGCACAACACGCATGGCCACGGCGGGACTCGAACCCACAACCTGATCACGATCATGAATCCTGTGCTCCACCGCTAGACCCCACGTGCCCACAGATAAGATTAGGCCTATATAGGTCTGAGCTGAACAGGTTAAAATTAGTGTGCAACACAAATATGTTTACTCTGCGCGATTTCGTAAGTTCGTGCACATGACGTGTTATTTACATGATCGATTAATGATAAGCTTGCAATGAGGTGGAAGATCCGAGTCAGTACACAAATATACCTCTCCCAGATAACCCCCCTCCCGTGAAAAAGTTATCTAACAATTGTTTAAAAAAATCATGATAATTTATTTGAGACATTTGAATGTATTTGTGCAGATTTCAGTAGCATTAAGCTATTTCTGTGACGTCACACTATTGTTAAAAGTGTAGATTACTTGTACGAATGTACACTTTACTGTAGATTATTTTAAGAATCAACAGTTTTTTGTTGTGAATAGCCTCTGCAAACAACTCCATGTATAAACGGGACTCAGTGCTTACTAGATTTTTGAAAGTCACAGTCCACTTTAAAATGAAAGAAATGAACATTTCAATGGTACTTAAAAATGTACGAATTCCGAAAGAGTTTTTGCGAACGAATTTGACGTGAACCTGATTTAAAGAAATAGCGTACTATTTTAGTTCTTCGATTTTTAATTACACACAATGTTCTCTTTGGATTTTTCAATTTGCCGAGCTGGTACTTTTGATTGTATATGGTGGCGATTATCAATTTTAACTTAAGGTCGAGTGTAAAGTATTCTTCTTAATGAAGTTTCAATTCTGTTTATTTTTATTTTTAGTCTTATCTTTATTTTTATTTTTTATTTATTTTTAATTCTTTATTTAAATTTCGACTGACTTTGTTGTTATCGTTGTCTTTAAAGGGAATATACAACATTTGCAAACATCGAAAAATAAAACAACCCAGTTTTTACGAAATACCTTACTAGGATGTTGGTAAATGACAGTCTCAAGCATCTTGTAAAATTATGGCACCTGGTGTGAAGTCATTTTCAAGAAAATGGTATTTTTGTAAACATTTCCAACGGTGGTCGGCCGACCAGCGTTGGAAAAACCTAACTATTTTTCAACTACTGCTCCAAATTTACCATTTTTTCAGTCCAAGTTTTGTTTGCTATTGGTTACATGTTCATGAACGGGTGCAGGCCAGCTAGACTGGTGCCCTTGCCTTACAATTTTCCATCATCTATAAATTGATCCATTTTATCTTTTGTGGAGTCGGAGAACCAGACTACTTGAACATTTTTGTTTTTCTTGGTTTTTCCAACCTTTTAGAACACAGAACTTCAAAAATGTCAGTGTAACAATATTTGATCTATTATACTAACCTCTCAAATAGTTCATTTCTGAAAGTTACAACAAAAGCCAATGATGTATATTCCCTTTAACCTCGCATTAAAAAAAAGAATCAGTGGATATCCCTTGGTAAAAGTTTATGTTCACATCTAGTCTTAATCCATTTAATTTAAGTTTTATCATTATTTGTCAGTCTATTTCTCACTGGCCAGTGAAAAAAAATTAACGAAAGAAAAATCCTAAAAAGAATGGACGAATAACTAAAGAAATCAAATGAAACTTACCAAATCAATACTTCTCAGAATATATTCCACAGTAATGTATTTTCCAAACAAAGTAATTTCCTGTGGTGAGTGAGATGGTGATATTCCGACGTGTACTCCATAAAATAAATATCAAGATAAACAATGTGGTTCTCCATTGAATGGGCAATGACATGTGGTTCCACAAATCAAAGACCTCTGTGCACAAATGATGAGTTGCTTTTCAAAGTTTTCCTGTGGTTGGTGTTATAACTCCTTATCGCAGATAAAATATAGCATCAAAAGCATGTACCTGTAATAGTTTTCAGAATCCAGTATAATCCCGTAGCTGTAACATACATGTATAAACTCCAATTGGCTTTGGAAGTAAGGAATATAGACAGTGTGTTCGCACTAGCTTTCCAGGACAAATGCACGGCCTGCATGTGATGAATGGAACAGAAGATGTGCACCCATCCGAAGGGTTAACAATAGGATCTTGTCACGATGAAGGCACAGGGCCAGGCAAAGTTGAATAGATTGTATATACACGAATTTACACTGATTCACAAAATGTAGAGATTGTGGAAAACCAGGTGTCTTATTTGCATAAACTATTGTTGTTTTAAGAAATAGGTTAAGTCGGAGAATAGACTCGGAACTGTAGCTTCGTGCTAAGAATAGACTCGGCTTCGCCTCATCGATTCTTAGCACGAATCTACAGTTCCTCGTCCATTCTCCTGAACAGAATGGCTTCCATACTTGCACAGTCTAAAACTAAAATAGCTCACTTTGTTTCCTTCTGCAGGGTTTTCACATCCTTGATATGAAGTGCAATGATGCCGGAACTCACTGCCAGAAATGCCACATAGCGCATACCGAATGGAACATCGCACCCATGCGTAGTACAAAGAACAAGCATAATTATTATTGAATGCATCAAGCCGAACTATAAAAATCATGCATCGAGCAGGCCTGTATAGCAGGACTTCTATATTCGAAACAAAATTAAGCATTAAGAATCTTTAGGAGAGAAAAAAGAAATTTTTTTTTCAAGAGCACGGGGTATCCATCTTCGAAAGAGGTGAACATTTCCCCTTTCTTTCTTCAGAAGTGTCTGCGTTCACAGAGGATCCCCGCTCATTACGTATTCCGGTTCATCAAAGGCAACCAGGACTGGAAGATATCTATCATCCAAGGTACGAGCTGGTAGTGAAGTGTTAGTCCCAAAACCTAGTGCAAAAAAATAAGTTTGTAAGAATTTATTTTGTTCTCTCTTTTATTGCACACAGCTGACCTGGCTCAACCGTATCGTATCTGCACTGCTTGGAATAACTTTACGATGGACGCACAGCTTGCTAGGATCGATCCGTACGTGTGCGTGGACAACTACAACACCCTCGGGGATGAAAGTGCCGCCTGATGAACGCCCTAGACCCGTCTTAGGGCGAAGACGAATTTGCTTAGCACAGAAAATATTTGCTTAGCAAAAACAGGTTACCAGGCAAAACGTCGTGTCATGTATATTGCGTACGACTGGTATTCTGTTTATTTTTGTTTGACATGTAAATTTACTAAGCAACATTTTCGGCTAAGCAGCTGTGTGAGATTTGGCCCTGCGAAATAGATCAATCAAATTGGTATTGAAAAAAGATTAAACACGTGCACTTAATGCAGGTTTAATGAAACAAAAAGCCTTCACTTCTTAAACCAAACTCTTGGGGGCGGCAGACTAATTGTTTTTAAAGAACAGCTGAATGCCGCCACCAAGAGTCGGAGACGCTATGAGTGCAACGTATTTTCCAGATGAGAAGAGTATTATTCCTTTTTCCAATTTCATTTTAAAAAAATAATCGCACGGTTCATTTTACTAACAAACAAAAAACTATACAAAAAATGAATATTTCATAGGGAATCAAACAATCGTGGAAGGCCAAATTTATTAACGGATTACGACAAAGATGGACTGAGCCAGACGACGCCTTTTTATTCAAATTTAGAAGCGTCTTTAAAGTATATGTTTGGAAAATTTCATAAGTTGGCATCCGCGGCGTGCGGCAATTTGTGACAGTGAAAAGTGCCTTTTGTTGTTGAAAATCAGACTTTCGCATTTGTTGAATGGAGAATATTTGTTGCCAATCATGGTTCGTTGGTTTACTATTTAATTAAGTGGTTAGCTTTGCGGATTTTTGTACGAATTACGCGGATCATTTTAATTTCTAACGGCCGATTATTTATAAAAGTTGTCAAGGGATAATGCACTTTTGGATTTAATTGTCACTCTGATAAACTTAAGCTTGATATTCGACTTTTTGTGAATATTGTCAAATCGGAAGCATTCTTTTGGCGACATTTGCTAGTGTTTTATTGATTTTTTTTCTTCAAAGCTTGGATGCCCATTCGATTCTTTCCAAATTGTAAGAAAAAATTGCAACCCTACCCACGCCCCCAACACACCTTGCCCCAACTTTCACCCATAAATACAGGATTCCCTACGATATGAGTTGCTCGGCAAGCACTGTTTCTCTGAGAGTTGTTGTGCAAACAATCATAGTCTGGAATTGACAGTTCGGAAATTTGGTGGGCGGAGGTGACACTCGTTTGTGAAAATAACGTCGTTTTGTCCTCACTGTCTGGCAGAAAAAAAGCCAAATCTGAAAATTTACTTACTACTGCACATGCTCATCACAAAACTTTCTTAGCGGTGGCGGCGCAGAATCAATATTGCATGTGCTACTGCGAACATGCAAAAATCACTCGGAGTACCAGTGACAATGGAGGGAAATGTTTTGTATACTGAAGTAAGTAAAAAGACAGATGGAATGCACCATGTTTAAAAGTGCTGTCGAGTGGTTGAAATTTCCTAGCTTGCATTTTCGGTTGCCATTACCCTAACAGACCTTAGTGTATTATAGCTTATGAATTTACCTGATTTGACAACATTTTACCAAAAAAGTGCTTTGATTTTTATTGATATAAGGCCAAAAAAAAAGTCTCCGGTTTCTGGTATGGAGCTTGCCCCAAAAGTGGTGCGGCGACGCGGCTTTTTTTTTTTTTACCTGTTTTTTTTTTTTTTGGCTTCAAATGTCGGCTGATGACTGCAAATGGTGCCCGACTAAACTTAGTGCAAATATATGGGAGTCGAGAGAGGCCACATAAAGCTTATTCTCGATCATAACCCCATCTAAAAACACGTTAAAATTGTGCAGCAGCAGGATTCCAGTCAAACCAGTGAGTTTGGCGGTTTTGAGACATCATCTTGTATTGAAAGAAAAAACGTTTTCATTTTGCCGACGCGCATGGCTACGGCGACGCGCGCGCATACCAGAAACCGGAGACTTTTTTTTTTGGCCTAATGGCTTCAGCAGAAATAAAATTTCTGCCAATTTTGACTTTCAAATGGTCTGGTAGTTTTATTATTGGTATCATATTTTATTCATGCGTGAAGATTGCATGCGATTACAATTTACGTTTGCGACAGTATGCTGACCCGCCAGTTTTTTGTGTTTAATATTTTCTTTTAATTGTCCGAGCGTGAATTTGAGCAGAGAATATTCATTATAAGGAGAGCATAAATAGTCTATTGGCAAGTGCAGTTGATGATTTTAGTCAGTTCAACGCTGTTTTTACCAAGATTGCATCAAAGTGATTCAAAGCGCAAAGGCCCACGTATCTTTGGTGTCTGCTGTTATTGGCGTGTCATCATGAAGTGGCCAGTTATTGCTAGTTTGTTGGTTATCGGTGTCGCCGTGGCAAATGGCTACTGGGGCAGTCACTCCAGCGACGACCCCAGCTATGCAAACTTAGTAAGTATGTAAACGAAGAGGGTTCGAGGTAGTTTGGCAAAAATAGTTCTAAAAGATAGGTAGTTTAGTTCTCTTCTCTTGGGGACTTTTTTATTAGATTGCCTCATCCCTTTTCCTTCTGCAGGGATTTTACATCCTTGATATGAAGTGCAATGATGCCGGAACTCACTGCCAGAAGTGCTACATAGCGCATTCCCAATGGAACATCGCACATATGCGTACGTACAAAGAGCAAAGCCATAAGTATTATCGTAATGATAACAAAATATTGCGATCGTATTTACAATAAAGTAAACTTTACATTTCCTTACCTTTTCCTTCCACCAATATTCGAAGTAATAATAAATTCAGTGCCGTTTGGGGTCTAGTAGTCTACTTCAATACCGCTCCTCCAATCCCTTCCACAATGTTCTGATCACTGGTCTGTAGTGTACAATCATTTTTGCTGTCTACCATTTCGTCTTTGGTGTTACCTTTCTTCTGTCGCTATTTCTTGGCCACCAGACTCTCAACCTCCTTGTCTACCGGATGCTCTTCAATCTGACCCTAATGGCCCACTGACCTCTATTTGATCTTTGCTATTTCGTTTAGACAGTGTTTGGTGTAACAGAGATTATATGCCTATTGTTCTTTTTTCCATTGCACAGTGTGTGAAACCTTAGCTTTGTAAAGTCTTTTTAAAATCATTTTTAGAACAAGTTGCGGAAAAAACATTAGTTGTACTATTTTGATTTTCTTTCTTCAGACGTATTTGAGTTCACAGAGGATCCCGCTCAGTTTAAGTTCTGGTGCATCGAAGGCAACCAGGACTGGAAGATATCTATCATGCAAGGTACGGGCCGGTCACGAGAAATCCCAATGTGTTTCCCAAAGCCTAAAAGACCTCCAACCTTTGCGAAATAGTCCCTCCCCTTCTCGCAGATTATGGGGCCTGGTATGCAAATTAACATATCGTTGTGGAATCGGCTGAGAGTATTTCTATTCCCCCCTGGTTGGGATACCGGTCCATCGCATGTTACTCCCCAGCTAATATAACTGGTACCCATTTTGTTACCGACACCACGAAGGAACACTCCACGTGTTAAACCATATTTTTTCGGTTTTCAGGGTGGTTTATTTAAAACATTTTTTAACATTATTTATCAAGGCCTACCATTGCACGAAGTTTCGAAGCTTCAAGAGCTTTATTTTAATAATTACGCTAATTAACCATGGCAACTTTTGCGCGAAAGTGACAATTTTCGTTTTCATGAAGTAACACTCAAGTTCCATTTACCATTGTAATGCATGGCGCGCACTCTGCTCAAATGCGAGCAAAAACGTTTTCACGAAGTAACACTCTCCTTGTTTGAGCGCGCGCGCGCTGTGCAGTTTCCACGAAGTAACACTCTCCCATTGTTGTAATACACTAGTGCAGTGCCCGTCTAAAATGTGCGTGTTCGGGAACGCAAATTGCTTTGCCGCTGGTATAGGTTGCATACTTGCAGAGTAGTGGAGAACTGCTCGTGCAAACAACGCACGCGATTCAATGGTGTTGTTTTCACAGGTTGAACGCACACGCACGTCAAAGTTTGTGCCAAGTTTGAAGTTCGACCACCTGCAGTGCATGGTCGCTCAGTCGACTGCAAAAATTAATGTGCCCGTGCAGCCACCAAGTACGTGTACATGCGAAAACATGGTATGCAGTGCTATTCACCCATACTGGACAATGGTATCGCCCTACAATGTACGTGCGCGTGCCCGTCCTTTTTCCATTGTTTGTGTCATATTGAGCGCTCGCGCTTTAGCTTTACATGACGTAAACAATCGAAAAGAACGGCAGTGCGTGGTATTATGTTCTAAGCTATAGTGCAGTGCCCGGCTAAAATGTAAATGTTCGGGAAGGGCAATTGCTTGGCCGCTGGTATTGGTTGCTTGCAGCGTTTTTGAGAACTTCTCGTGCAAACTACGCACGCGATTCAATGGAACACTCACAGGTTGAACGCACATTTTTTTAATGTGGACAGAATTATATTAAGAAAACGTAGAAAAAAACTGTGCTATCGTTTATCTCATTGTTGGTAATAGAATAGCCCCCCGCCCCCCCCCCGTGAAGTCCCCATTGTTGATAATGGAATAGCCCCCCGGTGAAGGTCAGCGAGCTCTTTGTACACGTACACACCATAGATATAGAACTTAAAAAACTAGATCGGACGCGCGTATAATACGCGCGTTTTGACAGGGCGCAGCCATTGGTCACGTGAATAGGGCCAACATTTCAAACTGTCATATTGAGCACGCGCACTTTAGCTTTACATGACGTAAACAATCGAAAAGAACGGCAGGGCGTGGTATTATGTTCTAAGCTATATACTGCCACGTAATTGACTCAGAAAATACTGTTTTTTGGCAGCTTTTTCAAGAACCCATCATCCAAACCACTTCAAACTTGACACTGCACATTCTGTTGTCCCGAGTAATATACCCGCCGATTTTCAACTTCATACGGCACTTAGTTCTGGAGATAATCGAAGGACAGACAGACAGACAGCCCGCCCGACAGACAGACAGACAGACAGGATTGAAGCGTGCTACTTCGTGAAAACGAAAATTTACAGTTTCGCAGCTTTTTTTGGTTTCACGACTCACCTTTTTTCTCTTATTTCTTGTTTTAATATACACACGGGTCGAAAACAGTAAATTTAATAACATCAATACATCTAGTGTCCAGAACGAGAAACCCAACTGAAAATACTCTGCCGTTTTGACGCAAAGTGTTGTTTTAGAAGGCGTTCAACTTTAGAAGCCTTTTTCTCCGATTGCTAATTCTTACTGGTATGTACATGAGTGTTACTTCGTGGTGTCGGTGACGATTTATACTCCTGGGTGGAGAGAGGCAAATGGGGGGTGAAGCGGCTTACCCAAGGACACAACATGTGGCCAGTATCTGGATTCGAACCCCTGACCCTCTCAGTGAGTCACTAACCCAAACCACTAGACCACACCCCCCCCCCGTGAAATCTGATTATGTCACACACAAAAACTGATAAAAAGGCCCCCCAAAAAAAGTCTCCGGTTTCTGGTATGGAGCTTGCCCCAAAAGTGGTGCGGCGACGCGGCTTTTTTTTTTTTTTTTTCCTGGTTTTTTTTTTTTTTTGGCTTCAAATGTCGGCTGATGACTGCAAATGGTGCCCGACTAAACTTAGTGCAAATATATGGGAGTCCAAAGAGGCCACATAAAGCTTATTCTCGATCACAACCCCATCTAAAAACACGTTACAATTGTGCAGCAGCAGAATTCCAGTCAAACCAGTGAGTTTGGCGGTTTTGAGACATCATCTTGTATTGAAAAAAAAACTTTTTCATTTTGCCGACGCGCATGGCTACGGCGACGCGCACGCATACCAGAAACCGGAGACTTTTTTTTTTTGGCCTAATGGCATTATTTTTGTCTCTCTTTTTATTGCACACAGCGGACCTGGCTCAACCGTATCGTATCTGCACTGCTTGGAGTAACTATACGATGGACGCACAACTTGCTAAGATCGACGTGTGCGTGGACAACACCTTCGAGGGGGTGGAAGTGCCGCCTGAATGCCCTAGACCCGTCTTCGTGGTCAGCTTGGAATACTACGTGGCCGATAAGAATATCCGTGGCCAACAAAATCTGCTCTGTGCCACTCCATAGAATTAACCGAAGTCCGCAAATTGGGCCAATTTCATTGAGCTGCTAAAGTGCTGGACTTTGCTTAGCAGAGAAAATATTTGCTGAGCATTAACAGGGTTACCAGGCAAAATGCCATGTCATGTACATTACGTGTGACTGGTAATCTGCTGATTTCTTTTAGCATGTACATTTGTTAAGTAATATTTTTTGGTCAGCAGCTGTGTGAGACTTGGCCCTGCTATGCATAGAGGTATCAAAATGGGATTGAAAAAAAAAATTAGACAAAAACCCAATCTTGTAACCCAAACTCTTGGGGGCGGCAGACTCATTTTGTTTTTCAATAATAGCTTAACGCTGCCGCCAAGAGTCGGAAATTCCATGAATGCAACGTACTTCCCATTTATGAATCGAGTATTTTTTCGTTCGCCAATCTTAAGCAGAAATTGATCAAACGGTTCATTTTACTAACAAATTAGAAGCTATAAATCTTCATAAATATTTCATTGGGAATACAATTATTTTGAAAGGACAAAAAAGTATTAACGGATAAAGATGTACTGAGCCTGACCGACGACAATGATATATCTTGTTCGAATTTAGAACGGTTTTTACAGATGGGTATTCGGAATTTTTAATTCGATGAGTTATTTTTTCGGGACATCAATTACTCGGGTAATAAAGGAAATAAGGTAAATGCCTGCACACGGTTTGAGGGCGACTTGTCTTAAAATGTAGACAAAATGTAAGAATGCAAACATAATGATATCCGCTTCGTGCTTCATCGCGTCGAAACTGCGTTCATTGTATGAAAATTGCCTTTGTTGTTGGAAGACAGACAGACGCATTTGTTTGCTCATGTGCTTCAATATTTGTTGCCAATTTTGATTCATTGACTTTTATTAAGAGGTTTGCGGATTTATTGTTTAAGTGATAATAGGGCCCGTGCTGTGAATCATACAATATTAATGTAAGTTTCCATTTCATATTTCGATAGTTTGGGCAAAAAGGGTCATTTATTGTGGTAAAATTATTAAAACATTAAATTTGGTTCATGTTCCAAAAAAATGTGTCGGATTATTTCTTTTGTGTACTACACACACCCAAACGAACGTTCTCGGCGTTTGTGCAAGGACTAAACCGTTCGCCTTTGGTGATTAATATCATTTGGGGGGCCAGGAAAATTGGACAAAAGCTCTTGTATACTGAAGTAATCAGAAATTTCATGCACAAATAATGGACTGGACGATTTTCGTGGTTGATGGGTGCTCCGATTTTATGTGATTTATATCTCAATCGTCTTGACTGAATCCTCGTAGCTTGCAGATTCGGTAACCACTGCATCAGTGTAAAATACATTGACCCGCCTGACCACCCCTTCCCCTTTTTAAACAATAGTACTTTGATTTATACTTCTATAGTTTCAACTGCCATTTATTTTGGTTTCTCCGCCGTGTGGTGTGTACAGACCAACATGCTACAAGCCTATAGTTGAACCTGTATACACTTTGTTTATAATCATCTTCCAAAATGCATGCATAAGAGTTGATGAAAATTCATCATTCATACCGGCGCACAGACCGTGTCCAGGTTTTTAGGGTGAACAAATATTTTATTACGGCCGTGCATTCTCATTAGGCCCCCCCCCCCCAAAAAAAATTCGGTCTCTGGTCAGACCAAAGTTCCGGAATTGACGCGGAGACGCGACTTTTTTTTTTTTTTTTTTGCTTTTTTTTTCTTCAAGCTTTTTGCTTTTTTTTTCTTCAAGCTTGGATTGTATACAGACAAGGTGGGGTACTATTTTGCTTTTTTGGTGTCCTCATGTACATTGGTGTCCTCCATAATTATCCTTGGTGCTTTCGATCATTTGCCTTGTTGCAAAATCCCATTCCTTGGTGCTATTTGGTAAAAAAAACATGAGGAGGTGCGGCAATAGAGGGCGCTGTTGGAGCTACCGCGGAACATTTTGGAAAAAAAAAAAGATTGACGCGCATGATTAAAATCGACGCGCGCGCTGACCAGAGACCGACTTATCATTTTTTTTTGGCCTTACATGCGGTCAATTTCTGAGGATATTCATGGGTTCATCAAATCATGATGTACCAGCTTGGACTTTGATGTATTTAGCCTAGACCCGAGCGGCACTGCAAGTTGCAAATATTCCGGCGAGTATACAAACAGAGGACAGTGATGGAGCGTTAGTCAATTACTGGTTTTGCCCGCGATTGCATCCAATAATTGGTATTGCATCTGTTTTGGTCTGGCGACGAGAATTTACGTGTTATCATGAAGTGGCCATTGGTTACCAGTTTGTTTGTTATCGGTATCACCGTGGCAAATGGCTACTGGGGCAGTCACTCGAGCGACGACCCCACCTATTCTCATTTGGTAAGTATCTAAACAATTAACAAAGAGGGTTGGGGTTAGTTTGCCAAAAAAGGTTGTCAATGATTCGTAGTTATTTCTTTTCATAGGGAGTTTTTTTTTAAAGATTTGTTGCAAATTAATGCTTGTTAACAGTGACGAAAATTGAGTTGCAGGATATGATATGCAAGAAAATGTACAGATCTCTGTTGAAATGTGATACGATTAGTCGAGACAACAAACCACTTGTGTTTGGCGAGTTCTTGACGCTGCTGTAAAACTTACTCTCCATTCCTTGTCATATCTCAGCATGACTTTAATACTTGCACATGCCAAAACTATAACTCATTTTGTTGCATTCTGCAGGGCTTTTACATCCTTGATATGAAGTGCAATGATGCTGGAACGTACTGCCAGAAGTGCTACATAGCGCATTGCGAATGGAACGTCGCACACATGCGTACGTACAAAGAGCACAACCATAATATATTTAATATATTTTAAGCCTGTTACTATTAGCATCGTGTATACCAGGAATTTATGTTTGAGATCATCGTAATTTATAACAACATCGTGTTCGTAAATAGTTCCAATAATTTAACGGTAAATGATTTTTTTCACAACGTTGTTGGCGCCCAACTTCGAAATAGTTAGGGGTGGGGAAATAGTTTTTGAGAATTCCCCTTTCTTTTACTGAACGGTGTATGCAACTTTAAAAGAGGTGCGATTTTCCCCTTTGTTTCTTTAGACGTGCATGAGTTCACAGACGATCCGGCTCAGTACGTGTTCCGGTGCATCGAAGGCAACCAGGACTGGAAGATATCTGTCATACAAGGTAAGATCGGGCACAGTCTTGGTCCCAGAACTCGTGAGACCCCGACCTAAGTTTTGTCAAATAGTCCAGCACCCCACACCCACACCCCTTGCGGGATATGTGGGGCTGGTGTGTAAATTGGTATGAAGTCGTGAAAACTTGGCACAGTCGTTGTTGGTGCATGACGAACAATTAATTAATATTGGATCACTTAATTCGTCCTCACTCATTAATTAGCCCAATTAATAGCCTAAAGTTTTTGTCTCAACCATTTTGTAGTAAAGGTATATGCCTTGAGGTCACATATCAAAAATGGGCGCATATGTAGGCGTACATACATTTTTTTTAAGTTCATAACAATTTGCTGTAATACTAATAGAATTCAAATTCAAAATAATTAATAGTCAACATATGGACATTGAATGCGGCAGTGCCTTCATGTTTATTCAAAATGCCAACTTCGATATTCAACCGAATTAATAGATCCAAGTTAATGATTCAAATTAATGGATCTTTCCGGAATCGAGCATTTTAAGCCCCGCCCACATTTGGTTTGTGAGCAACTCTCAAAGTGCTTGTGCGTGCGTTTGACCAAATTAGCGTGGTGACCTGAACACAAGAACAGAAGAGTGCATTTTGATTCAAGTTTATTGCTCAGTATAAGTATCTCTTTGTAGGCCGATATAAACAATCTTTCATATCACCAATGATTCCTTGTTCAAGAGTGCATACCTATGTTCCCCTAACCCTAACCCTAACCCTAACCCTAACCATATAACCCTAGTCCTAAGGATTTCGGGGGAAATCGGTATTGGGGAACATAGGTATTGGGGACTATCGGGTAGACCCCTTTGTTCATCATGTACCTTTACCACTTTGCGTAACAAACAAAGTTTTCTTTCCTTGTTGATTTTGCAACCACTATTTCATGCGGTGTAAGATAGCAATTTCAAAGGCACATCCTTATTTATACGTTTTAGGTACCTTGTTTTAGGTAAATAAACAGTGGTGTCTTACAGTCAATAAAATAGCGATTTTATAAAGTTATGAACACAAAAAACACACTTATCAAATTTTCTTTCTTTTAATTGCAAGCAGCGGACCTGGCTCAACCATATCGTATCTGCACTGCTTGGAGTAACTATACGATGGACGCACAACTTGCTAGGATCGACGTGTGCGTGGACAACAGCTTCGAGGGGGTGGAAGTGCCGCCTGAATGCCCTAGACCCGTCATCGTGCTCAGCTTGGATTACCACGTGGCCGATAAGACGATCCGTGGCCTACAGAGTATTCTCTGTGCCTCTCCGTAGAATTGAGTTCCGGAAAATTGGGCCAATTTCATGGAATCTGCTTAGCAGAGAAAATATTTGGTTAGCAACAGGTTACCGAGCAAAATTTCATGTCATGTAAATTGCGTGCGACTGGTACCCTGCTGATTTTTGCCTAGGCATGTAAATTTGCTAAGCAATAATTTCTGGTAATCAGCTGTGTTAAATTTGGCCCTGCTGATTAAAAGAGGTGATTCAAATTGGTATTGAAAAAAAGTTTAAACATATGCACTTAATGACGTTTCAACGTATGAGACAAAAACCCAATTCTCTGCCCAAACTATTGGGGGAGGCAGACTATTTTTTTTTTAAAGAATGACTGAATGCTGCCACCAAGGGTTTGAAATTTCATGATTGCATTAACGTCTTTTACTTGTACTAGTCGAGTTTTATCCGTTTATTATCTCATTGAAAAATCAATCACCCGTGATTGAGTAAACAAACGAGAAACTATTAACAAAGTTATTTATTCAGAGTATTTTTTCGGGTAACATGTCATAAGGAAAATGCTTGCACACTGTTTGAAGGGGACTTAGGCCTATCTTTAATGTTGGCGCCAAAGCAAAAGCTTCTTATTGGCATCCGCAGCGTGCGATATAATTGTTAGTTCATATAACCACGAAAAAATCCTTTTTGTTGCGTGCGATAATTCTTAGTTCATATAAGGCATGACAAAATTGCAAATCAAATATTCGCATATCTTGACTTGAGATAAATGCCCAATCTGTCCGAAATTTCACTTCGAATTTGGCCAAAAATTGACTTTTCTCCAAACAACTCAGCAATGTCTTTGGATGCAAGAGGAACATCAATCGACCTTCAGAGGCTAAAAATATTGAAGATTTGGGGGGGGGGGGAAATACCGATTTATGGAGACAAAAATGAATAATCTTTACTAATTTTGACGCAAATTAATCGCGCCATCTTTCTTTTAAATGCCCAAATTTCAGTTCGAAAGTACACTGGGGACCTTCGGGCATCTTCCCTGCAAGTGTCAAGCAATTTCATTTTTCGGCAAAAATTGAAAAAATCACAAAGGGGCTTGCTTTACATTTTTGATCAAATTTGGCCAAAAATTGACTTTTCTCCAAACAACTCAACAATGTCTTTGGATGCAAGAGGAACATCAATCGACCTTCAGACGCTAAAAATATTAAAGATTTGGGCAAAAATCACCGAGTTATAGAGACAAAAATGAATAATTTTTACTAATTTTGACGCAAATTAATCACTCCATATTTCTTTTAAATGCCCAATCTGTCCGAAATGTCAGTTCGAATGAGTTCTAGGGACCTTCAGGCATCTTGCCTGCAAGTTTCAAGCAATTTCATTTGTGGGCCAAAATTGAAAAAATTACAAGGGGTTAGCCTTACATATTTGATCAAATTTGGCCAAAAAATTGACTTTTCTCCAAAAAACTCAGAAATGTCTTTGGATGCAAGAGAAACATCAACTTTACCTTCAGACGCTAAAAAATATTGAAGATTTGGGCAAAAATCACCGATTGATGGACTCAAAAATGAATAATTTTCACTAATTTTGACGCAAATTAATCGCGCCATCTTTCTTTTAAATGCCCAATCTGCCCGAAATGCCAGTTCGAAGGTGCTCTGGGGACCTTCGGGTGTCTTCCCTGCAAGTTTCAAGCAATTTCATTTTTCGGCCAAAATTGAAAATATTGCAAGGGGTTAGCCATAAACATTTTTGATTAAATTCGGCCAAAAATTGACTTTTCTCCAAAGAACTCAGAAATGTCTTTTGATGCAAGAGGAACATCAATCGACCTTAAGACACTTAAAAATTTGAAGATTTGGGCTAAAATAAGCGACTTATGGAGACAAAAACGAATAATTTTTACTAATTTTGACCCAAATGAATGGCGCAATCCTTCTTTTTAATACCCAATCTGTCCCAAATTCCAGTTCGAATGTGCTCTAGGGACCTTAAGGCATCTTCCCTGCAAGTTTCAAGCAATTTCATTTTTCGGCCAAAATTGAAAAAATTGCAAGGGGTTAGCCTTACATTTTTGATCAAATTTGGCCAAAAATTGACTTTTCTCCAAACAACTCAGCAATGTCTTTGGATGCAAGAGGAACATCAATCGACCTTCAGACGCTAAAAATATTAAAGATTTGGGCAAAAATATACCGATTTATGGAGACAAAAATGATAATTTTTACTAATTTTGACGCAAATTAATCGCGCCATCTTTCTTTTAAATGCCCAATCTGCCCCAAATTCCAGTTCGAATGTGCTCTAGGGACCTGCAGGCATCTTGCCTGCAAGTTTCAAGCAATTTCATTTTTCGGCCAAAATAGAAAAAATCACAAGGGGTTAGCCTTACATATTTGATCAAATTTGGCCAAAAAATTGACTTTTCTCCAAAAAACTCAGAAATGTCTTTGGATGCAAGAGAAACATCAACTTTACCTTCAGACGCTAAAAAATATTGAAGATTTGGGCAAAAATCACCGATTGATGGACTCAAAAATGAATAATTTTCACTAATTTTGACGCAAATTAATCGCGCCATCTTTCTTTTAAATGCCCAATCTGCCCGAAATGCCAGTTCGAAGGTGCTCTGGGGACCTTCGGGTGTCTTCCCTGCAAGTTTCAAGCAATTTCATTTTTCGGCCAAAATTGAAAATATTGCAAGGGGTTAGCCATAAACATTTTTGATTAAATTCGGCCAAAAATTGACTTTTCTCCAAAGAACTCAGAAATGTCTTTTGATGCAAGAGGAACATCAATCGACCTTAAGACACTTAAAAATTTGAAGATTTGGGCTAAAATAAGCGACTTATGGAGACAAAAACGAATAATTTTTACTAATTTTGACCCAAATGAATGGCGCAATCCTTCTTTTTAATACCCAATCTGTCCCAAATTCCAGTTCGAATGTGCTCTAGGGACCTTAAGGCATCTTCCCTGCAAGTTTCAAGCAATTTCATTTTTCGGCCAAAATTGAAAAAATTGCAAGGGGTTAGCCTTACATTTTTGATCAAATTTGGCCAAAAATTGACTTTTCTCCAAACAACTCAGCAATGTCTTTGGATGCAAGAGGAACATCAATCGACCTTCAGACGCTAAAAATATTAAAGATTTGGGCAAAAATATACCGATTTATGGAGACAAAAATGATAATTTTTACTAATTTTGACGCAAATTAATCGCGCCATCTTTCTTTTAAATGCCCAATCTGCCCCAAATTCCAGTTCGAATGTGCTCTAGGGACCTGCAGGCATCTTGCCTGCAAGTTTCAAGCAATTTCATTTTTCGGCCAAAATAGAAAAATTGAATAATTTTCACTCATTTTGACCCAAATTTGGACGCAATCTTTCTTTGAAATACTGAGTCTTTCCAAAATTCTAATTCGAATGTGCTTGAGGACCTACCGGCATCTTCCCTGAAAGTTACAAGCAATTTCATTTTTCGACCAAGAATGAAAACAAAATTGCAAGGGGTTAGCCTTACCTTTTTTAATAAAATTTGGACAAGAAAATGACGGTTCGCGAAACAGCCCAGAAATGGATTTGCATGCACCAGGAGCATCCAAAAAAGTATTTTATTAGGCAAAGGCATCAAATGATATTCATAGGGATATTATTTTGAAAACATTGATGAAAATAATATTTATTCAGGAAAACAAGATAATTTTACAATTGTTAAAACAATTTTTGATGCTCTATTTCTCTTGAAATGCACATCGGCGGAGAAAAACATCTGGAAATGTTCTCCGAAAGTTTCAATCAATTCTATTTTACAATTAAATTATTATTAAATTATATTTGAAAAAAATCAGACTATATTCATATTCTACTTCCTTTTACCATTTGGTCAAAATATTCCATGAAGGTAAAAAGTATAATCGCCATTACATCTCAAACAATGAGCATTTCATGGGAGGCAGTATGGTCAAGAAGGGGAATAGGAAAAGTCCTTAAATTCCTTGGTAACTGTTTGCAACCTCCATAAAATTATTACTTGGAAACAAGCACATTATCGGTATTACATCTGCGTATGCGTAGAATGATTTTCACAACGGAGAAAACTGCACAATATTCTAGTTTTTTAACGTAAATTAAATTTCGACATGATGTTCTTGATTTGTACAATAGTATACATCCGCCATATTGTCCCGATGCCTTACTTATAAACTCATGACGCACACATGCGCATGCGCAATTAGAAAACCGAACTGACCTATTCTATAAACTATTATAAGATGGAATTTTGCGTCGGGGTGATATAAATCAAATTAGGTTTTGCCCTTCACCGACGTTTTTTTTTTAAACTGTATACTCGGTGTGTTACCTCCCGAGTGAAAGTTGAAAAAAATCACTCGGGTGGGACTCGAACCCACGACCTCCTGCTTTTAAGTGCAGATGTCTTACCACTCGACCACCGAGCTAACGGGATCGGGTGGACGGTTCGAATCTTAAACTTTCACTCGGGAGGTAACACACTGAGTATACAGTTTTTAATAAATAAAAAAAACGTCGGTGAAGGGCAAAACGTAATTTGATCTATTTCTATAAAACTATTTCAGTCTTTAATTTCGATAAATAAAACACTATATTGGGTTGCTGATTCGTGAGATATACTTAGCGCATGCGCACGCACGTCATAACGTTTCGTGGTATCTGGCTCACTGTTCTAGGATTGCAGATTGCAACACGCGAAACTACTGATAACCTCGATTCCAAATGGGCGACTAGATTCTAAACATTGTCGACTGTGCGCGTTCGACAGACCTTGGGCGTTGAGGCGGAGTCAGAGGGCAATGGTTTTGTTTGGCTTAGATAGGTGAGGTTAAACCCTATGTGCGTTCATTGTAACTACAAAAGATCTAACTCTGAGATCTAAATCTAAAGTCTATTGGTGTAAACTATAGTCCATATTAATCTTCAATTTCTTAGCGAATTTCTTAATCATCAGCAACACGTACGCTCTCTTGTTTTTGCTCGATCTAAAATTTCACCCCCAAGTCCGCCATCTTTTGTCGGTAGAATTCGTCGAATGCCTCGCTCTGAGCTACAGTAAACGTATTCTTCCAGTCGCCCTCAACCCCTGAAAAAAATTCAATTTAAAGAATCAGTAAATGGCACATCCAAAAACAAATCTAGGCCTATATACTTGTTCAAGATATTCGACTTGTACCAACCTTTTCTCAACAAGTTCATCGCACCAACTTTGCCTTCCACTTCCCTTCCCGGTAACGACACTTCTCCGGCGACGTGGTAGCGCGTCTTCATGCTCTTCACGGTCACCAAGTCGACGATCTTGTCGATCACCTCATCCGACAGAGGGCGCCCTAGGAATCAGCAACCTGGGCCAAGTTCGGGCAAGGACCATTAGTCCACTAGTGGTTGATTTGTGACGTACCTTACGCCTGCGCACTGATAGCAACGTGCGAACGTCTCTAGTCGAGTCAAACGCTGGTCAAAATGTCATCGCAAAACTTCTGGATCCTGGCTCTCTGCTAGCGTTATGAATGCGCGCGGCTGTTGGTTACCAGCGAAGCAACCAACCCCAGTACGCTGGTTCCAAATAGTCGACTAGCGTAGTCAACCACCGTTAACTAGACAGAGTTCGGGCAAACGTTAGAATAACCATTGGTCAACTATAGTCCTTGCGCGAACTTGGCCCTGAATGACAGCTCCGCAAGTGTCCTATTTAGTCAAAAATGTAACATAAGAACATGAGCAGTTTGTTGTGACCACAATCAGGAAGATTTATTTTACAAATTTGTCTTTAAACCCTGTCCGTTGTTTTATCAGTCCGTTGTTTATCAGTACAAAGTAAATCCTTTTGCATTATTCCAAGAGAAAGCTGGCTGGGTTTCACCAGATCAGTGCAAATAATAGTTGTTTTTTACGTTTTATTTTCTTTCAGCGCAAACTATTTCACTAAAAGTACATGTATTTCTTATTGATTGCGTACCGCCTTCATGTCTTCGTATTTCAGAAACAGATACTGCTTGTTGTGCCGCTCAGTCAGGTACTCGGCCACGTGATAAAACCAAGGCGAGAAGTGAACTAAATCCGAGGGGGAAATGACAGGAGAGATGTACTGAACAGCTTTAATCGCCAGAGTTATGGAAGGGCGCGAAAACCCGACCCAATGCAGCAGAACCCAACCCGCGACCTCACCTGACTAGCTCAGCCCAATCAAACCCAACTCGACCCATCTCAACCCAAACAAACAAGCCCAACCCAAACTCAACCAACCCCTCCTAACCCAACACAACACAACCAAACCAAACCAAACCGACTCCCAACCCCACTCAACTCAACCCAACCAATAACAACCCAAGCAAACACAACCCAGCCGAAATAAAGCCCAACCAAACCCCCTCATCCCAACGAGACCCAACTCAACCAAACCTAAACCAACCCAGCCCAACTGAACTCTACCTAACCCAGGCCATTCAAATTAACCCAGTCTAACCCAACCCAACCAAAGCAAACCGACCCATAACCCAACTCAACCCAACCAAAGACAACCGGAGCAAACCCAACCCAGCCGAAATAAAGCCCAACCAAACCCCCTCATCCCAACGAGACCCAACTCAACCAAACATAAACCAACCCAACCCAACTGAACTCTACCCAACCCAGGCCATTCAAACCCAGTCTAACCCAACCCAACCAAAGCAAACCGACCCATAACCCAACTCAACCCAACCAAAGACAACCGGAGCAAACCCAACCCAGCCGAAATCAGCCCGACCAAACCCCCTCATCCAAACGAGACCCAACTCAACCAAACCTAAACCAACCCAGCCCAACTGAACTCTACCCAGCCCAGGCCATTCAAACCCAGTCTAACCAAACCCAACCAAAGCAAACCGACCCATAACCCAACTCAACCCAACCAAAGACAACCGGAGCAAACCCAACCCAGCCGAAATCAGCCCGACCAAACCCCCTCATCCCAACGAGACCCCTCAACCAAACATTAACCAACCCAGCCCAACTGAACTCTACCCAACCCAGGCCATTCAAACCCAGTCCAACCCAACCCAACCAAAGCAAACCGAACCATAACCCAACTCAACCCAACCAAAGACAACCGGAGCAAACCCAACCCAGCCGAAATCAGCCCGACCAAACCCCCTCATCCCAACGAGACCCAACTCAACCAAACCTAAACCAACCCAGCCCAACTGAACTCTACCCAACCCAGGCCATTCAAACCCAGTCCAACCCAACCCAACCAAAGCAAACCGAACCATAACCCAACTCAACCCAACCAAAGACAACCGGAGCAAACCCAACCCAGCCGAAATCAGCCAGACCAAACCCCCTCATCCAAACGAGACCCAACTCAACCAAACCTAAACCAACCCAGCCCAACTGAACTCTACCCAACCCAGGCCATTCAAACCCAGTCCAACCCAACCCAACCAAAGCAAACCGAACCATAACCCAACTCAACCCAACCAAAGACAACCGGAGCAAACCCAACCCAGCCGAAATCAGCCCGACCAAACCCCCTCATCCCAACGAGACCTAACCCAACCCACGCTAAATCACTCCCGACCTAAACACGCCCAGCCTAACTAGGCCATTCAAACTGGATCCACCCCTGCTAGCCCCCCCCCCCTAAAATATAGGCTCTAAAACCGCGCTTGCATTCAAACCCGGGTTCTGTGACATTTCAGCGTGTGTGAGCAGACACGCCGTATCATTTATTGGATGCGTTCAGTTATAGCTTTCCCGTGTATGTTCACGGTATTCTAGGGTCCCTGCGTGTTTCAAGAATTTCCTTTTCGCGGCCAAATTTGAAAAGAAACTGAATTTTGTTGTTTTTTTTCTCCAAAAGATTGATTGATGAAACTAGTGTCTCCCAAAGAATGTCTGTGTTGTTTGGAGAAAAGTCAAGTTTTGAGCACATTTTGATAAAAATGCAAGTTGTGCAACACTAACGTACCTAAATCCATCAAAATCCACACCCGTTTTGGAGGATTTCGGCGGAATCAGGATACCTCCATATTGAAAAAGTTGGGGGATTTTGATGGATTCAGGACAGTAAGCCTAGTGGTACTGCAGGATTTTGATGGATTCAGGATACCTCCATATTGAGCAGTTGGGGGACTTTGATGGATTCAGGATCTCAGCAGATTTACTCGAGGCTTTTGAGGGACTCACTGGCCACCCAATTTTTTTTGCATGGCAAAATTGATGGATTTTGGCGGATTCAGGATACTTTCTAGTAAAAATACCCAAAGGGTAAGGCCGATTTCAAACAAGTACGTTTTAAAACCTGCCCAGGGCCTGGACGCTGATGGCCGAATGATTCACAACAGAGGCACTGATTTCTCGTTTCAAATGATTTACTTATTTCACTATTTCAAGTATTTATTCAGTGGATCACTTTTAAATGATCAGTTTATGAGATTTAACGAACTGATCGTGTCACATTGTGATCGATTCAAAATCCGCGATATGCCTATTTATTTTACCATCAATATGATGTTACAAACGTGTGATACTTTCAAATTACCCAAAAAATGTACAACTTAAAATGCACATCTGTTCTTCATTCGCATACCTTTTGTAAGACATGCTTCAAAACAAACAGCATCCGAATCATTCCGATTGTACCAAATGAAAAGACAATTCGCAATAAGGTCAATGATAAATTACACTTCAAAACGTCATCATACACCTGTGATTGGGCGAAGACTGCCGTCATTTCACAAACAAATCCGGCAGCAGTACCGGAGGCGACTGCAAAATTTACTGAAGTTGCCAGAAAAAAATTGGCCTCAAGTGATTCGAGTAAAATCAAAACAAGCAAAAATATACAAAAGCTCACAGTAATTACATTGATGGTTTTGACGACAACTCTGCAGGGTATGTTTGCAGTCACATTACCACAACACAGAAGCGGGAATTGACATCACGAATAAATTACAAACAATCCAAGTTGATCCAATCATTTTAAAATATAAATCTTTCTATAAATATATAATTTTATCCTTAGGGGAAGAAAATCAATTAAAAAAAAAAAAAAGGCTGGAATTCTCTGCCAACCATTACAGCGTAGGTGTGTAAGTAAAATAGACTTCTGGTGATGAACATGATAAAAAAAATACACCACCGTCGAAAGATGAGCGTACTTGTACATACATTCATTTCTTTGCTTTAACTGTATACACTATAGCCAAATTGATTATTGTCACTCAGCAGATAATTTGGTTCTTTTCTGAAAATCTGTATTCTCTGTCTTTATGACGCAACCATCCTGACTACATATAGCTTCAAGGTCCTTATTCCTACCTTTTGATTATTTTCAATATGTCTTTGTTTTTTTACACACTTTCTAGTTCATCTTTAAAAACTATGTACATAATTATTTCAAGGTAATTTTGCATTATTGTTTTAATTCACTGATCCATTTACAAATATAAAGTCTACTGCCCTACAATTATTTACTTGGTCAGTTTAAGCTTGACAACTGAAAACATACGGTCATGTGTCCCAACTACAATTGGATAGAAGTCTGTGTGAAGTACAGACTAATGTGCATCGGTTCAGGTTGACCAGGCCAAACCAACCCAAAACATTATAGATATGAACCGAATCGGAACGGAAATCGATCTCAACTCCCCTAATCTGACCCGACCTGGCAAAAATCCTAGGAAAACCGACCCGAGCTGACACAAAACTGACCCAACCCGAAGGAAAAAACAGACTTTCTAGCTGGAGCAGCTGTAGTCAATTTATGTGCCTGAACTTACTCACGTCACGTGAAAATCGTCGTATCTCAGTAACTGAATCATACCGTATGGTAGGGTGAATACGCCTACTAGTGGGCCTACACGTTACATGTACATAGACTGTGCAAGATAGACCGCAAACCACATGCATAATCGCACGGTGGGTTGGCGTTGGTCGAACCAGGCACAGTTACCCAGCAATATTGCACCGCGTGAATTTCCGAAGTTTCAGGGGTTTTTTTTTTTCCAGTTTATTTTAGACTTGTTCACAAGATGGCTTAACCAATAATCGCAAACGGAAAACCAAAACCGACCCGAGCGAAGTGATGGGAGGAAAAATGACCCGACCTGACCCGAAGTTGGTTTCGGGTCGGTTTCGCACAACATTAGTACACACACCTTGCACTTGACATCACATCTCAAGACAGGTCCTTGTTCCTCTGTGATGTGCATGAGTAAACACCTTGTACATTCATTGTCACTCAATTTAAATAACGAAAACTGCCCTCAACCAGAGCCCGCCATGCAGACGGTCAATGGAGAAGTATGGGTCAAGCTAAACCAAAGTATTACTGAGCTCAGTACAGCTAAATGCGTAGACAGGTGCACAGTAACCATTATGGCTGGCACGATTAATAGAGAGAAGAGATAACAGGTGTTAATCACAAAAAAAAAATAAGTCGGTCTCTGGTCAGCGCGCGCGTCGATTTTAATGATGCACGTCAATCTTTTTTTTCCCCAAAATGCTCCAACAGCGCCCTCTATTGCCGCACCTCCTCAGTTTTGTTTACCAAAGAGCACCAAGAAATTGGAAATTGCACCAAGGCAAATGATCGAGAGCACCAAGGCAAAGTATGGAGGACATCAATGTACATGAGGACACCAAAAAAGCAAAATAGTACCCCACCTTGTCTGTACAATCCAAGCTTGAAAAAAAAAAAAAAAGCAAAAAAAAAAAAAGCCGCGTCGCCGCCGGAACTTTGGTCTGACCAGAGACCGAAAAAAAAATTTTTTTGGACTTTATAAAGATGTATCATTTGGAAATTGATTACAGAATGCTTCAATATTCAATACTAGTCTGGTTCCCAGACCAAAAGATTCCGACTATTTCTGATGAATCTTAGGTCAGGTAGGTAGCCTCTATACTATACAAAATATATATACGGCACGTGACCAAAATGAGAGGAATGAATCCTTTTTCCCTTGCTTATTAAAAATGTAAGAAATTAGTTGATAATTAATATTCATTCTGGGGCAAACATGTACTATTTTGAATTTGATGACCTATAAAACTCGGCGTGGTCTCCATTCAGCTTCGCCCGCTAACAGTGCTGTTTGGGTGTCTAACTTTGAAGATTCCAGGTCAATATTAGTCAATGTTTTCTTACAGAAATATCAAGCCGTATATCACAACTTTATGATATATGAAACAAGTGATTAATCTAATGATTTGATCAGAACATTAAAAGCTATAAGTGATAAAGCAAATTCGGAATCGAAGCCGAGCTTTGAAAAAGGGCCGTCAATGTTTATTTTTAGCCACGGAGGATGCCTGACCTACAATTTAGACGTCTGGGCATTGGGGGAAATTGTCGGGTCAGGGAACCAGACTACTTCAATACAGGGCTAATCTACATCCCAACTTCCATATTGCAATCGGGGTCAATTTATTGTTTTTATTACCAATACAAATTGTGGCCCTGAATTGATGTTTGAGTCTGTAATTTTCAAATGCCAGGAAGAAAATGGCACGTTACTCTTAAAAAAACATCCAAAATCCTGATGACTCTTAGGCCAAAAAAAAAATAAGTCGGTCTCTGGTCAGCGCGCATTGATTTTAATCATGCGCGTCGATCTTATTTTTTCCAAAATATTCCGCGGTAGCTCCAACAGCGCCCTCTATTTCCGCACCTCCTCAATTTTGTTTACCAAAGAGCACCAAGGAATGGGAAACTGCACCAAGGCAAATGATCGAAAGCACCAAGGCAAATTATGGAGGACACCAATGTACATGAGGACACCAAAAAAGCAAAATAGTACCCCGCCTTGTCTGTACAATCCAAGCTTGAAAAAAAAAAAACAAAGCCGCGTGGCCGCGTCAATTCCGGAACTTTGGTCTGACCAGAGACCGAATATTTTTTTTGGGGCCTTACCGAGGAATTGGTTGATGTGCAGGTGAGCAGATCAAACTCATTGGCTTTCCGAGGGACGGCCCTACCTGGCTCCCATAAAGACATGGTTTCACTACATGTATGCGTCTCATGGCTACTGGACACTTGAAATCAGACACATCAATTTGAGATCCAATAAATGAGTGTTGGGCAATTTTTCAAACCACAGTTTCAGCTCTCAAAATCCCATAAACTGCTCAGTGACTGTACAACTCTCAACACGGTCGTTACCTCTATGGACACTGATTTAGAAATTTACAATTAAAGCACAATGGTGATGCAGCTGAACAAAAAAAGTAAATGCGAGAGCCGAAACCATGGTTTGAACAATATCTGTGGGGAGTGTGGCTTAGTGGTTAGGGTTTGTGACTCGCGATCAGAGGGTCAGGGGTTCGAATCCAGCTGCTGGTTTTATGTTGTGTCCTTGGGCAAGCCGCTTTACCCCACTTGCCTCTCTCCACCCAGGAGTATAAATGGGTACCAGCATTAGCTGGGGAGTAACCTGCGATGGACTAGCATCTCATCCAGGGGAAATAGAAATATTCTCAGTTGTTTTATGTCACTGAAACCGGAGATAAACGCCGGCCTGATGGGCCACATCGGCTCGTAACAGACTTAACTTAATTTTACTGCGATATCACATTAAGCTTTGACCTGCAACGTTAGACCCGCAACCTTTGACCCCCAACCTTTGACCCTCAAAAGGTCAAAGGGTTTTACCTTCCCTTTCTGCCATTTACTCTTTGTGTTTCAGTTACTACATCTCTGATACTTGTTGCTTCGTTGCTCTGGCTGTGGTCGGAGTGATCTGATACGTTGAATCCGTTCTGGTCGGTCTTGTGAGTGATCTTAGGTTTACCAGAGGACGAGGATCTTGATGGAAACGTCAGGAGAACTAGTACTGACAGTATGTGCAGAAACCAATAGTAGGAACTGAAAAAAAGATAAGAGTATTCAAAATTCAAGTCATAAGTCAAACGAAAACAAGTTACTCAGTTCCATCATCACTTCCTCTGGGGCCGATTTCACAAAATGCCAAGACGTGTCTTAGGAAAGGTTAACTCTTCTTAACTTGGGACTCTTCCTTGGATCGATTTCACCAAACTTATGATGCGTTCAACACGTCCTACATGTAGCTTCCCTAGCAACGTGGCTGATTTCGTCTTAACTTAAGATTCGTCTCATCTCATTAACCCTAACCGAACCCAACCCATCAAAGTTCAACAGCAGGTTTTGTTTAAATCTGTTGGGATAGGTACAGTACCCCTAAACTGATGGTCTTTTACACTGGGGTTGGCATACCTCCAGAAACTAAGGCCAACAGTGTGTGTGTACAATTTCCCATGTGGATGTTGGAATTTGCCAGAATGGGTATGGTTCCTAGTAAATTAGGCTGGGAAGTTAGGGTTGATGCGTGCTTTAAGTTGTATATCATCTGGAAATCATTGCAATGTTTTCTCGTTTTTAAAGAAGAGTGTTGGTCTAGAGTTATAGTTTCGAGGAAGAAAACCGCTGTTGAAACAGATTCAGACTTCTGATACATGTATATGGGCAGTTTTAATCAAACAAATTATTTACAAAATTTGATTATACGCTGACACCTAGTCGACTTTTAAAAATGGAGTGATGAAACAGGAGCAAGAAGTACTCTATCATAATAATTCATATCTTGTGTAGAACTACCCTGCGTGTGAAATTTACTGAATAGCCGGGTTCGACTTTAGCGGTAGCCTGCTAGCCAAATGCTAGTCAAAACAGCGGCGTACTAGTCACACTATTCCTTAAGTAACCCGGCTGGCGAGTCAAAAATTATTGGGCTATGGCAAAGATGAAAGGACAGGAAGAAATAAATCATTAAATTCAGAAAGAAAACCTATATCAAAATAATTTTACAACTGTTTCGGGTTAAATTATTAGATCTGTTTATTAAAAAAAACTGAAGATTGCTTCAGGATACACGTTTACATATATGCAGATTGTTGTTTATGAGACACTCTATAAAAGAAAAACATGCGGGCTAGTGAAAATGCCCGTGGGCTAGTTTAAGAGACCGTTTCAGTAGCCCGGCTGGCTCGTGAACAAATAAGTAAAGGTTAAACCCTACTGAATAGAGAAATTTTTCTGGCGAAAGTTTGTGTTCTATGCACTATCATGGGAGGTTGGTTTTGCACGTTTTTTTGAACGACTGTTTCGTCAAGCGGTAAAATCAAACATGAAACAGCCATCAAATTTGTAGTTTTGATGCATCTCGCTTAAGATGGATTTAGTGAAATTGGTCTGAAGACGCGTCTTAGCTAGGATCGATCTTAGAGCAGGGAACTCGTCCTCAGTCCTAAGATGAGTCATAAGATAAGACGAGTTTTGTGAAATCGGCCCCTGGTCACACGTCAATTCTCAAGTCATTCCATCAAATATTTGGTAAAGTCACAAATCAAAGAGTACATGTAGAAAGGTTTTCCGAGCTGAATTTGTAAGAGGACTCCTTAACACTCAATGCAAATGTGATAGTAAATTTATGATGGCATGGCAAGTATCCCAGTTGTGGAACTGCAAAAGCTGATCATATTTTAAATTTTCAAAATCTGATGCTTACTCATCTGAATTCACATCAAGTACATACAACCAGGTGAGGCCCAGCGCCAATTAACTCTTTCAGTGCCAAAGTCGTACATGTAGGAGGTATATTTGTTAGTACAAAAGCGCCAACCTTGTACATGTACAAGGTAATGTTCGTAAATGTTCGTACTTAAAATTGCCAAACCTCGTACATGTACGAGGTAGAGTAAATATGTTATCAAAAGGGAGCGCTCTTGCTCTTTCTAATGGTACCATTTTCATGCATGTACGACCTGTATTTATTTTTTCATTCAAGTTCTTGCAAGAGGGCGCAGCACTAAATCTCGTATTTTCTGCAAAAAGTGCGGAATTCCCCCGTGTTCAGGCCAGTGTTTCAGGGTGTATCACTATGTTTGTGACTACTTTTGACTTTCCAATATATCAAGGATATACCAGAGAGCAACAACAACAAATTTAGTGAGTAAAACTTATTTTTTTTAATACAGAATTTCAACCATTATCAAAAACGCTCGAAGTTGGGCACTTTAGGGTTAAACTTTTCAAATTTCGCAGGCACTGAAAGAGTTAAATTTTATAGGTGCGCCGCGATCCGCTTCAGGGGCGCTGCACTAACATCATCCCTCGGCACACCGATGTGCGGCGATGTGCAGCACTGGAGGAAACATGCATAACAATAGGCGTCACGGCTGAATGCACTTTATACACCATGGATACACACGGCCGGCCGCAGCGGTTAGGCCTACACCGCGGTATGGGGAAGTTGCTTTATTGCAAGGCAAATTAGCACCGAGTTATGGGGACTTTCTGCTGTCCTTACAGCGTGTTCGGTCCCCACAAATACCTCGTACAGACGAGTGTATGTCCCCACAACTACGGAACAAGAAACACAGCGGTATGGGGAAGTTGTTTTATTGTTAGGCAAATTAAGACCGAGTTATGGGGACTTTCTGCTGTCCCCACAGCGTTTTCGGTCGACACAAATACCTTGTACAGACGAGTGTATGTCCCCACAACTACGGAACAAGAAACACTGCGGTATGGGGAAGTTGTTTTATTGTAAGGCAAATTAGCATCGAGTTATGGGGACTTTGTGCTGTCCCCACAGCGTTTTTGGTCCCCACAAATACCTTGTACAGATGAGGGTATGTCCCCACAACTACGGAACAAGAAACACAGCGGTATGGGGAAGTTGTTATATTGTTAGGCAAATTAGGACCGAGTTATGGGGACTTTCTGCTGTCCCTACAGCGTGTTCGGTCCCCACAAATACCTCGTACAGACGAGTGTATGTCCCCACAACTACAAAACAAGAATGGGTGTACACGTTCATCTTTTCAAACCGTGGACGAAAAATACCAGAGAACAAAAGAGAACAATATCGTCCACGATTCCCAGCATACGTCCGCGATTGGGGCCGTGTACAAAACCTATGGGAGTCTTCCTAAAAAGTTAAGGTACAAACAAAAGAGGGACAATAGGACGTCCACGATCGACGGTGAACACACGTTTGGGTGCGCCGGCAATGAGTTCTTGAGTTCGGAATTCTTGTGCATGATCTTCACTTTGCGACAGGCGGATACTCACTTGAAAAACTGCAGAGTTGGTTCCAGTCTCAAATATGTGAACGGTGTGATGATATAAGCCAGAGAAAAGTAAGTACAGGACCATGTCAAGACATCATAGAACAGCTTCATCTGAGGTGATGATAAGAAGTAGGGCCTCATCGCGTATCTGACCTGTAAGATATGTAACAAAACAATGAAGAATTGAGATGTTGCGTCTAAATCTGGAAAGTGATAGCGATAGTAGGGTCGCACTACCGGTGCGTATCTGACCAGTAAGATAAGTTACAAAAAAGTATTGCATCTAAATCTTGAATGTGGCAGTTATAGTAGGGTCGCACTTTTCCCCAAAGTTCCCTGAAGAAAACACGGCCCATTTGAATGAGCATCAGTAGACAACTTGAGCTAATTTGTTATGGATTTGGGTATAGCGTTCCGCCGCCTTGCAAAAAACACCATATTGATAAAAATAACAGAAAAGAGAAAACATCTGGAAAAAAATGTTAAAACCTGACGCTACTTTCGAAACAGAAAAAGAACCATTTTCTGTTGCTTATCTTGTACCTCGGAGAGTATACATGTACTTTCATGTGAGGGCTGTAAGGAATATGTTGACAAAGTCTTTAAGAGAGATTTGTAGGGGAATGTGTGGCCAACTTAGTGAATTTGAACGTGTCACGCATCGGTTGAGGGCGTCAACATATTCCTTACAGTTCTCACATGAAAGTAAACTGTATACTCTCTGAGGTACAAGATAAGCAAAAAAAAATTTATTTTTTTTCTGTTTCGAAAGTAGTGTCAGGATGCATTCTTTCCAAATATACTCAAATCATACGCTTACGAAACTACTGACTGGAAAAACTAACAAAGTTCAAATGTCCGCACTGCGAATTTGTAGACCATCTCCCACATTCTCTCTTACCTCCCGCCATGCAAACAGGACGCTGGGATACTCTGACGAATTCACGCTCTGATTGGTTGGATTTTGCGTGACCATTGACCTGCGCGTCATCAAGGTCATGACTCTGCAAGGTTTGAAACGGCCGTTAAGACTGATTCATTACTCTTTTATTCCAGTTTAGAGATGTTTTTTTCTCGTTGAAAAAAGCGTCATAATGTAGGAAATTCTGTAAAACTTATCTGTGTTGTAAATTTACAATTCCCGTCACTCGCTCAGGCTCCGTTTCGAATCACGAACGGTCGGATTGCATTATGCGACGCTCAGAATTTTGTCCACATGGTCCGCAATGAAACAGAAATCACATCCGGTATGGAATTTGCGCAATTCTATGGGAAGTTTTCGGATAGCATTTGCGCACATTGTCTAACTGCGGTCTTGAACAGCTGTAGCCAGATGCTTTATACATAGGTCATAGGCCACTTCCTTCACAAGATTCTGTGAAGCTCATCAGAGTATCCCAGCGTCCTGTCTGCAGGGCGGGGGGTACGAGCGAATCTCCCACAATGCACTGAGAAAAAAATGAACTCATGGTGGCGCACTGCATTGTGAATTGCCGAAATTCAATTCAATTCAGGGAACGACAATTGCAATAACTTACTTTGGCCGCTGCAGATACGAGGAGCGATCCCGAGATGAAAGTTGCAAAGTATCCTGGGTAAAATCCATGCCAGAATGCAGACAGGATGAACGTCAACAAGCGCTTCTGGAAAGGAACTCGGTCGTAGCAGACATACTTCAGCCACATGGTGCATCTGATGTTCCAACTGTCGATCAGTGACTTTAGGCTTGTTGCAGTCTGTCGAGATGAAAATATATACACGTCAGGTCTCGCCAAGTTTTTTTTTAAATGTAGTTGCTCTTCCAAGTTCAAGTATCCAAGTTCAATTATCTTGGAGCCCAACCTCGACCCCAGAGTGTCGAGCAGTACGCACCCATCACTACCTGCTCTCTCACCTTGGTATTGGATCATTTGCATGTGCAAGATTTTTGAACACGTATGCAAATAAGGAATAGTCTGCTGCCTGCTTTTGCGTTACATTTGCGTTTGTTTTTGTATGCGGTGTCTGGGGTAAAAGCAGAGTCAATTCGTCGTAGCGCGAGCATGGCGTGAGTTACGAAAAACACGATTTATTTAATTAAATTGTTACGATCCTACCGAGACAACATGTAGCATCACATTTCATATTAATATGAACAAATTGGGAAGGAAATGAGTATTTTCGAGAAGGCGTGGACGAATAATTGCGAAAACACGTACTGCACGTTGTGAATAACAACACCAAGTACACGACAAATATCCATTACTAGCCAATTGCCGTATCGAATCAGGATGCAGGAAGTTTGCTATCCAGAGTTTACTATTGGAAACTAGGTTGGAAATAAAGTAAGCACTGGGGACGAGGTTGCTTGGAGCCCTCATTGCAGCCAAGGGTGGCTGTAGTGATGAAATCAAGAGACGACTGGCTATTGCAAGATCATCAATGACAACTCTAAAAAAGATCTGGACTGATAGGGGTATCACCAACAAAACCAAAATTCAACTAGTTCGGTCACTTGTGTGCCCCATTGCAACCTATGCTTGTGAAACTTGGACAATGAGCAAGGCGGACAGGAAACGTGTCAATGCTTTTGAGCTATGGTGTTGGCGCAGAATGTTAAGAATTCCGTGGAGTGTGATTACTGAAGTCAGGATGCAACACAGGTTAATCAACAGTATAGATGCTCGTTTGTTACAGTACTTTGGGCATATAACACGGAGAAACGTAACAGTCTAGACAAAATGATATTGCAGGGAAGAGTTGAGGGAAGTCGAAAGCCAGGACGACCCGGGCTCAGATGGTCGGATCAGGTGAAGACTTTAACCGGCATGTCACTCAGCGAAGCAAGCAGCATTGCTCTAATGAGATCCCATTGGCATTCCATCGTGCAAACCACGAAGCGTCAGTTATGATGTGATCGACAACAACGACAACAGTTGCTCTTCAGGCAGGGGTGCTTGATATCTGGTTGCCCTGAGCCACTTCAGGTAATGCAGCCATGTACATTATTAGGATTCGGCCTTCAGTTTGGGGCGATATTAAAAGTTCTTTATTTGGCAACTGAAAATGAAACTCAGGAAACCAGATTTCAAGCACCCCTGCCGGAAGGGCAACTTCATTTTTAACAATTGTGCAAGGCCTGTTTTCGATAATCAGATTTATTGATATTGGTGATCTTTGATATGTCTACTACACATAGTTTAAAGAAATAGTATAAAAATCGTCGAATAACAGTGTTTTTAAGGAAACACAATTGGCATCTTTCATTTTCACAACTGGAAACTGGTAAAGGCCTTTTTCTCATTATCTTACTTTTCTGACATGTCGATAAACAGCCATAACTTGTCAACGGAATGTCCGAATTAAATGCAACAAACAGTGTTGTAAGGAGAATTTTCTTCTCTTTCCTTATACCTACAAACGTGCAGCTTGATTTTGATAAGTCAGTCGCTGACTGTTCTGCGCTGTCGCAAGGTTGGCCCGAGGGCGGCTTAAGAGAAGTGAGGACCAATTAGGTACATGTAGATTGTCTCTTTACGTGCATTAACGTTGCCTTAAGATTCTATCTTCCACTCCACTTTTGCAACACATACATGTACATCATAACTTACCTGGAACCCGATGACATCAACATTCTGCAATCCTGACCAATCCGCTCTGCCTTTCTTGTCGTACCCAACAAAACCAAGACCTGCTGCATTACTGATAGCATCCGCTGAAAAAAAGAAAGAAAAAAAGGTTAAATAAAATACAACATCCCTGAAATGAGACATAAAGTCTTTTATGACCAAAGAAATATAGACTTTGGGAACTCATTCTACTCATAACTCCATGTGCAGTGTGACCAGCTGGCCGACCTGTATGACTCGTGACTCGACCTGCGTGACTCGGGACTCAGACTCAACCTGCATGACTCGGGACTCGGACTAGGACTCAGATGATGTGACTCGAACTTGGACTCGAATACAAGTCTGCCAGCTGGCATGAGGGACTGAGACCCAAGTGGAGATGATGAATGTCTGCTCAACCTACCCCACATCCAGCCAAAGAAGTACTTGGACTTGGCAACTTCCACAGACACTAGAAGATATCCCAATCGGTACAAGACGGATGGACTGTTCAGAACTTCATCAGCTGCAGATCAAAATAAAATTGAAGACAAGAATGGAACTGTTCACTTAAACCCTAACCCTCCTCAATCCTACAAAATCCTCCGGCCCGTTTTGGATGATTTTAGAGGATTGAGGATGAATGGCAAAGTATCGCTCTTTTTGTGGAGGATGCATTACGTCAAGCCAGTAGGCCATATCCTGCATTGGTTATGTTCAGCCATGCATAAATCAGCCCTGTGTTTTTCTTGTATTTCATCCGCACTGCTTCTCAACGCCATTCGCACTGCCTCAAATCATAGCAGTAATTGGCAGAGGATTTTGGAGGATTGAGACAGTGGTCACCCTCCACAGACTAAATTCAAGATATGTAACTGATGATTTTGGAGGATTGAGGCTAAATTCATTTTTTTCTTGGTGGTAATTGGAGGATTTTGCAGGATCGCAGTTGCATCCTAGCCAGAGGGCCTAGTAGGCAGTGGTCACCCTCCACAGACTAAATTCAAGATATACATATAAGTGTAACTGATGATTTTGGAGGATTGAGGCTACATTCATTTTTTCTTGTTGGTAATTGGAGGATTTTGCAGGATCGCAGTTGCATCCTAGCCAGGAGGCCTAGTGGGTTAGGGTTAAAATATCCTACTTTTTTTTACATGTATGTGGGCATGTCAGTCAATCACAGACTATAAAGGAGTTGACTTATTAGTCACGTGTCTAGAAAACTCACAAAGGAGTGAGATTTTGTTGCAATCAATAGTGAGCTGAACTTGAAAAATAAAATTAACCCAACTCCTTAGGCATTTTTGTTAGGATACAACCTCAGTCCTACAAAATCATCTAACTGGCTCCACGTAAAAATTGCATACCGCCTCAATTCTCAGAAATTCTCTGTTATTTATTGAATGTGGTCCTTGGAGGGGCGACCACTGCCTCGATCCTGCAAAATCCTCCAGCAATCACTGTCAATATGTTGAGGCAGAGCCAGTGACATCCTGGAGCAGTGTGGAGGATTTCAGATATAATCTGGGCCTAACTTCATGCCCGGCTAACATAAACAACACAAGGTCTGGCCCAAGACCTTGACACAGTGCATCCTCCAGAATCAGCCACACGTTTTTGCCATATAGCCTCAGTCCGGCAAAATCCTCCATTTCGCAAAGAGAATTGTGGAGGATTTGGGAAGGTGGTTATGCGATTGTTGAATAATGTCAACTTTGTTCATGAGATGCTATCTTTTCATTCAAGTTGGTGTAGGTCAGCACAAAACTAATCCATTTGTAATAAATTAGTTCCTTAAAAATTTTTTCCCACTTACCAAAGAAGCAGCATGCTTACAAGCAGGTTCCAATTGTCTAAAATTGTTTGAAATTCGGCTTCAACTTTTTCTTTTACAAACAAAGTGTTATATACATGTAGGACTTACACATGTTTCCCCAAATTGGTACTTTGGGCACAAGCATCACGAGAACAATACCACAGAACAGAGCAAAGAGTGATTTGATCGTCACAGCCCTCTGAAATAAAGCAGAAAGAAAATATACATCATTGTACTGAGAGTATCCTCAGAGCAATATTAGTAACCTCAGTGCAAAAGTAACCTACATTTGTAAGAGCAAAAGTAAGTTAAGTGCAATAGTAACCTCAGTGCAATAGTAACCTCAGTGCAATAGTAACCTCAGTGTAATAGTAACTTCAGTGTAATAGTAACCTCAGTGCAATAGTAACCTCAGAGCAATAGTAACCTCCGAGCAAAAGTAGCCTCAGAGCAATAGTAACCTCAGTGCAATAGTAACCTCAAAGCAATAATAACCTCAGAGCAATAATAACCTCGGAGCAATAGTAACCTCAGAGCAATAGTATCCTCAGAGCAATAATAACCTCAGAGCAAAAACACCCTCAGTGCAATAGTAACCTCAGAGCAACAATAACCATCCTATGCAAACATACATTCTGTGCAAAGTAATCCTTTCAGTAAAAATCAAACAAGGGCCTTTTTTTCAACAAAGTAAGAATTTGAGAGGGGACACTGGAGGGTACAGCAAAGCAAGATGGTTCGTTCAGTTGTTTCCTGTGCATTTCTGAGACCTTGATGGTCACGTGTGCAAACAATTATAGACTTTAGAAATTGCAGGAGTCATCGTAAAAATTACGAAATTAACAACCATTCTGAAGACAGAATTGTTGATACAAGTTGACATGACACTAATAATCATGTGCAGCAATTCACTCAAATGTCATCTCACTCATATTTATAACCCATTTAGGAGTTTAGCCACGGTGAACACAATTGTGTTGATCTTTCAGACAGTTATAAGTAACATACGTAACTTGGACAGAAATGTTGTGACATTTTTCTGTCCATGTTACCGTACATGCGTAATATTCTAAACATAATACCGTGTGACTTCTGAAATATACAGTCGATTGTCTTGGTTTTTACAGGTAACAATGCTGTAGGGATAAGAATGAAAAGTCACAATATTTGATAAATACATTTATTGTAATTATAACTTTCTATCAATATTGACAAACGTTCTGTCCATGTTAGGTACGTAGCACTGTGAGCATAAATATCTTGTCAAATTTGCCCGGAAAGTCTCAAATTCTTTAAAAGTACAATCCTCATCCATGGGGTGGGAATGTACCAATGGAAAATAGGACAAACAACTTGATATTATTATCCTGCTTCATTTCCCAATCCCATGTCACACTTTTGTTGTAATATACAGGGCGAGTAATAAAAAAACGAAACCCACATGTCGGAACCATTATTTTAGTGAAGTTCTGCATGTAGCACTTTCAAAATCTAGGATATAAAAGCCCAATTCATAAGCTTTCTTTTAGTACAAGAATCATTCAGATCACTCATGTACTTGTCAAGTTAGGGAATTTTAAACACAACCATCGTTTTAAAGTTCTGTCCACGGATCACAAAAAGGTGTGCGTTCTTTCAGCAAAACGAAAACAGTTCATACACATCCCCATGTGATTTGGTTTCGTTGGCTGAAAGAACACTTACCTTCTTGTGATCCCTGGACAGAACTTTAAAACGGTGGTAGCGTTTAAAATTCCGTCGCTTGAAAAGTACATGAGTGATTTGAATGATTCTTGTACTAAAAGAAAGCTTATGGATTGGGCTTTCATATCCTAGATTTTGAAAGTGCTACATACAGAACATCACTAAAACAATGGTCCCAACATTTGGGTTTTGCTTTTTTTGACTCGCCCTGTATTGTTGTGAAAGCTGTGACAAAGAGGGCACTTGCAGGGTTTCAGGGTTTTTTTTGGACACCCAGTATCTAGCTTTGTCTTACCACAGAAGATGGCTCTTCATAAACAATCCTCTCCACACCGTTCTCATCTTTGACTGTCCGAGTGAAGTTCTTCCCCCGGATGAAATCCATGTAGCTGGAGAAGTAGCAGACTGGACCAACGAGGAGCCCTTGTGGACAGAAGATGTAGCTCCAGTACTCCAGGAATCCAGGATACCTCCTGTTACACGACCAAGGCAACGTCTAGTGTTATTTAGTCATGTACTTTGTCAATACTGCCAAAGACGGACTGAAAGATAAAGTGCTTAACTATGGAAATAAATGTGTGCTTGGCAGGTGTTAAACACTATGTTTAAAGAGGTTGTGGAATGCTCGAAGACATTTCCGTCATTTTTTGGATATATGTAGCCTAAGGTGTGATGAAATAAAAACGACTATTGTTTCTGTCATGAAATGAGTACAAAGGGTACTTTTGAGAGCTATTTTTCAGGTCCTGTTTCGACCCGAACGTGCAATTTGTGTAAAAGTCGTCGTTGCGGGCAGCAAACAAAACACAGTAAATCGTGACGTAATAAACAGGACTCGTTTATGCTACTCTGCATCGGGAGTCCTGTTTATTACGTCACGATTTACTGTGTTTTGTTTGCTGCCCGCAACGACGACTTTTACACAAATTGCACGTTCGGGTCGAAACAGGCATGACAGGACTTGAAAAACAGCTCTCAAAAGTACCTTTTGTACTCATTTTATGACAGAAACAATAGTCGTTTTTATTTCATCACACCTTAGGCTACATATACCCGAAAAATGACGGAAATGTCTTCGAGCATTCCACAACCTCTTTAAGACTGGTTGGAGTCTGGAATGCTGATTATTACCCAAGGCGATGCCGAGGGTAATTATCTGCATTCCAGACAACAACCAGGGCCCAATTTCATAGAGCTGCTTAAGCACAAAATTTGCTTAAGCAGGAAAAACATTGCTTAGTAAAAATCAGTTCACCGGCCAAACTCCACTCGATTATTATGCTAAGTAAACAACATCTAAATACCAGTCACAAGCAATGCACATCGCATGGAGTTTTGGCCGGTATCCTGATTATATTAAGCAAGGGTTTTTGTGCTTAAGCAGCTCTGTGAAATTGGCCCCTGCCTTAAACATAGTGTTTAACACCTCCCAAGCAAGCATTTATTCCCATTCATAAATACCTTTTCGGTCAAAAAACAAATCTTTTCGGTCCAAAAATTTAAAACAAGTCCAAAACTAGACGGTGCCAACCATTTTGTTCAACAATTTTACTTTGTGTTTTATGAAACACCCCTCTGGCTATAATATGGAATGTCCCTCCACAACTCCTTACCTTATAAGGAGATTGGCGCGTGCATCGCGCATACTGTGCTATGTCGCGCAAAACGCAGCTGGGCTGATGTAGTGTGAATTTCGGACAACGGAATACTGATTCACTGGTTGTGTTGTGCATGCATACGTGAGGATTGTGAATGTTCAACCAATAAAACAGTAAAAGGCACAAGATTTCATAAGAGTCCATATATGTGACACTGAAAAGTGTTTAAGACCAGCCAGCCATGTCTTTATCAACCGTTTAAGACCGGCCACGTGGCAGGCTCTTGACCAATGGGAATGGGTAAACTGTCATAGGTATTTATGAGAAAAAAATATAAGCCAACCACCACCTGTTACTTACTAAAAATAGGTGCAAAACAATTACAAACAGTGTCAAGAATAACCGGCTATTGGAGATTTTGTAATTTGACACACTAACGAATACGTTTATGATCAAATAAAAATGTATCACACAACTAAGGTACATGCAGTTCGTTTAAAGAGGTTGTGGAATGCTCGAAGACATTTCCGTCATTTTTCGGGTATATGTAGCCCAAGGTGTGATGAAATAAAAACGACTATTGTTTCTGTCATGAAATGAGTACAAAAGGTACTTTTGAGAGCTGTTTTTCAGGTCCTGTTTCGACCCGAACGTGCAATTGTGTAAAAGTCGTCGTTGCGGGCAACAAACAAAACACAGTAAATCGTCACGTAATAAACAGGACTCGTTTATGCTACTCTGCATCAGGAGTCCTGTTTATTACGTCACGATTTACTGTGTTTTGTTTGCTGCCCGCAACAACGACTTTTACACAAATTGCACTTTCGGGTCGAAACAGGCATGACAGGACTTGAAAAACAGCTCTCAAAAACTACCTTTTGTACTCATTTCATGACAGAAACAATAGTCGTTTTTATTTCATCACACCTTAGGCTACATATACCCGAAAAATGACGGAAATGTCTTCGAGCATTCCACAACCTCTTTAACTTTTAGGGAAAATCTTATGCATTCTACATGTAGCGTGCAATAATATTTTGATCACAATAGATAAGTGCAAAAATGAATTGAGTCTTAAAAATTTAACCTTTTACGTAACATTTTGACAACCACAGTGGCATATCATTCGTTGGTACTTTGAACGCACACCTTACATTAGATGTTACCAGCAAAATATTGTATTCGTCACTATGTCAAATTCTGGATTGTTATTATGACTGAATCGCCACAGGCGAGGCTCTGAATCTCAAAATCCAGACAAGAATTAAGAATTTTTGGCATAAATACTTGAAAGAGCAACCTTTAAAAATAACAAAATCTCCAAATCGCCAAAATGGTCGATTCGCCGGTTTGTCAGCTCTGCGACGATTAAGAATTTTCAATATTTAGCAACACATCAAACTCTTTAGATATTACCTGACGACCAACTCTCTCTGAAGACTGTTCAACTTTGACTCATCTTTGGTCAATCCTGCAAAATGGAATGTTATTCATGAAACTTAAATGTGAGACAGCTTAATCCTTGTTTACAGACTATTTGGCGTGTCCACCCCCCCCCCTCCTGAAGAAAATATTAAAGCAGCTTTGCGTTGCTTTTTGCAGTAATAAACTTTCTCAGGTATATATTTTGTGTGCAAAGCATGTACGAGTATCTATGTTACTTAAAGCTATAGTCCATCATTTGTAATTAGTGCATTTTGTTCGTTTGAAGCAACAAAAGTGTTCAAAATCTAATGAAGGATACTGAACAACTTACTTGATGAAGTTTCAGCTCAGCTTCAGCTTTATATTCCGAGAAAAACAGCATTCTAGGATCTCAATTTCAAATCAAAAGTTGCTAAATCATGTTTCGAATTGTTTTGAATTGCAGCTTTACGCGATGTCGCGCACTGATCCGACGAATTATAGCAACCGCGCGCGCCTGTGCGTCGTTCCAATGCTTGTGCGCGCTGCGCCGAATAACAAAACAAACTACTAATTTAAATTTTCCTACGGTGCTTCTTAAGACGCACCGTTGGAAATGCCTTCTTTCGTTGATTTCTTCAAAATGAGAGCTTGCCAGAAAGGATAATTTCACAGGGCGTTTAGTCCCCTTACTATCTTTCAACCAGTATGTTTTTCAACAATAATTACGCCAGTTACTTTTTTGGATAGCTGCAAATGATGGACTCGGGCTTTAAACCTAACCCTGCTGAATCCAACAGGATCCAACTATGTCATATACCCGATGGAGCCTGTTGGATTGAGCAGTAAACCCCTTGTGTACATTCCTGATGCAAAATGTTGGATTCAGCAGGCAACTGAACCACATTATAACGTCAAGTTTGACTCCGTTGGATTCAGCAGACAACTGAAAATAAGGCACAGTGGATTGAACAGGAAACTCCGGTTGAACTCTGTTGGATTTAGCAGGGTAGTCCTGACGTAAAATAAGATCTTAGGTTTTTTTTTTTTCACACACAGTTAAACATGAGCTTCCTTACCATCATGTATGCCAAAAGCAAGAGCACTTGTCTTCACTGTCAGAATCATCATGGGCCTGAAATGAAAGTGAAAATAAAAGTTATGCACAGATGACTTTCACTTAGGCCTAACTCTAACCCTGGCAGACGCAACACAGTGCATCAGGTGGAAATGTCATATGCACTTTGATGCATTCCGCCACCAGTTTTGCCATACAGCCTCAATCCTGCAAAATCCTCCATTTTCCAAAGAGGATTTTGGAGGATTTGGAAAAGTTAGGGTTAAAAAGGTTTCAAGAATTGGTACATGTAAGCCGCAGCCCAAACATCTGTAGTCTGCAGTGTTCTCCAACCTGTAAAAATAACCTGGTGCCCCACCATGCTTTCTGAGGCATTGCCATGCTTTAAACGTTGCCATGCTTTAAAAGTTGCCGCCATGCTTTACAAAAAATTATAAACTAATAAAAAAGGCAAACAAGTGGGACTACCCTTACCCTCCAGGGTATATTTTGGCTAGAGACTCTGCCAAAAGCAGTACCATGCAACACTTGTCAACATGACAAGCCTGCCCATTGTAGCAATCCATCAGGTCAAAAATCTCAAGGCCAAACTGCCTCAGAGTCCCTGGTCACTGATGTATTTTTTTTTTAAATGATGCTGAGCCAGTATTGTACCTAAACTGTTAGAAATGGCCTAAAAGCTGTTATCCAAACGTAAATTACATGTTCATCTGCAAATAGCGCCCCTAGCATAAAGAAATGTATCTGCAAATAGCGCCCCCTAGCATATCGCGCCCCAACCCCCTCCGCTTTTTGACGGAGCGCCGCCCTTTAATTTTCAAAGTTGGAGAACACTGAGTCTGATAATCACAAGCTATATCGCAACATACCGTATACATGAATAATTAAGGGTGAGTGAAAAAAAAAACGAAATTCAAATGTCGGGACTATTGTTTGATTGAAGTTCTGCGTAGCACTTTCAAAATCTAGGATATGAAAGCCCAATTCATAAACGAGAAAGCAATCACATTGAGCATAGCATATGTAGCATGCCCTAGTTACAACGAACGATAGCATGTACCTGCTTGTGTTGCACAATGTACCTGCACATGTACATGTACGTTGTAACTTCATGTAAGGCACTGTATTAAAAATGCTGTCTATGCTTCGATGATTCAACCTCATTAAATCCATTCATCAATTTGAATTTAACAGAAGGGCTGAAAAACTAATTAGGATTTCTAAAAACATGCACAGTACATACATAAGGCCAACAAAAAAAAGTCTCCGGTTTCTGGTATGGAGCTTGCCCAAAAAGTGGTGCGGCGACGCGGCTTTTTTTTTTTTACCTGATTTTTTTGCTTCAAATGTCGGCTGATGACTGCAAATGGTGCCCGACTAAACTTAGTGCAAATGTATGGGAGTCCAGAGAGGCCACATAAAGCTTATTCTCGACCATAACCCAATCTAAAAACACGTTAAAATTGTGCAGCAGCAGAATTCCAGTCAAACCAGTGAGTTTGGCGGTTTTGAGACATCATCTTTCACTGAAAAAAAAACTTTTTCATTTTGCCGACGCGCATGGCTACGGCGATGCGCGCGCATACCAGAAACCGGAGACTTTTTTTGTGTGGCCTAACAACAAATTTGACTTTTTTTTTTACCCTAACTCCTGGGGCTCTTTTGCTAGAAAGTATCCTGAATCCGCCAAAATCCACCAATTTTGTCACGCAAAAAATGCTGGTATCCTGAGTCCATCAGAATGCCCCAGTGTAGATACTGGAGGTATCCTGAATCCGCCAAAGTCCACCAGCAAAAGTCTCAATGGATTCTGGCCGATTCAGGATACCATGGTGGCATAAAAAAAAATACAGCATGTTTTCCATAAAGTCTTCAAAATCCATCACCTACATTTTTTACGGATTCAGGATAGCATGCTCGCATGAAAATTGTGATGTTGTTGCATACATGTAGGATCCATCAAAATACACCAATGCAATGGTTCAACTGCTGGTGGATATGATGTGGGTTGTTTTTCCTTTCAACTTGGGCGGTGGGTAATTATGTATACTATGATGTTTGCTTTGTCTGGAGGGGCTATTTCAATGAACCATTGTCGGACCCCAGCATTGCTTTGTCTGGATGGGTTATGTAATGTACATAATCCATTGTTTATATGCTGAGGCCTAATAAGCCACAGTCACAAGCTCCCAGCCGCCCAGTACATACATTTTTGTACAGCATGTGAAGAATTGGCAGGGCTACAAGCAGTATTTACTTGACCACAAAAATAGCCAAAGAGTTATTCTGTTGAGATCCTGAATCCACCAAAGTCCCCCAACAGCTCAATATGGAGGTATCCTGAATCCATCCGAAAATCCTGCAGTTCCCCTAGGCTTACTATCCTGAATCCATCAAAATCCCCCAGTTTGTGCAATATGGAGGTAAAATCCGCCGAAATCCCTCGAAACAGGGGGATGGATTTTGATGGATTCAGGTATGTACAAATGTAAGGTTTAAAGCTACAGTCCATCATTTGTAATTTGTGCATTTTGTTCGTTTGAAGCAACAAAAGAGTTCAAAATCTAATGAAGGATACTGAGCAACTAACCTGATGAAGTTTCAGCTAAGCTTCAGCTGTACATTCCGAGAAAAACAGCATTCTAAGATCTCAATTTCAAATCAAAAGTTACTGAGTCATGTTTTGAATTGTTTTGAATTGCAGCTATACGCGGCGTCGCGCACTGATCCGTCGAATTATAACAACCGCGCGCGCGTGTGCGTTGTTCCAATACTTGTGCGCGCTGCGCTGAATAACAAAACGAACTACTAATTTAAAATTTTCCTACGGTGCTTCTTAAGAATCACCGTTGGAAATGCCTTCTTTCGTTGATTACTTCAAAATGACAGCTTTCCAGAAAGAATAATTTCACAGGGAGTTTAGTTCCCTTACTATCTTTCAACCAAGTTTGTTTTTCAACAGTAATTACGCCAGTTACTTTTCGGATGGCTGCAAATGATGGACTATAGCTTTAAAGAAAAGATACTTTTCAATTGTGTGTTGCAATGCCCAATGAAAATCTCAGCTAAACGCAGCATTTAGCTTTGGGCTTTCAGGAGCTTCAGCGCTTGCACTCTCGTCATTTCTCACACAGTGTTCCCAAGTGAGGCATCAAATTGAACCGAGAAATTTCTGTGAAAAAAAAGCCCGCATATTTCGGATCTTGGTTCAATGAGGAATGTCCAAACAAGGATGCTATAAAAACTGCTCAGTTTCTTTTTGTGCCAGGTGCATGTATGCAAATTGCAAAAATATGTTTTTGGATAACATTTCTGGTTTCCGTTGGGGGGGGGGGGTACAATAAGGCAGGTTGGTTGACACTTTGCAGCAGATACTCACCCAATATAGTCCAGATTGCCCACTCCAGCGTTGCGGACTTGCATATACAGATGCACATAGGATAGGTGCAACATGGAAAAAACAAAGACATAGTACTGCACCACTTTGGGGTCAAAGGTCAGGATCATGAGGAAGCTGACCCCAGCACCGACGAGAATATGAAGGATGCCCCTGGAGAAAAGATAAGGATGTAAGAATATTGTCAAAACAGAGGATTTGCGAGGGGTACAAAGGATTCTTGAGCAATAAACATGGCATACGCACTAGGGTTGTGCATCGGAACCAGGTGCCCGGCTACCCGGCTACCCGGCTACCCGAACGTTGACGTCAGGAACCGGGTCCAGATTATGGAATCAAGTACCCGTAACCAACTTATGTGATGCGATCAAGCTAAATGAGTCGTTTGTCGGGAATTTTTATCTAGAGATTCGGGTGAAAATATTCACATCATGTGAACAAGGCATTACACATTTTGAGAAGCAAATTTCATCAGCTTTGTGCAAGAGGGCGAGATTTAAACGCCATTCGAAAAAAAGTCACTTTTAGAATGTCGATACAGCGCTGGAGACGGTGGCGGAAGGGGCGTGCTGCGGCCGAAAGCTTCTGAAGGAATGCAGGATCACCCCTGATGTCATTGCATACATGTACCTCCTTGATCGTGTGTTACATACATGTACATGTAAGCCAAACGATCGAGAAGGTGTGCAATGACATCAGGTGTGATCCTCCATTCCTTCAGAAGCTTTCGGCTGCATCAAGCTCCTTCCCCCACCGTCTCCAGCACTGTATCGACATTGGAGGACGCCAAGACGAAAATGGCAGATTCTGAAAGTGAGTATTTTTTTTTTTTCGTATGGCATTTTAAATCTCATCCTCTTGCACAAAGCTGATGAAACTCGCTCAAAAAAAATTGTCATGCCTTGTTTACATGATCTGAAATTTTGGTTTAATTCCATTGGTAAACAACAGAGTTATTTAGGATCAAAAGTGGGACTTTTGTTGTTGTTTTTTGACACGTAGACGTAGTACACAAATATGTATACATGATCTTCATGTATGCACGCAAATTCACAAAATAAATTTATGGAGGTTATTTTCTTTTTTACTATTTTGACTATTTGGGGACTAAAGTTTTACGTATGCCAACAGTTACCTGTTGAACTCAAGTTTAATGTTTGTGTTTAGTTCCTCCATGTTTGCTGTTTAATGTTTTTGTAACGTTCAGGACTTTGCCCTGTTCAATTCTTATCACGTCTGTAGTTTTTATCCTGCACAGTCTGGGCTGGGCACCAATTTATCTACAAGCCTTTAAAACAAATATTTATCTGTACCTTGTTTGAATAGCGTTCTGCAAACATTCACACATGCCATTCACATGCCAGGCACTCAAAACAACTCATGTTTGTACAATGTACATGGGTGCATTGATGAAAGAATGTTTTAAAGGGAATATATACATCATTTGCTTTTGCTGTAATTTTCAGAAATGGATGGAATTGGGGGGTTGGAAATATATAGCAAATATAGTTACACTGACTTTTTTGAGGTTTTGGGTTCGAAAATGCTATAAAAACCAAGAAAAACAATCATTTTCCTGTAGTCTGGTTCCCTGACTCCATTTAGGAAGAAACAGAGTAGTTTACAAATATTGGGGAATTGTAAGGTCAGGGAACCAGTCTAGCTGGCTTGTACCCGTTCATAGGTGTGTAATCGATTGCAAACAAGTGCGATGGTCAACTGGGGCCAGTATTTGAAAAAAAGCCAGTTTTTTCCAACGCTGATCGGCCGATCAGCGTTGGAAATTGATACAAAAATACCACTTTTCTTGAAAATGACAGTATACCAGGTGCCATCATTTTACAGGATGCTTTACACTGTCATTCACTAACAGTCCAGCAAAGTATTTCAAAATGATTTGGTAGTTTTATTTTTTGATGTTTGCAAATGTTGTATTTTCCCTTTAAAAGACATTATGAAAGGCCAAGCTAATAGTCCAATACAAAGAATTCAAATGAGCTGATTTTATAATTAATGTTACAAGATAGGACGTGTGGGTGGCTTGACCGAAGGTATTAAATCACACCACTGAACACAAACATAATGTTTTCATGTACGGTAAAGTAAAATAAGTCCTTATTGATATCATGAACCCTATTAATTAAACTCCCTCAGTTGTGTGAAAAATCATATTAATATTGGATAATTCAGAACTTTTAGGGTTAAACCGTAAATGCAACACAAAAACATGTTAGTGAATGACAGTGTATTAAAGCATCCTGTAAAATCATGGCACCTGGTATACTGTCATTTTCAAGAAAAGTGGTATTTTTGTATCAATTTCCAACGCTGATCGGCCGACCAGCGTTGGAAAAAACTGGCTTTTTTCAAATACTGGCCCCAGTTGACCATCGCACTTGTTTGCAATCGATTACACACCTATGAACGGGTACAAGCCAGCTAGACTGGTTCCCTGACCTTACAATTCCCCAATGTATGTAAACTACTCTGTTTCTTCTTAAATGGAGTCAGGGAACCAGACTACAGGAAAATGATTGTTTTTCTTGGTTTTTATAGCATTTTCGAACCCAAAAACTCAAAAAAGTCAGTGTAACTATATTTGCTATACAGTTGTATATTTCCAACCCCCCAATTCCATCCATTTCTGAAAATTACAGCAAAAGCAAATGATGTACATGTATATTCCCTTTAAGTGGCTGTAAAAATGTACAGGATTATACTTACCATCCAAATGATATACAAGCCAGCAGAACACCCAGTAGAATTTGACTGATGTGCCGTGTAGTTGGCGACACTTTTCTTGGATTCAAGAACCATCGGAACAGATAGGAATAGAAAAAGGCTGTAAACTGGCAAATTAAGAAGTTGACCTGAAAGACACAAAGAAAAGACATTTCCAAAATCAGAAATGGCGTAGGCTACTCTTGTTTAATTTGTAAACATATTGCTTTTAAAGACATGCTAACAGACAACAAATTACCAATATCACTAAGGAAGAGACTATTCAATCAGTGTGTGCTATCCACTATGACTTATGGATCAGAAACTTGGCCATTAACTAAAGAACTTGAACAGAAACTCACAACAGCACAGAGAGCTATGGAAAGACAGATGCTTCACTTATCCCTACGAGAAAGAGTAAAACATGAAGTAATTCGGCAGAAAACTGGGGTGAAAGATGTCATAGAGAAAGTCAGCGAAGCAAAATGGAGATGGGCAGGGCATGAAGCAAGAATTCAGGATAATAGATGGACATGCAGATTAACAGATTGGCAACCACGAATGGGAAAGCGAAGGAGAGGAAGACCAAAGAAAAGATGGAGAGATGATATAACTACATATATGGGAACAGTGACTTGGACTAGGACAGCCAGAAACAGAAGTGATTGGAAACGTCATGAGGAGGGCTTCATTCGACAGTGGATGGACGTAGCCTGATAGATAGATAGATAGATAGATTGCTTTTAAAAGTGTACTTCATACAACCTTATTATAGGACACACATCATTTGTGCCAGTAGAGGATGTTGTCATCCAGTCTTATTTGACCAGACTTAGTTTACTCCCTACTCTGAAATTTGTATTAATTAACCAGCACTTGACCTTAGCGGTATCCCGCTAGCCAAATGCGAGTAAAACCAGCAGCGGACTATTCAAAACCTATCCCTGAGAAGTTCGCCTGGCGAGTCAAAAGTATTGAGATGACGTATGAAGCTTTTCTGCATATCCAAAGATTTCAATGCTTTTTTAAAAGCCAGTGTTAGAAAAATAATAATCTGATACTGACGCGCATTCGGCTTGTTTTATGCCGTTGTGTCACCGAATGTTACGCTGAAATCGTTAACGTTAATTAAACAAAGAACATGGTCTGGCACTAGCTTCAGTAACTCCAGCTGACGTGCTCATATTCATTCACATGTAGCGCTGGAGACATAACCTAGGCGTGAGAGTGTGGTCTTAAGAGACCCTTCCGTGAAAACTGAATTTTCCCATATACGTCGTGTACACAGAGCAGAATTGCCATTCGTACATGTATATGAATAATTAATTAGCCATAATTCCAAAACCTATTTACCTATAGTCATGATTTTTTTGGGGTATGTTTAGGAAGAGTTGCTCTATGCATGTACTGAGTTTCAAAATGTTTCGTCTCTCGATGGTCGAGATCTTAGGGGGGTGGCGGAATCTGCGGATCACGTTTGTAAACACAAGTGCATTTCGAACGGTAAAAGGGAGTCGGGAACTAGCTTGAACTGGTTTCTGCCCATAAAAGCTGCCCTAGTTCCCGAATCCATATTATCGTTTGAAATGCACTTGTGTTTACAAACGTGATCCAGTCTACTCATTATCATAATCGATGCATCGCACGCGCTCGGTAACGGAATCGCACTCGGGATACGGGGACCATGGAATGCACACTGGGCATGAAGACCACATCGCGTCATTCAAACATAAAGACGAGTCAGATATTTAAAGTGTTCACAATCGCGAGGGGAGCTCTCGGAATTGAACGGGAAATTTAACTTTTCATCAGGATCGTAAGTAAACTTCAGTACAACCATCTGAATCATCGATGTCTTCTTGTACCTGAGTATATAGTAATTTGTAGGCCATTTTGAGGGTGAAATCTGATGTTTTTGTTGGGCACTTAATTGGGTCAAGGACAAAATTGTTTTACTCGGTATATACGGATTAGCTTGGACCCAACTATGGAAAAAATTCCATACTGGATCACCACCTTTTTTTCAAACGCCAAAAGTTGCATCCTTTATGGTTATTCCCTCCACTTTCCTTTCCCTCCTCTACTCTCACCCTCTCCTTTCCTTTATTTCTATTTATTAATCAGTCAGTTACTTCATCGAGATTCGAACCTCGGACTCTTGCTTGAAACACGAGACTCTTAACCGCTAGGCCGCGCATGATCGCTGTTGCAATAATCAATCTTTGGACGTATTTCAAGTAGCCATATTCATGAGAAAATAAATATTCATAATGACGTATTGCACTATCATTGGCTGGCTCATGCGACGTAATGGTTGTTGATGTCATGCGTATAACGTACCACTGTCTTTTAGCCACTCAATCAGTTTTGACCGGCTGCTTCAACTTAGTTTTGCACGAAGTGTGCATCCAAAATGTGCTCTAAAAACACATTTTGCCTATTTTTTTTCGCATTTACACAGCTTCCTGGATTCCACTTGGGTGAAATGACAAGGTGAGGTGAAAATTGATGTGTTTGGAAATGTTAGGCGGCAGGTAAAGTGGTGAGCCAGTATGGACATTTTCCCCCAACTATCACCAGACCATGTCCGAATGTTAAAAAGGTGATAAGTTGGATCCAAGTTACTCGGACTATTCAAACCCATCAAATTATTTTCTAAGTCTAACCAAATGAAATAAAATTGGAAATGTTTTTCTCAGTCAGTCCCAATTTCATGTCTATTCAATTTATTTGGCAATTTCTGACCTTCATTGAGATAATATTTGATTAAAAAGAGTGGCATCAGCATGCAACATTCTTTCCTGAGCGGACTCCGTACATTTAAAAAAAACAACAACAACAGTCAGCGTAGCACTAACGGCACGTTATGTCCGAGAATTGGGCGCGGCCATTTCTCGGACACGGTTGGCCTAAATCAGACAGATTCAAAGTCAATAAAACCAACACTGGAGTAACACAAGTAAAGTATATGACTATTACTGAAAGGAGATTCCATTCATTGTAAACAGAAAGCAACATTTATCTTACTTCCGCCGCTCGAACTCCAAGAAGATTTGAGAAAAATGATGAGACCACATTCAAGGGTGTAGTCCCCGCAGTCGCCATGTTTAGCGTTTTAGTCGTGAAGTGGCACGTACGCACGCGCATTGTATGCAACATGTGTACAAACAATTGACTCCAACTGTACGTTCATATTTATATATAAAAAAAAAAAAAAAAAAAAAAAAAACACCTTGCTTTGATGTTTCTTTCATTTTTCTTCTCCCCCCCCCCCTTTTAAACAAAATTATTTAAACATCCATATGGCTTGCCCAAATGCATATAATGACTCCAAATGCCAAATATATGTTGTTAATTCGAAAACAGGTACTCAACCTCCTGATAGGATGGACATAGTCCGAAAAAACGTCGAGTTCTGACACTCAACCAACCGGTCCTTTTCAGAACCACAGTTCTTCCAAGAAGAGATTTCTTTCCACATGGTGTTACCCGCAAACTTTATAATTTATTCCATCCGCCATGCAAAGCTTCAAGTCATATATAGGTATTTTTCTTAACAGATTCTTTTTTATACAGCTCTATGGATTCAACCTGGTTTTCTTATGATCATGGAGCTAAAGTAGTATGATCCCGTCCGAAAGCGAGCATTATTTTAGTGGCCGATAGAGGTCGCTATTCAATATGTACAGTACAGTGCCGACTTGTCTGCCCATCGGGAAATCTGGTGTGACAGGTAATTCTGTCCCCCCCCCCCCCCCCCCCTCGTGACCCGGTAAATGTGTCCGGGGGGACACTTTTACCTAGGTAAATTTGTCCCCCTCCAGGTAAAAATGTCCCCCTACCCAACGGTGAAAGTGTCCCCCTGGTAAATGTGTCCCCATGCAGTATGTAATGAGAGCAGCATCGTGTCGCATGCGCACGCGCCAGTACATGCTGCAAGATTTGAGGCAGTGATTATAACATGTGTACATATGCGTCTCCTTCACCAATGGAAATTCGTCCAATAGGAAATGTCGTTACGCGCTATGATCATGGGAACACAGACCAATCCAAGGAAACGTTGTATCATACTATCAAGGAGACGAGGGCCATCGCCGGCCATGCATCGCCGCGCGCTGTGTTGACCTATCGCGGTAGAATCGCGATAGACTTCACCGTACTCCGAATCGAATCATTGTGTTCACGTATCATCTAATAGACTAAATTAAATAGTTTTTATATTCATGAAGGGCAGACTAAAAGTCCAAAATGTAAACCTTGTAGAGTGAATTCATCAAAACAATAACCTTCCGGGTTTCAAAAGAGGGGACAAAAAAACCTGGGGACAGAATTACCTGGAGGGGACAGAATTACCTGGAGGGGGACAGAATGAACGGGCCGGGGAGGACACTTTTACCTAGGTAATTCTGTCCCCCCGGACACTTTTACCGGGGGATAGAATTACCTTCTACACCGGCAACATAAAAGGAACAAAAGAAAGAGAACAAAACACTTAAAATGGAACAAAGAGCAGTGAGTAAAAGCGCACATACCAAAAATGTTTCCTATACGCGACGGATAACCCGCTGCCGCGAGAGGGCGCTAACACGATGATAGCGCCCTACTGCGGCGGCCGGTTATCACGGCGGCGGGTAATCGCGTATCAAGGTTGCAGGCCAGTAAATCGGTCCAAAATTGCCTACGGGGTCCGCTAATAAGTCCGACGCCTCATAAGTCCGACAAAATCGCATCCCCTAACCTAATAAAGGCCCATAAGTCCGACGCCTCAAAGGTCCGACGCCTCATATAGCTCCGACGCCTCATAGCTCCGACGCCTCGTCGGTCCGACAAACTAAACGCCTCGTTTTTCCGACGTCGGACTTATGAGGCGTCGGACTTATGAGGTGTCGGACCTATGAGGCGGAATAAATACATTTTATGGCTCATAAGTCCGACGCCTCATAAGTCCGAAATTTCGGACTTATGAGGCGTCGGACCTATGAGGCGTCGGACCTATGAGGAGTCGGACTTATGATATGAAGATATGAAGACTGATTTGAAGACTTTGCGGAAATGATTGCGAAGCCTCCCAGGTCCTGTTCAACTGATGAAAATGTCTGCACCCTATGAACATGTATCTAGCGTGTAGAAAATGCAACCTTTTTAAGGGATGGTGACGTGATTTTTCTTAGTGCAACTTTCTACTCCTCTGAAATATATGGAAACTATCATCTTTTTTTGGTTAATATTTAGTCAAAAGTGCACTTCCTTTAACATTTAAAAAATTTACATGCTTTTCCGGACAACAGAGGGCGCTATTCCTGTAGTGTCATTTCAGGAAGCCACTGTTCAGTTCCGGGGGTTTCTGTTCAAATTATGAACCCACAAATTTGCTCAATGAAAAATATTGGTGAGAAAAGTTTGCTCATTGGTTAACTGCCATGTACTGACACAAGACAGCTCACCAAAGGAAAGAAAATTATAACAGCAAAGTATCTACAATTTTGGCAACTTTCGCTCATGAATATGTAAATTCACATTAGCATAAAAATCAAAAAGGCACCAAAATACCCTTGAGAATAGCAAGTGGAAATTGAAAATAAGGTTACATAGGACACACAAGTGTCTTTTCAAGGACTGCATAAAAAAAAATACATTACGTGGGCCCTTTAAAAAAACAACAACTGAGGAGTGAACTAAATTGTTCACTATATAGGTTGGCGTCGTGTATTTCCCCCAATGGAAAGAGCTCAATCATTCGTTGAACGTCATACGTGATGAGCTTTCAATTGATCATTAATCTCATCATTTAGTGACGTAAAACAACCAGGAAAACGTTGCATGTTAATGCAAATTAGCTCATACCTTATCCAAGGCGCTGGTGACCTCTGGGCATATCCGGTTCGTTCGTGTGACGTCACTTCAGTTTAAACCACGCCCACTGCACATCAAGTAGCGTTGGAACCATTGGAACCGGAAGTGAACGCAACTTGAGTGTTTAGCCAATGGGCGCTTGTAATCAGTGGCGCGTTCGCGTGTATGTCGAAGTCACTAACGAACCGGATTTCTCATTGGACAGATTTGCCTAGTGACCGGGGTCAATACTTCCGACTGCGCCAGACGCATGCGCATGTTAATATAAGTACACTGATCACGGCAGTGTAATGCCAAGCTGACCACAATGCTTCGGGAAGATTCTGTTTCCTTCACTTCATTCATTGAAAGGAATTAAACGGATCACGCGTTCTTGAATAATGCGGTATACATAATCATGAGCGATTGTGCAAAACGAAATTTGCCGTATATAATCATAAAGGTCTAATTAATAATTCAAGTCGTTTTCCTCACATCAGTTAGTGAGATGATATTAACGTCATACTTGGTTGTTACCGAGGGGGTGGATTGAAAAAGGTCAACTGCGCAAGTCAGTAGAGACTCAACTATTAATATCAAGGGGATACACAACCCATTAAGTGAATAAACGATCTGTTGCAGGTAATCGTCCGCCAGTCAAGTGTAGCAATTTCAACAAAGTGTGACAGGCAACACCTTGCATTAGAAATGATCACCACCTTTTAGTAATGGGCTTTTGCGTGAATTACTGCTCTTGATGAGTTCCGACCGACGACAGTTTCATGAGTGGATTTTTAACCAATAGAGCCTGAAAGGGCCAAGGGCGATTCCGGAACACACATTTGTTTTCGGGGGTGGGGGTGGGTGGGGGCAAAACAAATTTGGTCTCCCTAACAGTGGGTCCAAAACAAAGCGGAGTGGGGTTCGGACTTTTTTTTGATGTGGATGCTCTGTGGGGCGATCTTAGGCAATGTCTGATCACTCTCACCATTTTTTTTTTATTTTTAGGAAAAAGGAAAAGATTGTACGGTGTACGCAGTGACTGCCTTTATTGCGACGTCATGCACGTAAAATAACCCAAAAAAAAACATAATGAAGTTCTTTTTTTTCGGGGGGGGGGGGGGACTCCCCCCTCTTCGAAAGTACGCCATTTTGTCTTTGAGCTTCCCGACCCCTCCGGCTCTGCGATCCTTAGCTGGGCATTTTACACTGGGTCGCCCTTTCTCTAGCCAATGCTATGAATTTTTGACAGAATGTTTTCTAAACGTTATCAGCCCAAAGAAACATTCATGTTGGAATTATATCTAAGCATCCCACCAGAAAAAAAATGATGAGAACTCAGTTGAAGATGAGTAAAAACGAAATTGTACTTACGATCTTTCACCATCCGGATGTGTTCGTTGGTCTCTTTGTTCGGTCACGTTTGTTTTCACATCGTGTACTTGCGTGAGAACGAAAATTATAACGACGCGAAGATTTACCTACCTACATCCGATGGATTCTAGCTTTAGTTGGGCTTGCTTGAAGGCAGTTCTTTTCAACGGTCATTTTAGATTGTTTGTAAATGAGAATTAGTCCTTCAAGTTCATTCAACTAGAAGAATTGTGCGTCCCAAAAGGACCTTTTAGTCTCCTATATATTTAAGTTTCAGATTTTACCCAATCACCGCCACAAAATTATTTCATAAATGTTCATCTTTGTACGAGTGCTCCGAGTTCCACTAGTCCCCTTTATTTTAGATTTTCGGAAGTGAGAGATCAATTTTTGGCACGATATTTCTCTTTTACGTCATGCGATTTTTTCAGTTTCCATAAATTGAGATGCTAGTAACAAATATACAACTACAGTCCTTTTTCGAGGATGATTTTCCTAAGAAATTAATGTACCAACAATAATTTGAAAAACTAATTTTCCTATTCGGGGGTTCCGGAAGTGAGCCACCAAGAGTCAACTTTCAGGCTGCATTTTCGACAATTTGTATACGACTGTGAAGAATCGACTAACCGTTATAATAATGCTGCACTATGACTGTATTTATCTGGACACACAATGGCGTCTTCCTTGGGGCTTCATTCCATTCGAACGTCGTGAGTAAAATAATGTGAACATTGGTGGAGTGTCTTTGATGATCACAGCGATTATTCCAGTGCGCATGCTTTTCTTTTAAAAAAAGAAAAAATAAGACAAGCGAAGGTTGATCTTTGCTTACAGCACCGATCTTTACCAACTGAAGTACGCATTCCTTTTGGCAGTCAAATCCTCATTGAAGGCCTGCCTGAAATCG